GCTCGGCCGGGGGCTTTGCCCCCGGCCGAGCGCGCCCTTAAGTTCTTTCGTGTCTTTTGCGCGGCAACTTCGCCATTTTTTAAAAGGCGCTACACCAGGCACCAACTTTCACGTTACATTCTTGCCACCCCACGTATATAAATGTAGGCACACAAAGGAAGTCTACACTGTCCTCCCAGACCAAAGCTTCGCCTCTAGTTGCGCTCAACGTGCATGACCGACACGGACTCCGGCTCGTACACCCCAGCTCATCGTCCAGCTCGTCATCCGCGCATAGCCTTCAATGTAATTTAGAGAAGTTGCTGCTCGACAGTACCCGGTCCTCAGCATGCAAAGCTGCTTGCTACTTGACGTAGCGTTGGCACTTCCTTGAGGCTCTGCTTGTTGATGCTTGGACTCTCTGTTGTGCGCTGGCCGCAGAGCGACCCTTCTTACGACAGCATAAGGTTTGAAAGGCAAATAGGCTTAATAAAGGGTCCTAAGCGGGTCCAAATAAGGGTAAAATGTCACGTTTAAGTCTATTTCTGATGTCCTCTATACTAACGGTCGAATTTGCTGTTTCATAACTTCGACCCTCTGGTTTTATGGCATCTAAAGATAGTGACGTCGGTTCAGCTCAGATAAAAATTCGGGCCGATACCACCTTCCGATAAGCATCCAAATGTTGTTTAACCGAGGTATTTTTTTCATTTTTTGGTCCCGTGTGACCGATTCTAAATTGTGACCCTAACCCATTCGCAGAATTAATGTAAAAAGTAAAGCGGAGTGTATATAAGAGACGTAAAAACTCCATAAAACGGAGTCTCATGATTATAGGGGGGACTTCGTCCCCAATTAACTAAGGCAAATCCAACACAGCACCTCAAGCTGGCTGTGCAGTTTTACTTGCGCTCACTGCACCTTGTAAGCGTCAACATCTTGCTCAAAAGGCGGTAGATGAACAAGGTCATTCGATATAACAGCCAGGGCGCTGTCTTTATCGAAGTTTGCTATGAGCCGGGCTTCGGCAAGCTCAGCCGCTCGTGCGGCACCTGCGGAGGTGAGTTTTCAACGTGTTCATTGTGAGGGCCAAGGTGAGCCTCGGGCGTCAAGGTAGACGTGTGCGAGTGATTGCAGGGTTTTGGGTTTGCTCGTTCCAATAGAAAGATTCTTGTGATTCAATTCCATTTACTGTTATTATATGTTGTGGTTGTATCTCCGATTTTGCCGATTTTGCTGGTGTTGTACCTTACCCGCGAGGATACCGTTACGTTCATTCAATCAATCTCACATTTGAAGACTCCACAGGCTTTCATTTGTTTAGCACATCACTGGTTTGTAGCTTATAGAGCACTATGTTTTAGACAAGGTGAGCCTTGTCAGTCGCTTCCTTTTGATCAATGCTTTGGTGTGACGGCGGGTGCGTTGAGCTCAGCTCCAGGATCAAGAACCCAATCATCACCAAACTGGAGCCGACAATGCACTGCCACGTGAACGACGTGCTGTGCATCAGCGTATCCATGAGCCCCGACAACGGGATCGTGAGCATGAAGCCGACACTGGTCTCCAGCGGCGACGTCCAGCAAACGGCGAACGTGAGGAAGACGAAGTTGGTCGTGAACATGACAATGCCAATCGCTAACATGAGGTTGCCCTCAGCCGTAGGGGGAAACCCGATCGGCTCGTAGAGCGAAGGGAACGGACTGTGTGCGAAGAAGATCGTCCCCGCAAGCCACGCCGGGATCGTGAACATCCCGCTCAAGCCCATCATGATCATGAGCGTCGAGGTGTCGTTGATGTCGGCGCCGGCAGTGAGCGCCACCGACACGTTGTAGCCGGCGTTCAGAACGGCCGAAGTCACCATCATGAGGCCTCCGATCACGCTCGGGTTGCCGATGGCGTCCCCTCCGCCCCCTCCCTGGTAGAGCACGACCATCGTCACGCCACAAAAGGCCAGCAGAACGCCGAATAGCTTCTTCACCGACACCTTCTCGTGCAGCAGGCAGATGGAGAAGCAGTACACGAAGAGCGGCGAGCTGTTGAAGATGGCGGCACCCGCGGCCACCGTCAAGTTCTGGAGCGAAGAGAACCAAAAGTAGTCGGCCACGAGGTAGAAGATGCCGAGGAACGCCGACAGGCGAAGAAGTTGCCGGAGAGGGATGATGGAGTGGCGCTGCAGCACACCGACGATGTCGAATCCAGCGTGTCGATCCTCAGTCGTGCCGCAGATGCGGTAGTAGGCGAAGATCAATGGCAACAACAAGACCTGCAAAAGTGGGTCATTGAAAAGTGAGAGGACAATACATGGTTGGGGATTCTACAGGGCTCACTGGGCTTACAGGCGCAGCATGGCAGAAGCACATGACGAAGAAGGGTTTCGTGAACTTGTCGGCCGTCTACAGTGGAGATCAATGGAGTCACGTAAGATGAAGTAGAAAAGTAGAGCGATCTTGGTTAGAAGGGGATGGATACCTGGAGATATTGAACGGCTTCAGCCTGGAAGATGTTTGTCCAGATAACCACTGCAACAAGCAAAGATTTAGCATCAAGGGGGGGGGGGCATGTTTAGTATCGATAATTCACGGGTGACTTACCAAACAGCGCCATGAGGCCGACGTGTTTCGTGTGGAAGTACTCCTTTGTCTCCTTCTCCAGCTCCGCGTCCTCCTCGTCTAGCAGCTTGGTGTGCTCATTAGGCACAGGCTTGGTCACGGGCACGACTCCACTCGTGCGAGACATTCTTACTGGCGTGTGCGCGCTGGATTCGTCTTCGCCCCAGTGGGGGGCCGCGACGCCTCGCGGACTCCGGTGGTGCGAAGCCATCTATCTACGTATCCTGCCTGCGCTGTCCGAAGCGAATTGTAAAATGAGCTACGTACGCATGCGAGGTTACTTAGCCCCGATGACGCATGGGGAATTAATCCCACGCATCTTTGCTTGCTGCGGGCAGTTCAACCACGCGATTCTGGGCTTGCTGACGGTCATAGCCGCTCGCTCCGTAATCCTGGACGCGTTTATGGGCGCCGCGACAGGCCCGTGGTGAACGCCGCAAATCTTCTCAAGCACCGCCCTGGCATCGAAGGCAACGCCCCCAAGAGTCTGGGCTACACCGACGTACAGCACTGTACTGTAGCTAAGCTTTGTGCTGGGCGAAGGAGTCTGGAGCTCAATCTCTCGCCAAGCTGACTTGTCATCTTTGGTGGCGAGGGGCACCGCCCCACTCACCAAAGTCGACTGCAGGCGACTACAGTATCCGAGCTCTCAGGAGGGCAACGGTGCTCGGCAGGAAAAGAGCAGTACAGTGTGTCCGCTCCTGTCCACCCGATTGAGGGTATAATACATCACAGGCTCAGCTCCATCGATCCAGAATCGACGATCCTGTACAAATCCCCGGCTTCAACTTGGTCGCACGTCACATATTCCATGTGGGCCACACACTCGAGGTATCCAATCCAACCGCCCACTTCCTCCAGTCCCAAGCCCATGGCGACGGTGCGCACGACGGTGCCGCGCGGCGCGGAACCCAATGGCGGCGGCGGAGGCGGCAACAACAAGCGCAAGCGCAAGCGCGTGGGCAAGGCGAAGGAGGCGGCCGCCGCGCCGCCCTCCGCCGCGTCCGTCAGCGTGGACGCGCAGCTGCAGACGCTCGAGAACTGGCACCGCGCGCTGACCGTGGACATGCGCGAGCTGCGCCGCGAGGGCGCGCGCGTGCGCGTGGAGCTGGAGAAGGTGGACGACACGGCCGAGGCCGCCGTGGTCCGCGCGGAGCAGTGCGCGAAGGCCGCCGTCCAGGCCAGGGACGCGGCGCTCCAGGACGCGCAGACGGCGCACGCGCGCCACGCCGCGGAGCTGGAAAAGCTCGGCAAGAAGCTGCTGGTGCTGGACAAGAAGCTGGAGCGCCAGCGGCAGAGCAGCATCAACGAGGAGTTCCTCATGACGCAGCTGGCGGAGCTGCAGGAGCAGTACGAGAACGAGCTGACCAAGGTGCGCGAGGACCACGACGCGGCGCTCGAGGCCAAGCAGAAGCAGCTGGACGCCGTGGAGAAGACACTGGCCAAGCTGCAGCCGGACAAGCGGCAGAAGAAGCACTGGGAGGGCGTCGAGAGGGCGCTGCAGAGCCTCCGGGACGAGAACGCCAAGCTCAACCAGAGGCTCAATCAGCTGGCCACGAGACAGGAGATGCAGACGCTGCAGACGCAGCTGCAGACGCTCGAGAGGGAGAACCACGACGAGCAGGCGCGCACGCGGACGGACCTCAACTCGTTCGAGGACAGGCTCGTGGAGGTGGACAGGAGAGTGACGGACGCCGACCGCAGCTTGGCCGAAGTGGACAGGAAGATCAACGATGTGGGTGCGCGCGCCGCGGCCTCCCCGCCTACGCGCCCGCTGCCTCTACCTCTACCTCCGCCGCCGATGCCGGTACCCCCGCCCCCGCGCGATTTGGTGCGGATGAAGGATTTGGACGGGATCCACGACGCGCTGCGACGCATGAGCCGCGACTTCAATGCGGTGGCGGCGGACATGGCCTCGTTCAACAAGCGCATCGATGCGCAGGGCGTCCGACAGGAGCAGCATCTGGAAACGAGGCTGCAGGAACTCAACACGCACGTGTTTGACGCGCTGGGCCACGACTCGCGCATGCACGCCACCGAGATCAGTTGGCTGAAGGACGCCGTCTTTGACGCGCAGAGCGCGCATCGTGAATTTGGTCAAAGGGTGAGGCGCCTTGAAGACGACCTGCAGCAAGTGATGGCAGCGCGCGCGCCGCCGAGGTCACCGCCACGAGACCGCGGAGGAGGCTCAGGCTGGCGCTATGGGCAAGTACAGCCTCCAGTGCTGCCAACGCCACCACTCCCACTTCAGCCGCCGCCGCCCTCATCTTCTTTTAGGAACCGTCGAGATCGACCCTCACGCTACGAACCAGCGCCAGACATCCGCGACAACTCCGCGCCACCGTATGAGCCGCCCCCACAAGACCGTATCAGGTGGGCTCCTAGGAGGAGGAGTCGGAGCCGCAGCCGGAGCCCACCTCGTCGAAGTTCATGGAGCAGTGCTGCTACTGGACTACCGCGCAGTGATTCTGGACCTGTGGCGTCGGACCAAGGAGGCTGTCATTTCCAGCGCGATGACCAGCGATTCAATGCTGAAAATACCAACGGAAGCGCGGCTTCGACGAGGAACAATGTCACGGAACTAAATGACTCGCCACCTACTCTGAATGCAGGTTCGACGCAAATCTCCCGTGGTGACAACAGGAGCAATGTTAACGAGGAGCAAGCCAGCCTGCCATGCCGACGCAACCGCCAGCCCCGCAGGACCCCAGAAGTTATTGTTATTGAAGAGGATGATGATGATGATGACGATGATGATGAAGCGAATGGAGAGGACGATGATGACGATGAGGAAGAGGAGCGAGATGAAGGGGACGCTGCAACACCAAGTAGAGCCCCTCCTGATGTAGTTTTGGACGAAGAGGAAGCAGCTCGACCAGCTGACGCCCGCACGGCGCCTCCACCTGCCAGCGCCAATGCCGAGCACCACGTAGAATCAACCGATCTCTTGGAGAAAGAAGCAGACCTACAAACGGGCTTTTTGCTGTACTTTTGCTTGGGTGGAGCCCCCGATCTTGATGTCCAGTGGACCAATTGCTTTTCTCAGTTGAATGCCGACGAGTGCGTGGAAATGCCTCGCGCGCTACGCTTCCAGCGTCGGTACAGCTTTTTGCAGAACTTCCCCGTGTATTTGACGCAGTGTATTCTCCAAGCAGTGATTTTGAACGGCCAGAGTACGCCAGACGGGAGCGAGCCCGAGACGTCCCAGCCCGCTGGGACCTTGACCAGTTCCAGCGTTCGTGCCAAGTTTGACGACATAGTGAAGGGTATCCATCTCTCCTGGGCCCAAGCTCTCAATGAGTACCTGTCGAAACAAGCGAGCAGCCTGACATTGGAGAAGCTGGAGCTGAGCATTAACCCAGCTGCTCTATCGAGCGATGCGGACGAGGACGACATCATCTACGACTGGAGCCGTCAGCAAGAGTCCGCCATGTGGACTCTAGCGCAGAAGCTTTACTACGGGGCGGACCTACCGGAGATGAAGGAGAACGCGGACGCGTCTCCGGCCGTGTATTTGTTCACGCTCATGTTTGACGTACTGATGGTGGATAGCGAGGTGCCTCAGTTCGGGACCTTCCAGCTCAGCGTCTTCGGGGCCAAACTCCTGGCGCACCTCTGGGACCACACACTGAGGAAGCTGCCGTATGCCTTCTTCGCGGACTGGTCGTGGCTCGACGATCAATCCACTAAGAAGAAACTCCCGGCGCTTGCCTTTTGCCACTTGCTAGCGAGCGTTCTGCTGTGGAACGGCGCGATCGACCGCCACAGCCTCACGAACCGCAACATCTACACTGCCGCAGTCCAGCATATCCTCCCCAAGCTCCATGTGGACGGAAAACCTGTGTCCCAAGTTCCTGGCTCGGCAGAATCCAGCCCCCTACCGCTCAGCGAGTGTCAGACCACGCGCATTGAGCTGCGGGACCTCGACACCAAGTTCGCGTCGATTCTGGGGCTGGACGGCTTCTTCGAAGTGGCGGAAGGCATCCAGACCAACCTGCTCGCCAGGACCAATCCTGCCAGCTCCTAACTAACTCCATCTATACGTGTGTATTACCCGTTGCAGTCTCTACGAAGCGCTAATCCCAGCTAATTTGACTTTCTCTTTGCGTGTTAGCTAGCCGTCGTCTAGAGTTTATGCAGTATCATTACGCCCAAGCCGAGGCGTTGGGGATGTGTTCCTCCTGTTGTGGTGAAGAAGATTTCTTCTTGGTGCTGGATTCGAGGATAGCGAAGCCGCCCATGACTAGCACCGACCCGACGATGCACTCCCACGAGAAGAGCGTGTGGTGCAGGACGGTGTCCATGATACCCGACAGCGGGATCGTCAGCATGCAGCCCACGCTGGTCTCCAAGGGGGACGTCCAGCAGATCGCGAGCGGCAGGAAGGCGCAGAAGACGACTGTGAGGAGGCCGCTGACAACCAGCAGGAGCACCCCCTCAACTGTTCCAGGGACAGCGAGCGACTCGTGCAGCCACGCGAACGGGCTCTCGGACAGCATGATAGTGCCCAGAATCCACGGCGGGAACGTGAACAAGCCGCACAACCCCGCCATCGTCAGCAGCGTCGACGTGTCGGTGATATCGTCGCCGACTGCAAGCCGCATCGCGACTTGGTACCCCGCGTAGAGCGCCGACGAGATGATCATGGAGACCCCCGCGATGATGGTCGAGGCCTCGATGGTGCCGAAGTCGCTGCCGTCCTGGAACATGACGACGAGCGAGACCCCAGCAAAGGCCGTGAAGACGCCCAGGATCTTGTTGAGGTTGAGGTGCTCGTTCAAGAGGCAGACGGACAAGCAGTAGACGAAGAGCGGCGATGAGTTGGAGATGGCGACCCCCGCAGCCACGCTCACGTCCGCAAGCGCGCCGTACCAGAAGAAGTCCGAGACGAGGTACAGGAAGCTCAGGCCGGCGGAGATTCGAGCGAGCTGGGGCAACGGAATCACGCAGCGGCGACTCAGCACTCCGACAATGTCATAGCCAGCGTAGCGGTCTTCCGGGCTCCCGTACAGTCTGTAGTACGCGAACACGAGCGGGAGGAGAAGGACCTATAAGGTGACGGATGAGAGTTTTGGTTATGATCCCAAACCAAGTGAAGCAAGTACGCACCGACGCCGCGTGGTTGAAGCATGCGAGGAAGAAGGGCTTGTTGAAGGAAGTCTGTACGGCAGACACAGCGGTGTGAGGCTCAACGGTCCTCAATACAGTCGAGACGTCGGTTGATCATTGTTATTACCTGAAGGGACTGCGAGGCTTCGGCTTGCAGGACCCAGGACCAAATGAGAGCTGGTCGATACAAGAGTTGAAGAGTGAGCTCCGTACACCTCATACATCTCACCATAGGTGTTGAGGTTGTCTAGTATCGTACCGAAGAGCGCCACAAAGCTTGCGTATCTGGCAGGTTGGGACCGCTCCTTCTTGAGGTCCACGTCCGGGTCGAGCAGCTTGGTGGTCTCCGTCGGAGCTGACCAGGCGGCAGCGGGCGCCACAACATTGGCTCGCGTCATCTCGGTCCGTCTCGAGGTGTTTCAATGAAGCGGCAAATACCAGAATGACGAAGTGTGCTTGCCATTGCAGGGAACGCTTCGGCGCGCCGACTCATGTCGGCCAGCGGGTTCGCGACAGCCCTTCAACGAGTAACGACCGGCGGAGAAGTATCCGCCGCCAGCCGCCACGTCGAACGCGTCGCGCGCGCAGCGCTCAATGGAGAGCTAGCTAGCTTGCTCGGGTGGTGCGCTGCTCATGCCACGCCTGGAAGCTGCTTGGGGTGCGTAGCACAAACAACTTCAACATGGAAGGTCGCGCAAGATACATGTAAGTTTCAATTAACTATTACGTTTTAGTTAGTTAGTTAGGTGGCTAGCTACACGACGTGCGAGGTCCCGGACGTGTTGCGCAGGCTTCCCTGGTACGGCTGGTATGTCTGCGGGGGCGCGCTGGGGGCCGCTGCTGGCGGCGTGGATGGATCGACGCGGTACTCCGGTCGGGCCGTAGTGGGGACGATATCGGAGATCTGGTAGTCGTGCTCACGCTGCTGGTACTGCGGCTGCACCATCGACGTGTCCGCGTAGCTCTGTGGCTGGGTCGTCCTCGCTGTGCTTTCGCTCGCGTTCTGCTGCGTGGGCTGCTGGTCCTGGAGGTCCTCCCATCGAACCTGGTTGGATGTCGGGTAGCGTTGCTGCCCGAACGGCTGCTGCTGAGGTTGGCACTCTGGCTGCTGCTGCTGCGGATACTGCGCCCGCATGGCAGGCGTGCCCATGTTGGTGTACTGCACTCTGGCCGGCGTCATGGCGCCGTGACGAGGCAGCACGTCCATCTCCTCCGAGCCGCGGCGGCCCAGCGTGTGGTAGTCGATGTCCTTGCCCGTGAAGCGGGTCTGGAGCACCATCGAGAGCCCAAACACAACCAAAGTACCAATGAAGTAGCCCCACCACGCGCCGGGGATGGAGTACTCGAGCTCGCCGCTCGAGTTGTACACTCGGAAGCGCTCCAGGTCGTTGAACGTCGGGTAGTTGCCGGCGAAGTAGCCGATGCCCCAGAAGAGCAGGAAGGCGCCAACCATGCTCGTGCCGGCGACCAGAGCCGGCTTCTGCAGCCAGAGCGCCGCAGCGCCGCCGACAACGGCGAAGACGGCGACCAGCACGATGAGCACCGTGGCCGGGTGAGACGGGGCCAACTTGTAGCCGAACGACGTATTGAGGAGGATGGCGAGCGCCGCGCCGCCCACCGCGCCGCCCATGAAGATGCCGGCCCAGTACAGGTACACGCAGACGTAGCCGACAATGATGCCGCCCACCACGAAGGCGATCCACGAGGCCGTGAGCACCCACGTCTCGTCCTTGAAGACCTTCTCGAAGATGACGGCGATGACCACGCCGCCGCCGAGGAAGCCCAGCGCGTACACGGTGGTCTGCCACAGTCGGTAGCCTGCTACTACCAGTAGGGCGCCCACCAGAAGAGCGCCGATGGCCAGCACGACGCCGTTGATGTCCATGCCATCGCTCGAGTCGAAGATCGTCTTGACTGTGGCGGTGGTGTCGCTGTCCGAGACGGCCGACACCAACTGCAGGCACAGCAGTGCAGCCAGCAGCAGCGACTGCAGCGACTGCAGCGCTTTAGCGTACGACATAGGATACGTGTGAGTTGAGACCGATCGGTGTGTGAGTGAGCTCCAGAGAGGAGATTGCAGAGTGAGCTCCTCTCATCGGCCAGCGGTGCCCATGTCTCGGTCATTTTTCAACATGTCCAACGGCGAACGTATTGCATGCAATACATGCACCGCTCGGTGCATGCCGATAGAGAAAATCCAGGGGGATCTGCTGCCAACTCTTGTGTACTTAAGTATTCCGGTGGACACCAGATAAACAAGCGCGAAAATAAACTCGCGTGGTGTCCACCGCGCGAGTTTATGCTTTTTCGAGCGTGCATACGTTTATATTTTCCTCTCATCACGAATACATATCCAGTCGCGTCGTGGCCTCTTGCCACACACACAGGCTGTCGCCCTACACGGCGGCGTTGCCCTTCTGCTTGGGCACGGCGTGGCTCTCGGTCTTGCCGCCGTGGTCGTAGCCGCGCGCCGTCTTCTTGATCTGCACGCTCATGCCCAGGAGGAAGAGCACGACCATGCCCGCCAGGTAGCCCCACCAGGCGTCCGGGATGTTGTAGACCCAGTCGCCGTTGTCGTTGCGCGCGCGGAACTGCTTGAGGTCGGCACCGTTCGGGTAGTCGCCCGCGAAGTAGCCGACGCCCCAGACGCAGACGGTGGCGCCCACGATGGCCGTGGTCGTGATGAGCACGGGCTTCTCGAGCTTGAGCGCCAGGAGGCCGCCGCAGATGCCCAGCACCACGGCCAGCACCACGAGGATCACGTCCGGGTTCTCCGGGTAGATCTTGGTGCCCACGGACGTGTTGATGGAGAAGGCGAGCATGACGCCGCCCGCGGCACCGGCCAGGAAGATGCTGGCGCTGTAGAGCATGAGCACCACGACGCCGGCGATGACGCCGCCCACGGCGAAGGCGATCCACGAGGCCGTGGGCATCCAGCTCATGCTCGCGAAGGCCGTCTCGACGATGCCCGCCACGAAGAGGCCGCCGATCATGAAGGCGCAGCAGAAGACGGTGGGCCGGAAGAGCCGGTAGCCGGCCAGGCACACGACGCCGCCGCCCAGGATGGCGATGGCCGCCAGCACGGCGGGGCCGACCTTGAGGTGCTTGGCCGAGCTCAGCAGCTGCGTCACGCCCTCCAAGGAGCTCGAGCTGTCGTCCGACGCCACGTCCGAGAAGCTGCCGCTAGCGCTGGAGCTGGAGCTGAGGCTGCCCACGACAGCCATGGCGCACAGCTGCAGCAGCGCGACGGCCAGCAGGTTCTTGAGCAGGTAGGCGCTTGTCATCGGAACTTCTGGCACTCGAAAGCGCGAATGGTGGAAAGGAAACCTGATTTGGATCGTCGTACTTAATAGAGGCGGCGCCGGCCAATCGCAGCGGAGCAGTATCACAATGGCACCGCGTTTCCTTCGCGACTTTGACCACCATGGTCAATAGGCTTGATCGCATAATGGCCATGGCCATCGTCGTCGTATGTACATATACAACATCGTACATGTACTTGGAGGCTACTATTGAGTTCCAGCTCCACGATGCCGATTTGGATGCGGTTTCTCGTAGCGCTGCGGTGCTTGCAACAAGGCTTGTTGGCTTGTTGAAGCCTGTCTGCAGATTCCGCAGTGGGATTGGCAGCACCAGCTCCGGAGCCGATGCCCCCCGGAGTGTGCACTGCCGGCGGCCGTGCCGCACATGTACTGTAACTGGTTGCTCTGATGATCAAGTTGGATCAACTTGCTCGTGCAATTGACTCCAGGTGCGATGCTTACAAAGAGATCGCGCGATGTATCTGTGTGCGGAATATGCGACTTGTGACGAAGTTGGAGACGCACTTGCATTCTTCGCACAGCGACCCGTTTACTCGTACGAAACTAATGGGGCGAAAGCATAACTACCCCCCCCCACCTCCCTTTTGTGAGCTAGCAGAGCTAGCTAATCGCTGGCTCCGCTGGTGGAGGCTCCAACATCACAGACAGTAAGGGAGACAGACGGCTACAAGACCTTCGCTGTGAAAATAATCGCCTAGATTGGTTGAAGTGGGCCAGAACTAGGAGAACACGCAGCAAAGTGCATTCTGGCCAAACACGCCGACTTGGCGCTGGTGGCGACGCTTTTTGTTCGACATCGCTTTGTGATCATCACTTTCTTGGGCGCTCGCCATTGTTGCTTATGTGCTGATGTCGTTCAGCTTCCGGTGGACACCAAAATCTGTAGCTACCCAGAAAGCAGCATCGTGGCACCACGAAGGCTGCGCATGGTCTCCGCACAATACGGACACATTACCGTCACATTTCTAGTGGAATGCCCCTGACAGTTGCAGCGCTCGCTCCTTCGCCTGCTCACTCACTCGCCTTCACGCGCCTCCAGCAGATCGTGCATACCATAGCGAGCCAGTAGATAAGATGGCGCCCATACATGCTGCTATTCCTTGACGCAGGCCACCGTGGCGTTTAGGTCAAGTTGGTGTCGTGCGAGGCAAACGGCGGTGTCGGCTTGCCCCACGCGCACCATGCGAAAATGCGTTAGTAAATTGGCAGCTATGCCACCTTCGCATGCTCGCACTCGCTGTTTCATTCTAGAAACGAATAATCTAGGATGATACAAATTCCCCCACATCTGATTTCCCAAAATAATTCTTTTTTTCGGGGTACAGTGTGCCGTACTGGTGCGGTTATCTTGATAAAATGCATCGCTCAGTATGATAGGTGAATTCATCCAGATTTCGCTGGCTGCCTGTACGTCCATTTGTCTTGCTCGAAAACGGTCCTCCTTCGCGGGGGTACACGGTGTTTGAGGTGTATATGAGGGGTGTACGAGGCGACCTCCAAACGTCGAAATCAAGCGGTATGGCTGTGTGTAAGCCGCTTTTAGGCTGAAATGCTGTAAGGCTGTGTGGGTGATTTCTGTAAGGCTTTGAATTTGAATTTGAATTTGTTGCGGTTTAGTCGGCTATTTCAAATACCCTATTTGCATCCGATGCTGCGCGCTGCTGCAGTTTCGCCAACGGGCCCCGGACCCTAAAGTCCAATATCGGTCATAGCCCATTTTTTCCTGATAAGTTTGCAGCTAGGGGTGTAGCCTACGCCGCAGGAGGGACTTGCGCGGCCTCCAATGCGCTAGGAATTTCCCAGTGGGAAGCGCGTGGCTTGAACCACGACTCACCCTTTCAAATATACTTGGATACATCAATCTATATTAAGGGGTATAAATAGACGGCAGTATCATAAGTTGCTTCGAGCTGAAAAAAGCGGGCCAAAACGGGGAATCGCGGCGTTGCACGACGTGCGGGGTTTGCGGAGCCAGTTGAGCCAGAATGGCGGCCAGGGGCAGGTGACGACGCACCCGTTTGGTGCGGCCGCCTTTGCGTATGGCCGAGACTCGGCCCTGTGTGGTTTCTGCCATTCTGGGCCGCGTCTGGCCGCGCCTTCCCCGCCCACTCGCCCGCACACATCGCAAGCCGCCCCCAAGACACTCAAGACGCTGAAGCCTCGAGACCCCGACCATGCAGCTGAAGGTGAAGGAGACGACGCCGGCCGCCAAGTGCGTGCGGTGGTCCACCGTGACCGTGTACGAGTTCGGTGTGGCGCTGGGCGGCAGCGCCGTGCCCCGCCGCGGGGGGCCGTCCATCGGGCTGGCGCGCACGCCGCAGCAGGTGTGGAGCGCCTCGCTGGACAAGGTGCGGCGCTGCGGGGACTTGGACCTCGCGCGGCCCGGCGCCGAAGCTGAAGCTGCAGTGGATGACGCCGAGATGAAGGAGGAGGTGGATTTAGTCGCCGCGGACCGCAAGGAGAGGCGCAAGCGCCGCGTGCAGCGCGCTCGGCGAGTGCGCTGGCTCAAGCCGCTGGAGCGCATCACGATGCTGACCAAGGCCGGCTGCAGCGAGGAGCGCATCTACCGCATGATGATGGAGAGCTCGGACATCGCCATGTCCAGGAGGCTCTGCGTCTCGATGCAGCGCCAGGTGGCCGCGTGAAGAGCCCGCGGAATCAAGCGCCTCGGCGGTGGTAGTGTTACCCCGCCGAGCCACGAGGACCAAGTTGCTGCGGAGCTGCTGGCTGTTGACGCAGTGCGCCCCCAATAGACCACAAGCGAGTAGACTATGACAATGAACGACGACTATTTACTGTGTACCAACCAAGGTGCCTAGCCAACATCGTGCGTGGTAGCTGTCACTCGGAGGTCAGCCTAGGAACAAGCTGCAGCTTGCGCTGGTGTTGCTGTGGAAGCCCTTAATCCGTCATTTACGATTGCTGAGCGAGATCCGACCGAGGGAACGCCTCCAAAGCAAGCCGAACTGATCGGCAACCCGAGCAAAAGCTGCCCGCATTCATTGCGTCATAAATTAAAGTTGTTCGTACGACCTTCTCCTCTGCTTCTCCACCCTGCTGCAGCTCTGCGTCTTCAGCGGACGATGGAGCGACTCATGCCGCCGCACACTCGAGCGAGGCCACACGCAGACACAGGCGCCGCGACTGGGCAATGCTGGACGACTCCATGAGCATGCGGTAGATGCGCTCCTCGCTGTAGCCAGCCTTCTCCAGCATCGTCACGCGCTCCAGCGGCTTGAGCCAGCGCACGCGCCTGCGGTGTCTCCGAGCGGCGGTCGATGCCGGCGCACTCCCCGCCTTGCCTTCTTGCACCTCCAGAGCCGCGTTCTCGGTCGCCAGCTCGCTCTGCGCCGCGTCCACCGACGTGCTCCACACGCAGCGAGGCGTCTTGGCCAGCCCCACGGCGGGCCCGCCGCGACGAGGCACGGCGCTGCCGCCGATGCCCACGCCGAACTCGTACACCGTGACGGTGGACCAGCGCACGCTCTTCTTGCTCATGTTCGTCTGCGTCTGTGGGGAAGCGGGGAATGGGCGGCCGGCGGCGCTTGCGGCTCGGTGGCGGCTCCATGCGGAACCGGTCGGGGCCAGCGAGCGGCCCGCGTCCGTCCCGCCCGCCGCCACTCGCTCGCCACTACCCCCGGGCCAAGCTGCTGGCGGATCTGGTGGATCTGCTCCGCCCGAGGAAGCATACAAACGCCAAGTGGTTCGTCCACCCGAAGCCTTCAAGGTCGTCCGCCCGTCCGCCCGCCAGCGGACGTATCGCGTAATCCCAAAATCTGGATACCGGTGCAGAGCTGGGCCAGTCTCGAGCCGAGGTTGCCGAGGGCAGCAAGATGTGCGCAGCGCTCCAGCACCTGCAAGCCCTGCAGCAGCGGCCTTGGCTGCGAGGACAATGGCAACTTGAACGCTACAACCAAGAGCGTCACCTCCGAGGTGCTGGCCCCGCCCGCATTGCTGCGGCTCGCCTGCTCGCTCATCCCGTGAGATCACATCTGCAGCGTGATGCCGGTTCCCCACAGCTGGCGTCGCGCTCGAAAGCGGGGCGGACGACGTCTTCTGGCCGGCTGGTGTCAAATGGCTCGATGTGCATAGAGGCGCGGGGCCAACTCGCTCGCTTGCTGGCAGCGACTGCCGCAGGAAGCCAAGCAGAGCTGCCCAACGCTCCAGAGCCTAGCGGTAGACCAAACTCCAGCCACCTCTCTCTATGGGGCCATCGCGTTGAGCGCAGCCACCAATGCTGGTTGTCGTCTGCAGATAAAGTCCGTAACGTTAGTGTCCAGAAATCGCTTTAACGACTTTCTGGTCTCTAACTCGACTGAAGCACCGTCCTCTCCCCGGCTATAGCGGCCCGCGACCCGAAATTAGAACCCCCTCACCTACTTCAAGCCTGAAATGAAACGCGGCGATACTAAAACGCAGTGGGGCTTTACGAGAAGCGTCCTCGACGCTGCTTGCTCGAAGATCCGCCCGCAAAAGGCAAGCGCCGACAGTGTCGGCCCAACACTGCAAGTGCACCCCAGCGTATTCTTGGCTGCGACTCAACCGACGAGAGGTAGAGTGCTGGGCGGCCCACGGATTGAATAAGGCGACTAAGGTCCCTGGATACTGAGACTGTCCGGTGGTGGCAGCGACGCTGGCTGGCTGCATGGGCCCATTGGCTTCAAGTGTGTCGCAGTGGCGAGATGGCAGGCAGAGCAAAGCAAGATTCATGGCATAGGCACTCACTCACTACACGGTCGGAACGGTTCATGCATGTGGCTCGTATTGTAGCGATATCCTATAATAAAGGTCAAATAACTTAAGCTCTACGATCAGCGCCACCACGACGGTTTCGACCGGCGCCTTGACGGTGACGCGCTGTATGTGCACAACGAAACACAGATCGCCTCTCTTGTGGTCGCACTGCGCTGGGTTGGCTTGCTTCGGCTGCTTGATTTACACGTAGTTGACCGGGATCATGCGCGGTCGGTCGAGGACTGCAGAAAAGCAGGGGCGGGGGGACTCCAGCTTGCGCTGCTGCTTCTTGGCCGCCTTCCGCTCGGCGATGTTCTCCACGAGCGTCCTCCGGCGCGAACAGTTGATGATGTTGGCCTCCCGCGAGAAGCGCAGGATCATTCCCTCGCTCACGCCCGCGCTCTGCAGCAGCCGCACGCGCTCCTCGGGCGTGAAGCGGTGCACGCCCTCGACGCACTCGGCCATCTCGCCCACTTTGGTCGTCCACGTGAACTCAGGCTTGTCGCTCAGGCCGATGGAGGGGCCGCCCTTGCCGGGCACCGAGCTGCCGCCCAGCCCCACGCCGAACTCGTGGACGGTGATGGTGGACCAGCGCAAGCGCTTCCGCGTCTTCTTGGGGGAAACCTCGCAGTCGATGGCGACGGATGAGCTGCGCTGGCGCTTCTTGCGCCGCTCGGGTGAGGCAGGCGCAGCAGCCGGAGCCGTGGAAGTGGAAATGGTGGTGGGCCCACCAGTGGAGGAGCTCTTGGGCGTCAGGAGCTGCTGAGTGGAGACGTTGTCGTCGCCCGCGTAGGCGTCTGTTGCGTCCTTGGGGGCCATGGCTCGCGGTTGAAGGCAGTGGAGGTGAAGGTGGTGGGGTGCGAGCTGTGGGCTGTGATGTGCTGCTCGCTTGCTCGGTCGGTGGTCGGTCCGCGCTTCGGGTTGTGCTGCTGTTTTGACTCTGGTTTGTTTTTGGGATGTGACCCCCGCATGTATCTGGTGCAGTGGACGGCGCCGCGCCGTCTGACGCGCCGTCCACCGACAGCCGTCCCCCGAGCGTACCCGCCACCGACCGGGGTTATCTTGCACCGCTCGCGCCACCGACCAGTGCAAAGTGGGACTCGACCGGCACTCGCACTGCAACGAAGCCAAGAGCGCCGCTGGGCCCCGCACTGCGCCAGCAGCACGAACCGTGCTGCCTCTATGAAGGGGAGCTAGCTGTAAGTACATGCACCGGGTTGAACAGAGGTGTTGTGCTGGCAGCGCGCCAGCGTTGACGTGCTTGGGCTGCGAGTTTCTCAGATGGGTACAGTGTACCGGTTCAAGTTCGCTGGTCGTTCGTTTCTTTGTGAAGCCAGGGCTGCCATCAAGGGAGTGCAGTGACCTTCATCCTTGTCGTCGCCTCAGGGCTCGAAGAGTACTGTTGCCGGCATGCGCGCACCCGTCCACTGGATTGACTGGCCGCCGAGTTGTCGAGCCGAACTGTCTTTTCGAGGTCCGATCGTGAGATCGGTGCACCAGGCAGCAGCAATGTTCGCCAAGCACGACACTCGCCTTTCGGGCGGTTACTTACACACCGGCACGCGAGCTTGGCCCAATATCGTCCGCCACACTGAACGCTGCACCGCAACGTGCATGTACAGTGTACATTGTACACTGAGTGGATCCGCGTTACTGCTCTCTAGTGTCGTCTTAGTCTCTGCGCGTGGGGCTGTCGATGGCTGCACCCATCCGCAGCGGATATTTCCACTTTGCAGCGAGCCAGAGCGACTCGTGCGGGGCCAGATAGTTTTCCGACACCCGACAATGCCGTCGCACATCGCGCTGCGGTTGTCTGTCATCGGCACTAATGAAATGCTGGCAAACACTTCTGATCCACATGATGTGGTTGTCGATCGCAAAGTATCCAACCTTCAATTCTTACCATCGACGCTATATCCATGGATGAAATGCACACCCTAGGCTCTCTAAGTGCGTCGATACCGTCTCCTACGCGGGCCCCAGCAGCGACGCGTTCAAATCCTCCTTGCGCAGATCAACGGGGCGGTCTTTCAGCTTCACGTACCACTTAAAGTAGATAAGAGGCATCGTGACGACCAAGATGGCCGCAAGCACGAGGCTCTGCGTCCATGCTTTGGCCACGACGCTCACTGCGAGAATGTACAGCGCTAATTGCGCGATGACGATCAGCCCCGTGCACGCCAAGTCGGTATGATTCTCCGAGTCGATCTCGGAGATAGTCTCGTGCGTGAAGCAAATGTGCTTGATCTTGTGCCAGGCACCCGGCGGCCGAGCGAAGCGATAGAAGCGTCGCAGCACCTTATCAGGATCGGGTCGAGTCAGGAGGCAAACGACAATTGAGATGACGCCCGAGATCGACGACGTGATCACGAAAGCCTGGAACTCCTCCAGCAACGGTGCGAAGCTGTAGAATACAATACGTCGTAGTAGCAGCACAAACGTTAGTTGGTTGTTTAGTGACCGAGTTATACCATATACCATTGCACAAACTTACATGAACACGGCGATAGCCGCGATATACCCCGACCCAATTCCGAGCAGGCAGCTGTACGCGTTGAAGCGCGACCAATACCAGGAAAAGAAGAATGGCCAAATGAGCCCGCCAGCCATAGCGATGGTCATGAAGCCCCAAATGCGGTTGATCGTGCTCACGTCCAGCGAAAGGAAGAGCCCAGCCAGCATCACAAAAGCAGACGACAGCCGCGCGTGCCACAACAATTGCCGCTCGGACGCCTTTGGGTTGATAAGCGCCTGGTAGATATCCACTGTCCAGTACGACGACGAGCTGTTGATGGTGGTGTCGAAGGTAGTTAGCGCTGCTGCTAGCAGCGAGGCCAACACGAATCCCTTCGCACCGACGGGCAGCACCTTGTTGATCACTATCGGCACGACGCGCTCCGGATCCACAACCACACCAGCATGCTGCATCGAATAGTGGATGCCCATGACAGCAATGCCACCGCTGAAGGCCCAGCGCAGACTCAGGAATACCATGGCCAAAAAAGTCTGCGACCGCACTTCACGCTCTGACTTGGTCGCGAGCACAGTCTGAAGGCCAGAACCGCCGGGCCCCGACGCCGACCGCATCATTTGCAACAATGAGTACGAGGCCAGGATGAGTCCGAACGAGTTGTACATGGAGTAGGACGCCTCATCAGGCAAGCCCAGCGAACTCGGTGGAACAGCAGAAACCCAGGCGCTTCGTGTAGTGTTCATCTCAATGTAGTCTGGTTCGCCGCGCACCGACTTTCCGGGTAGGAACACTGAGAACTTGTCTGGAAGCTGCACCATGAAGCCCATTACTGCGACGATAATGAACGACGTGAAAATGAACAGGCTCTGGTACACATCAGTGTACACGACGGTGGAGTAACCAGACGCGATAGTGTACAGCATCGCTACTGCCATCAACAAGGCCGCCGCCCAGAACTCCGAGGGTAACCCACCCCATTCTGGCAACTTGACAAACTCTGTGGAAAACTTTCCTGTGACCACCGCACACCAAAACAAAGTTCCACAACAGTTTAATGGCTCAATATGATCGACAATAAACACTGAACCTTGCAGAGCTTACCACCACCTACGGCGAAGTACGTGGTCGCGAGCACGCCACTTGTCAAGGACGTGATAGCGATTGTAGTCCGCAGCAGCACCGCGTCAAGTCGAGTCCCGAACCGGAATTTGATCCTAAGCACCACAAGCATCTCACAAAAGTCAAGAGTGCACTTCCTCCTTTACCCTAAACCAGGCTTATTCACACGCACCACTCCCCCCTTGTCTTGACGGGGCAGCGCCGCGATAGTTTGCCCGTATAGGCTAGCTGGAAGGCCAGGAAGAGGCACAGACCGCCGCGGATCTCGATGTACATGCCCTTGACGCCCAGCGCGTAGACCAGCGCCGTGTTGATCATAGTCCCCGATATGTCGATGTACGAGCTCACATCGGCCACTGCCAGTGCGTACCATGGGATACGGCGTCCCCCGAGATAATATTCCTCCAGGACGTGGTCATTCTTGGCTGGCTTGTGGTTGTGAGAGGCGTCGAGGCGCTTGGGGTCCCGCGCCCCGGCGTCCATTAGCGCCTGGTGGTGCAGACGCGTCAGTCGCAGCCGCTCGCGCTCGCGCTGCTCCTTGAAGGTGAAGAAGAGTCCCACGAGCAGCACGGAGGCCAGGTAGGATACGCAGAGCGCCAGGTCCAGCGTGCTGAGCTCCACCACGGGACCCATGGCGACTCCCGGGATCTCCATGGCGATGGATGAATCAGGGTTACACACGATGTAACCGGATTACCCTGTGAGGTTACAGATGGCGTCTCGAATTGATTGCTTCAAAATGTTGTTTACGCCGGCGAAATGCTTAGTCCGAAAACGACCTTGAAGTTGCGCTTGAAGTTGAGTGACACATTTTTCATCACATTTTTCGCTCAAACCGGCTTAGCAATTGCATAAACAACTGCATCTGTGAGGCTAGAAAACAAGCTATGTAAATTCATATTCACAGCGACGCTGTTCAGTGACGGCGATTTTTGCTTTTCTTTCTTGCGGGACTCAGTATATCGGCACGTCCGTACTAATGATCGTCGTCTACCGCCGACTTAATTGCTGTGGCTGTATATTACATTGCAAGCTCCTAGTCTCGTGTGTGAAGGCCCACACACCCTCGTGACCGCGGGCAAAGTATCCCCTTTTCGCCTGCTTGCCGCCTATATTCGACAGCGCTGCTCTCATCGCCCACGGACACCAACGTGGCAATTTCTACCCCCTCTAGAGAGACGAACGGGTGGGCAGCACGCGGTTTGGGATCTCATGTTGAGGGCGTGTGCTGCTTAGGGTCCATGACTGTGAACGGCGGGCTGCAGTCAACAAGACGAACGAAAACAGCAATATTATGGTATTTGTCGACTGGAGGCGCAGGTGCTTTCTCAATACTGGAGTAGGTCCTTTCCGGGGGCACCCGGTGATGTGGTGCCTAAGCCTTGATATATATCCAGGATATTATGCAGGGCAACGGGGTGGAAAGTAGCATTTACGCTAACCGCTATTTCATGATGTGTAGTGATACACTTAAAGTAAGAGATCCACCCCTGCAGCGACTGCCCTCCCATATGCCTGAGCATCGCGTTGATAGTCCGGGATGAACTTGTGGAGAACAATGATCCCACAAACTTGGTGCTTCCACGAGATTGGGCCAACCGGTTCTTAGCATGAATATGACGGGCTGTTGTTGAAGTCGAAGTCAACCCCGTTGACAGCGGTTCGGGCGCCAATGAAGCCGCGTATGCTTGGAAACACCCGCGCTTGATCGCATGGCGAATGTGCTGCAAGCTGGATACGACCGATGAGGATGTTGCTGCGTGGCGCTGTAACTTTTGGAGCGTACCCCCTGGGGTACACAAGGGGTACGCTTGCGAACAGCTACGATACTCTGCGACGTGTGCAATGCTAGTGTTTGTAAGTGGACGGGAACCCACTGAAGTTGCAAGGCAGAACAAAGACGACAGTCCGGCAGGAATTTTGCGCGGCCGAAGTGATCCGGGCTGCAGCCGTGCTTAATATTCCGTCCTCTGCCGTTGCTGCGCCGAGCTGTCCGCGTCTGCATTGGCCATATCTGCATGGTAGGAGCGAGCTGCCGGAGGTGCTAGACGAATGCAATAGTAAGCGGCGACTAAGCTGGTGCAGTGTGGCCAAGGTGACTGCGCCCATCGCAAGCAAGCAACCGCCATGTGGGCGGAACACAGCGGGGAAACGCTTGAAGTCGTTTCGGAGGATAGAGCGCGAGGAAGCGAGTGAGCGAGTGAGGAGCATGCCTGTACTCACGCCAAAAGGCAGATAACTGCGTAGCTCGAGGCATTGGAGCTCTGAAGATCAGTCCGCGATTGTTGCGCCTCTGACCCTATCCAGGGCTGCGAAAATGAGCCGCAAAGCTTCAAGTGTGGTCCACACCGCGTACGTCACCTCAGCGTGTCATCGTCCGCAGCGACGGCGATGGTCATGGCGGCGCTACGAGCGGGCGAAAGTCCCCGGTCGCGTCTGCTTCGTTCGGCGCGAGCGGACACCAATTGGCCGATGCATCGTGCCGTTGCACTTGCGCTCATCGCTGCTACTTGGTACTTTCGTCCGAATGGTTAAACGCAGGATCCGATGCGCCGAGGCGAGGAAGGCGCCCGGGGATCGGAAGGGCTGGGGCTGCAAGTGAATGGTACTAGTACCGCTTCTCAGCCTCCGGCCGCGTCGGGGAGACCACCAGTTCCATGGAGGCCAGCGAGTGACTGCTGCGAGTCCCCACTGGTCTCTGTTTTCTGTAGTCCTCTAGCTCTAAAGTGGGTTTCTCTTGATTCCTTGGCAGTATGATAGTCTGTGCCTTCAGCAGGGCTGCATCAGCATAGTCCGTCGCTCGCCAATGGAGAGCTGTCCTCATTCCGATCTGCTCGTTGCACTGAGCTTATCGACGATCGGTAATAATTGGGATGACACATCGATTGAAGCTCAACGTGCAGGCTGGTGAACCTTTCCCCGTGCAGCCAACCTCCACGCGTTTGACGCCTACGAGGCATTTCCTTCGCGAAAGCACGGCAGCAAATAAGCTCCTCAAGTTTGTTGCATTGATCAATTGAATAAAAATGTGGTGGCGCGTGTGCGCCTTGGTGCCTGTGCACTTCGTTCGTACACGGGGAGCTGCTCGGACAACTGGGAACTCACTTGCTGCTGTGCTCCCCGTCGTCGTACCCTGGTTGCTCGACTTCCCCTCGTTACTTGCTAGTGTTTCTCTACTGACAGTGCTCCCGCCGTCGTAGCTTCTCCGTTCGTATACATCTCATCTCGAATAACTTAAAGCCAATCGCCCCGGCCGGGGCGTCAAAACGTGCCGGCAAAGGTAGGCGAGCCAGAACCCGACCAGTCCTGCTCGCAGCCCGCGCAGCTACACGTAGTTGACCGGGATCATGCGCGGCCGCCGCAAATAGACGGCGCACGGGCGCTCCAGCATGCCTGCCTGGCCTGCGCTGCGCTTGCGGAGCGGCTCCTGGCACTCGTGTTGCTCCTCCTCCTCCTCCTCTTCCTCCTCGTCCAGCTCGCTTTCGTCCCAGCTCATCTTCGACCGACGACGCGAACCCAGGATGATGTTGGTCTCCCGTGCGTGGCGCGTGATGATGCCGTCCGGGATGCCGGCGGCCTGCAGCAGGCGGATGCGCTGGTTGGGCGAGAAGCGATGCACGCCCTCCACGCACTCGGCCATCTCGCCCACGCGGGTCGTCCACGTGAACTCGGGCGTATCCGCGAGGCCGATGGACGGGCCGCCCTTGTTGGACACGGCGCTGCCGCCCAGCCCGACGCCGAACTCGTGCACGGTGATGGTGGACCACGTCACGCTCTTCTTGGGCTTCGCGGTCGGGGAACCGCTGGCGCTGCGGCTGCTGCCATTGTTGCTGCCATTGTTGCTGCCCTCCGGCTGCTCATCGGTGGTGGGCTCCTTGGCCATCGCAAGGTCGACAGCGCAACTCAGTGCGGCGCTCGGTGAGGCACCGGCACCGGCATGGTGGTCATGTGCTGCAGTGGCGTGTTGCTGCTGCTGCTGCTGCTGGCTGGGGCTGCCAGCTCGAGGCGCGCAGCTCGGAGATCGCATTGCTTCGTGCTGGGAGATGCCGCGGCTGTCGACGGGTGCAAGACACTTGCGCTGCTGCTGGCGGGATGGCGGAATGGGGCGACTGTCGTTGGGTTTGCGTAGATGTGGACCCGGGCTCCGCTGGTCCGCTCGAGCCGGGACTCGCGTCCGCCACATGCGCGAGGTTTTAGCGGACGAAGCAAGGTTTTATCGAAAGGTCGCGTCGCCGCCGCGCAGTTGTCGCCGTGGACGAATTTCAGCGATCAGCCGGTACAGTGTACCGCCCTCGCGTGACTGTCGCACAGACGCCGCGAATCAAAGCGCGTGTGCGAGCGAGCGAGCAAGCAGCTCCTTGGCCGTGGCGAGCATCGCTGCTTGGTACGCCGGAGTGGGCCATCCCTGCCAACGACGAGCGCGCAGCTCCATGGTGCGGCTCCTCTCCACCGACACGCTCGCTCGCGCGTTGACTTGACTCGCTGGAATCAGCTGCTGATCCATGCGACTTGCGAGCTCGTTAGTCAGCGAAACCTGCCATCCTCGATGTGTAACTGTTATTCTGCCTGCCAGACCTGATAGTCCGCCGATGGCTACAGCGCTACCGCCACCGGACGCCACTTAAGAGACGGAGCGATGACGCGCTGCATTGACGGCGACGCCAGTATGCTCGGAGTCGGGCGGCGCCGCCCTCATTGCGCCAAGCCGGGTGAAGGCAAGCTTAGCTTGCCTTGATCTCCCAGGCCACAGCAGAATTGCCTGCCCCTGCGCATCTGCTTTGCGCGCTCGCCCGGGTCAACTCGTTCAACTCGTGCCGAAAAGGTACCACGCACGCTGTCGCTAATTCAGCGCGAGCCTGTCTTATTCGAGGGCTATCCCCCGGCACATCAAATCTCGCAGGCGCGTCCACTGGGCGGACGGCTCGCTGCACCGAACAGCGCGACCACGTGATGGCCCTCGCTATCGGCTTTGCGCGACTTCTGCTCGAAGTGGGACCTCCTAAAAAAAGGAGTGATGGTCGCCGAGGTTTCCGCTCCGAATAGAGAGCCCTCTCATTCCGCATTTTGCGAGCTCGCGAGTGCGCCATGCCGACGCAGCGCTACATCGCGCTGCAGATGCTGCAGGACCGCGCGCTCTGGGAGCTCCGGGAAACTTCCACCACCCGCTTGCGCGCTTCCTGCGCCGGGCGTGGGGACGCCCGCGCTGCTGGTGCCCCCGACGCTATCCGGTGCCGACCCCGGCGCCGAGAGCGCGGCCCATCAGATGGGCGGACCCCGCGACGATAACTCTTCCGACCAAGCGCTGCCGACGCCACGGCCGTCCGAGAGGAAACATATTAGACCACCACCGTCATCTGCACGAGCAGATCGCATAACGTCTGCGCTCTGGTCGGGCCTTTCAACGCCATCAAACCCCATCGTGGAAGTTGCTGAAGAACTTGCTCTTACAGGATGAACCCATGTACACGTAGGTAGATTCCGTGTTGTTGTTACTTATCTGTCTATGTCCATGCCATCCTTGTAGCTCTGGAACGCCCCGCGGATGAGCTCGAGCTGCTCGGCAAGTTGCACCTCCTCCCTCTCCGCTGCATTCGAGCAGCTATGGGCTCTCGAGTGCGCAACTTTCAGCGGGGAAGGTGTGGAAGGTATTAATGACTTGGAGTGCGGTGCCGATGGCCACGTGGGCGATTCCATGGTGACATGAGGCTTCTCGATGGACCATTTGCCTGGCTGTTGGAGCTTCTTGCTGTTGGAGATTGCCGTGGTACGTCCCGTATTGAGTGAATTCTGCTGTGAGCTCCTGCTGCAGGTCGAGATGCACTGTTCCAGCAGAGCCGGGAAGAGCTGAAGCAGACGCAGAACGTCACCGTTCTGGACTTCCGCGTCGAACTGGTTGAGGAGGTCCTGCAGACTGCGGTCCGTTGCAGCAGTGGGGCGTAAGAAGGCGGTGTACTGCTTGACCAGGCCGAGGAACCGACTTGAAAAGGCTGCGCTCTGCACCTCGAGCGCTTTTAGCTTTTCTGCTTGCTCTCGATGTGAGTTTTTCATGTGTGCAAGCTGAGTGTTCAACTGCAAGGAAAGCAACAACGCTCGTCACTTACTGCACGGAAGATGGAGCAAGTCTTCGTACGAACCTGCTGGTTGCACTCGTTCTGCTGCTCAGCAAAAGTGGCTGCGCTTTCGAGCGCACGCTCCAACTCTTCGGAATAATTTCGCTGCTCATTCATCGTCTCTCGCTGATCTTCAAGCTGCCGTGTAAGCCGCTTATTTGCCGCGACTTGAACGGAGCACTCATTCTCCACTGCTACTAGCCGGTTGTTCTCAGCCGATAGATCGCGTAGCAAAGTCTCTCTAGCTTCTAGAACCTTTGCTTGGTCGGCAACTTGCTGTTCTAGTGCATTGAAGGCTTCACACTCTGCCTCAGCACGATGAAGTTGCCCCTCCAGAGTCTCTACCTGCATCGCGAATGCGTTGACTTCCAGTGTCCGCTGCTCAGACAAACACTATCTCGTTAGTGGACATACACAATGGTCCGTCGTTCGTGGGGGGGTTCGTATCTTACCTCGGTCAGTTGTTGCCGGCAGTCACAAATTTCCTGGTGGCGTTTTTCCATTTCGTCTTGGCACATTTGTGCCGTCAAGTCCAGTGTCGAGCAAGCTTCAACCAGATTAGTGCGCTCCCTTGACCAAGATGCCAGTGCTCGGCTCACTTCGGTTTGCACTCGTTCCGTGACTGCAGCTATTCGATCGACCATCTCGGGGAACGAGGGGCACAGCGGAGTGCATTGGGATGGACCATTACTCGTGGTGAGCGTATCCAAAGCTTGGCAACATACACGCAGGTCTCGGATCACAGCTTGATCAAGTAGAAATGAATGCTCGTCCGAGTCAGAGCTGTTCTCATCCATCTCAGCCGCGTCTTGTGATTCTGTCTCCGCTGATTTGTTCAGCATCATTTGCAGCGCGGTCGATAAGGCGGCCTCCAACTCGGCAACAGCTTCCTCCACCTGATTACACCTCGTCTCCTTTGCTGCGATCTGTTGCTGCTGCTCGTTGCTCTCTTGGATTTCGCTCTGCAAACTTTGCTGCACCTCCGCAAGGGTGCTCTCCAAGCGAGCTTTCTCTTGCTGTAAGGCAGTAAATTGAGATTGTACCTGTTGTTCACGCTGCTCCGCTTCACTGATTTTCGAGCGCAGAGCTGCTAACTGTTCGCCCGATGAGCGCGAGGCGTCATCTGCTTGAGTTTTCGCTGACTCCTGCTTCTCTTTGCAAGACTGTAACTCCACCTTCAGATGCTCCACTTTGTCGCGCGACTTCTTCACCTTATTCACGTACTTGTCCACCGACGCAAGCAGCTCTTCTTGGAGCGCGTTCAGTTCATCCAGATGCGCTTGTTTCTTCGTGCACTCGTCCTGCAGTGTCACTATGTGGCGCTGTCCTTCCTCAAACTTCATTGTCATTGACTTCAACTGCTCTTGGAGAGCACTAACGGTTCGCGTGGCGTCTTCGAGCTTGGCGTCTGTCAAGTTTTGAGCTTTCATAGCTGCCGCTAGTCGGCTCTGCAGAGCTTCCTCTGTACGCTGCGCGTCTGTCGAAGCGCCTTGAAGCCAACTGAGGTGACTCTCTCGTTGCTTGAGCTCCTCTTGCAATTCGTTAATCCTAGCGTACAGCGCAGACTCCTGCTCTTGGAAGCGCTGAGCCATCTCTTCTTGCTGCTTGTGGACGGAAGCAAGCAGGCTCTTGGTGTCGAAGTGGTGCTGTGTCTCCTGTTCAAGCTGCTCCTGGATAGTCGAAAGCGCGTTATTCTTCTGCTCGACATCTCTCTCCTGCTCGTAGATGGTATGCCGCAGCTCGGCAAGTACAATAAGCAGCTCCTCGTGACCTGTGACTTCGAAGTCCGTGGCTTTGAGATGCACAGCTTCTTCAAGGACGCGAATGTACGCTCGCTGCTCGCTCAATACAGCCTCCAGATCGGTTGATGCGTCAATGTCGTCGTCTCGTTGGTTCGTGACTCCGTCAGCGGGGAAAAACTTCTCCATCCTATCATTCTGAAACACTTGCAGCTCCACCAACGCCTTCTCAATACGCTTAGCAGCAAGCTCATACTTCTTCTTCTCACGGTCGGCCTCTTTGATCTTGCACTCCAACTCTCCTCGCTTTTGTCCGAGCGATGCGCCAGTGGAGGGCGTTCCGATCATCATTTGGGCGGCACGCTTCTGCTGCTCCAGCGCCAGTGCTCGTGAATTGGTAGGCGTCTTCGAACTGCCGTCGATTGACTTCCTTCGCTGTGCCCGAAGCTGCTCCAACTGTCGCTTTTGATCTCGAATCTGCTGCTTGTAGTCGTCGATCTGCAGATTCTGCTTCTCGAGCTCCTCATATACATGAGTCAACTCCATCGCCTGCTGTCGCAGCTTCTTGGACAAGGTGTCGATGGGGTGTACACTCGGAGTCGGTTTGTCCATGCTTTGGTTCCCTGGCTGCTCGTCATTACTCGACTTGACCGATTGCTTTGACTTCACAATGCCTCCATTCTTCGCTGAAGTCTGCGCATTTCCTACATGTTGCGCTGCTACTGGGTTTCTGGCTGTCATCGGACGGCGTATGGTACTGCTCGGATAATGAGACGAAGGTGGAGGTGGAGGTGGTGGTGGAGACAGAGCTTGGTTCCGTTCGGTCGAGCCGCGGCGCGTAGTTACAAACCCGTAGTCAGACTCTCCACTGGAGAAGTCTTCGTCGTCTTCAGGCCGCATGGAGCGTTCAAGTGGACTTTCAGTCGAGAACGTCGGCGTACTTGGAGGTCGCAGCATTTGGGCACTGAAAGCGCCTCGAGGGGGGATTTGCGTCCGACCCCCGTGCTTCATCACTCGTTTCCCGTCTTCAACTGACATGGGCGGCGATGGCTGGCGCAGCCCATGCGCTTTCTTCATCGCTAACAACGGTTCGTTTCGCCACTTGTTGGTTCATCCTTTTGAGATGTTGGAACGGACGCGACGGCCGTTTTCGACCATTGACGGCGGATCTTTTTGGTGCTGCGACCATGGACGCATCGAGGGAGCAGCGAAGCTGGTCAGCTACTCAAGTGCGTGCAACTGCAGCCACAGGTCTCGCTTCTTCTCATCTTCAGCCATTCGCCCGTCTTCTCTACAACGATCCAAAGGCTCATGGGGGACGAGTGAGCGGCGGTAAGAGAGCCCGAACCATTTTGGTGGAGAGTCGAGATGAGGTTGTCTGCAGCCGACAACGAGAGCGCAACGGGAAATACACCGCAACGTTGGCTTCTCCGCAGTCGGGGGCAAGTGGAGAGGTGTTCAATATCCACTCGGTGGTGGACTGGGTCGAGCTCCAGCTGTGGAATCGCTTCGGCAATGGCTTCGACGTGTTCTTGGGCAAGGCGTCGGTGTCTCTGCATCAGCTTCAGCAGCAATGCTGCGAAGCTGCGGCAACTGCTGGTACGACGCAAACCTCGGTGACAACGGGGAAGTTGTGGTTCCCTCTAGAAATTTCAGAGACGAACGGGCTGGCGTCACACGTGAGTCTTCAGGTTGAATGCACCTTCACCTCGAATCCGAAAGTGCTTCGCATTCGTGAAGAGATCCAGCAGCGGCGGAGGCGGAGAGCACGCAAATCGAAGAATGATGGAGAGGAGGAGGACTCTAACAGCGGTGAGAATGTCGGCGAGGACGCCCCCGCCAGCATCGCTGACCCGGCGTTTGCGTTCACACAGCCATTCCACCCTGTTGAGTGGTCGATCGTTGCGTCCACCAGCATTCGGCATCTCTTCTTTCATGTAAGCGAGCACCGTTGTGTACTGCTAGGTATAGTTTTATCTTACAGGTTGTGTATGCTAGTCGGATGTTGAGCGCTTGGCGGATTTTCGCGAGTTCGTCCTGTACGGCGACCTCGACCAGGAGATGGACGAGGACGAAGGTCTGCAGATTGACGACGACCATCTTACAGCATTCAAGGTGTGCCAGTTCTCAGCTCAGTACCTTGACCACTGCGTGGAAACTTTGTCCCAACGCCTCGAAGGCTACAGCGATGACTATCGTGTTCTGGGCGATACACGATCACGCTTGACGAGAACCAACAGATCTCTAGTACGTGTTGAGTTCTTAAAACTGACCGTTGTTGTTCAGATTTTACCTTATGCGAATTGTATGTGCAGAGAGCTCAGCGAAAACGTTTGCAAAAGGAACACGACGACCTAGAGCTACTAATCTCAACGTACCAGCGCGTGTTGGAAAAGAATGGAGACGCGGCCTTGATACAAACGCAGCAGAAGGAGCCCGGTTCACCGGTTCGATGTAACCCTGCGGTCCCTGAATCTGCGCCAAATAGTCCTCCAACTTCTCCAACACCATCGCTCTCTTCAAAGAAGCCGGTGTTTCTCAAAACGTGGGAAGAACGTGAGCGCGAGCGTCGACTGGAGAAAGAGGTATCCAAAGCTCAGCGCATCGAGGAGGAAAAGCAGCGTCTGCTCCAGCGCGTGATAGAACGACAACAGCAAGAGGACTACGAAGCTCTCATATCAAAGTTCACCGAAAGCCGAAAGCAGCGCGCAGCACGAAGGATCCAGACGTTCGTTCGCAGCATCAGGAGCGCTCTGCAAGCCAAACGCCTTGAGACTGAAAACCGAGCAGCTTCACTTGTGCAAGCCTCGTGGAAACGATTCGTGCACGTGAGGGATTATCCACGTCGGCTTGAAGAACGAAGGGAGGATATTGAAATGCAACAAATGGCTCAAAGCGAGGAGGAGCTGAGGCAGTGGCTAGCTGACTTGGAGCAGAAACGGCGTGAAGAAGCCATTGCACGCGCCATGTCGCCTCCAGAGTCCATCCGGAGCAACGAACCGGAAGATGCCATTGACGATACGCCGTCGCCGTCTGCATCACCTTCAAAGCAGGTGGTTGATGCTCTCGTAACAACATGGCGCAAGCTGCATCGAGTGTTCGTGATCGCTCACAGAACGAAGGGAACGGACTATCGCGACCTCTTCTCCGAAATCGACCTCCGCAAAGACGACGTCCTCGATCGCGCTGAGCTGAGACTTGGTGCCAGAAGTTTTGGCGTGCGGCTCGACCGAAAGATCACGCGAGCGTACGTAAATGTCTGTCGTATTGTAGGAATCGGGAGTTGGATAGGCTAACGAACGTCTCTTGTCTGCAGCTTGATCACCTTGATTCGCACAAAATGCGGGGCACCCTCCAAGCCGCTTCTCGTGACGTTTGAACAGTTCATGCAAGGATTCGAGTTGGTTCAAACGGAGGCAGAGCAGACCGATACCCAGTTACTCCCTGACGCAAGACTTGAAGACGCCGTAGATGCTAGCGCCGCAGAAGGCAAAGCCGTCAATGCTGTTACTGAACCGCCAGTTGATGATTCTCCCGGTACACAGGAAGACCAAGCTACCGACGAAGAAGCCTTGGTTGTGGCTGTCCGGGCGTTTAGAGCGGCGGTATACGACTCGGCGACGGCGTTCTTGGCGACATTAGGCAAACCCTCAAGCGACTATCGCGCGTTCCGAGAGGCGTTGGCACAGATATTCGCTGAATTTGACGCGAACAGGAACGGCCAACTCGAGGTGATCGAGCTTGTGGCCTGCATGGCGTCCTTCAACCTGCGTCTAAGCGACGATAATGTCTCTTTGCTACGGGAGCTGTTTATCGGAGACCGCGAACATGGCACGGTCGGAGTCGCTGAGTTCATCTCTTTTATACTCGCACACTCGCCTTCATCTTCCGACGAAGACGAACTTGGGCTCCTAGGACATCGGCTCAGAGAAGCGATCATGACTCGTGTCACCCAAGCTCAAGCCCAGAGTGACAGTGTTGAAGACGCAGTGCGCCTCGTGTTTGCAGCTGCCTACAAACGCAAAGGCCAACAGTCTTGCGCCATTCGTGATTTCGTGCGTGTTTTCAATCGACTTCGTCTAGGCGCCACACCTGCTCAAGTTGCTCGTCTTGTGGTTCGACTGGATCGTGACGGTGATGGCTCCATCTCGTTCGAAGAGTTGCTGGTTTGGTTGCGACTACGCTCCAAAGCCTCACTCGACACAGACGTAGGTCTGGACTCGGGAAGCGTACCTGCTTCACAGGCTACACTTCAGCTTGCAACGAAAAAGGCAGCGGCTTTACGACTTTTTCTTGAGAAACTTGTGTCAGGAGGAGAAATTTCGCCGACGAAACCTGACAGCAAGACGGCCAGATTAGCCGCTTTGTTCCACCAGATTGACACCAACAATAGCGGCAAAATCAACCAAGAAGAGCTGCAAGTGTTCCTCGAAAGCCAGGACCTATCTTCTGTCGTTGGGGAAGAAAGCTTGGCTGGGTTGTGCGGTCTTTCAAAGTCAGCACAGCCTCCAGCGGCCTTGGTTGCGCAGGAAATGATGAATCTCCTGGGCATGAACGCTAACGGTATCACGACACTAAAAGAGTGGCTGGCGTTTGCTCAGTACGAAAGCACACACGAAGGAGATGATCCTGTGGTTATCGAAGCTCTTCGTAGAGCCCTCAAGGAATCAGAGAATAATGATCCTGAGCACCTGGTATGGTGGTTCAATGCTCTGCCAGGAGCAATTCAAGCTCCCATAACTCGGCAAGGCGAACCCGCACAGGTAAAGGTTCGAGTGGCCGAGTTCAAAACCACATTGCGCGCAAAACTTAATGGTGCTCGATCCATTCCGCTGCACGTAATCGACCGAGTCGTGGTGAGTCTGGATAAAGACAGTAGCGGGTGGATCACGACAAGTGAGCTGTGTTTGTGGGCGTACCCGCCTCGAGACATCGAGGAAATCCTTCGGCTCATCATCACAAGCTGGCAGATCGAACGCTCTCAAGTTTCCAGTCGCACTGAGTTTGCAGCAAATCTGTACTCGCGCTTTGACGTCGATGGCAACGGGAGCCTTGCTGTGCGAGAAATTTTGTCGGGGCTTGCTGTGTTCGGCGTGGACTTGACAGAGTACGAGGCGCGAGTACTGTTGATTGCCTTTGATATCGATGGCGACGGCTGCTGGAGCAAATCTGAGTTCCTCGCATTCGTGGATAAACTTTTCCCAGCTGAAGCGTTTGCTAAGGAACCAACAGCCCAACCGACTATAAGCCCCGACGAGCGCGCGGTGGTGGCTGAAGCCGAGCCATCCGTGCAAATACCCACGCATGATGATGGCAGCAATGGGAGCGATGGGAGCGCATACAGCGATGACGACTTGCTTCTCCAGTCAGGATCATCCAACGCGCTGTCATCACCAGCATATTCAGATGATGAAGCCCATGATGAAACCCAAGTCAGTGTGCGACCCGTCGAGTACAGCGAGGACTTTGACGAAGACTAGTTTGTACAATGCTAGCATGTTATACCACATATACCGGGTTCCACAGATTTCTGGTGGCCGGTTGGTCTATAGAAGTCTGGTGCTCTCCTCAGTGAGGGAATCCTTTGCAGCAGATTCCGTCCTCGTCTTGTGCGGCACGGTATGGTGTTCACACCCTTGGATCACGTGGATGAATCCATAAAATAAAATGGTCGGCAGTCCCAAAAGCAACAGCACAACCGTGTAGCTACCATCGAAGTATATCTGCGTCCACGGATTGATCACATAGTTCAACAGTCCAAAAGTGAAGGAGATCGTTGCCAGAAATGCCTGTAGTGTGCCGTACAGCTCTGCAGAGAAACACATAACTGGAATGGGGTAAACGTTAGCGCAAGCAACCAAATCAAAGGCCCAGAAAGCACAAACACATTGCTTACTGATGTAGGCAAACTGCAGTGCATACAGACATGTCTGAGCCATCGCGTACACGAAGAACATGACAAGTTGCACACGGAGCGAGGGTATCAACAAGAGTGCGACAAAAAGCTGCACGAGAGCGATGCAGGTCACAAATACCACTTTGAAGCCGTAGTGATCGATAACGTAGCCGACAATAGGCGAATAGCCGAAGGTGCCGTTCACAAGAACAGGGTAGAGGATATCCGTGAAGAACGATGCAGCATGGGTGTCATCTCCAGCCAGCTTGATCAGTAGACTCGGAATAGCCCCACCCGCAAACGCAAAGATCAGCGACACCCATCCAAACAGGAGCGCGAAAAACCACAAGTCTTGTCGCTTGAGCTCTTCGCGCATGCCGTCCACGAGACCAGTTGGCGCCTAAACAACAGCCAGCCCCACAGTAATTAGTGATTTGGTCAAATAGTGCGACATACACACTCGCCCGTCGTACATTAATTCGAGGCATCTCAATACGACAAAGGGGGATGGCGAGAAAGTCACAAGGCCTCGTGATGTTGTTTGTCGGGAACAGCAAGAAGCAGACGAAGGCGCCCAAACTGACCAAAACACTACACAAAAAATGACGAAAAATAACAAAATATCGTGATGCCAAAACTGTCACCGCACAAATATCACAACTGTGGCAACTTTGTATCTTACCCGTAAACGCGGAAGAACACTGCTCGCGTGATACCCTGAAGCCCCAGCAGCATGTACACATAACCCGAGCAGTTGAACAAACTCGATAGCGTGCTGCACACGACTCCTTGCACCTCATACAACTGCAGTATCTGGAACGCCGCCAAATATGCGCCTGTTCCACCGGCACCCACCAGCGAATACCCTGCAATAATCCACGCACCACTTCCAGTGTGTGAGTCGCCAAAGGCTAGCGCGAAATTCCCCAGCGCCGAGAGAGTGAGCCCCAGCATGATAGTGACTCGGGGGCCCACCACATCCAGGAGCACGCCAAAGAACGCGTTGGCTGCACTAAGGCACAGGAACCCCGTCGAGAAGACATACTGCAGCCGCACTTCTTGCGCCGCACACAGGACACCACCTCCAGCCTCCAGCCGCTCCTCATCAGTGCACAGCTCCGACCACTGGTTTTCCCTCACGAGAAGGGAGTACACGGGGCCAAACCTACAAGCAGTACGCCCAATTAATATCACAGTCACAATTGCTGCCACAAATTGACAATATGCACCCCAGGATGAGCCCTCCTGACGCGAAGAGCACGACGAAGGCGGAGACCACGAACATGACCTCCTTGGAGAGCTGCCACCTGCCTGCTGGCTGCACCTCGTGGTCCTCATGGTAATCTAGCAGCTCTTCCTGCTCTTCCTCCAACGTCAACACCGTCTCCACCTCTTTTTCCTGCCCCTCTTCAACTTCCTCGTCCTCTGGGAGCGACTTATTGGCCGCAACTCGTTTGATGACGCCCCCAGCATCCTCCACCTCGCTCCTAGACTTGCCATCTTGCAGGGATCCGTCATCAGCGAACCCATGAGTCTCCATGTAGGCCAAGAGCAGCGAGATGTCGCTCGTGCTCTCCACCAACTTCCCTGCTGGGCGGTGGGTGCTCGCCGATCGGGCGCTGTGGTGCGCCACGAGCCCTGCGTCGATGGAGCTGCGTCTGCGCAGCTCAGCAGTGGATGCGCGGCGAGTACGCGGGCCCCGGAGCTCCCAGAGCGCGCGGTCCTGCAGCATCTGCAGCGCGATGTAGCGCTGCGTCGGCATGGCGCACTCGCGAGCTCGCAAAATGCGGAATGAGAGGGCTCTCTATTCGGAGCGGAAACCTCGGCGACCATCACTCCTTTTTTTAGGAGGTCCCACTTCGAGCAGAAGTCGCGCAAAGCCGATAGCGAGGGCCATCACGTGGTCGCGCTGTTCGGTGCAGCGAGCCGTCCGCCCAGTGGACGCGCCTGCGAGATTTGATGTGCCGGGGGATAGCCCTCGAATAAGACAGGCTCGCGCTGAATTAGCGACAGCGTGCGTGGTACCTTTTCGGCACGAGTTGAACGAGTTGACCCGGGCGAGCGCGCAAAGCAGATGCGCAGGGGCAGGCAATTCTGCTGTGGCCTGGGAGATCAAGGCAAGCTAAGCTTGCCTTCACCCGGCTTGGCGCAATGAGGGCGGCGCCGCCCGACTCCGAGCATACTGGCGTCGCCGTCAATGCAGCGCGTCATCGCTCCGTCTCTTAAGTGGCGTCCGGTGGCGGTAGCGCTGTAGCCATCGGCGGACTATCAGGTCTGGCAGGCAGAATAACAGTTACACATCGAGGATGGCAGGTTTCGCTGACTAACGAGCTCGCAAGTCGCATGGATCAGCAGCTGATTCCAGCGAGTCAAGTCAACGCGCGAGCGAGCGTGTCGGTGGAGAGGAGCCGCACCATGGAGCTGCGCGCTCGTCGTTGGCAGGGATGGCCCACTCCGGCGTACCAAGCAGCGATGCTCGCCACGGCCAAGGAGCTGCTTGCTCGCTCGCTCGCACACGCGCTTTGATTCGCGGCGTCTGTGCGACAGTCACGCGAGGGCGGTACACTGTACCGGCTGATCGCTGAAATTCGTCCACGGCGACAACTGCGCGGCGGCGACGCGACCTTTCGATAAAACCTTGCTTCGTCCGCTAAAACCTCGCGCATGTGGCGGACGCGAGTCCCGGCTCGAGCGGACCAGCGGAGCCCGGGTCCACATCTACGCAAACCCAACGACAGTCGCCCCATTCCGCCATCCCGCCAGCAGCAGCGCAAGTGTCTTGCACCCGTCGACAGCCGCGGCATCTCCCAGCACGAAGCAATGCGATCTCCGAGCTGCGCGCCTCGAGCTGGCAGCCCCAGCCAGCAGCAGCAGCAGCAGCAACACGCCACTGCAGCACATGACCACCATGCCGGTGCCTCACCGAGCGCCGCACTGAGTTGCGCTGTCGACCTTGCGATGGCCAAGGAGCCCACCACCGATGAGCAGCCGGAGGGCAGCAACAATGGCAGCAACAATGGCAGCAGCCGCAGCGCCAGCGGTTCCCCGACCGCGAAGCCCAAGAAGAGCGTGACGTGGTCCACCATCACCGTGCACGAGTTCGGCGTCGGGCTGGGCGGCAGCGCCGTGTCCAACAAGGGCGGCCCGTCCATCGGCCTCGCGGATACGCCCGAGTTCACGTGGACGACCCGCGTGGGCGAGATGGCCGAGTGCGTGGAGGGCGTGCATCGCTTCTCGCCCAACCAGCGCATCCGCCTGCTGCAGGCCGCCGGCATCCCGGACGGCATCATCACGCGCCACGCACGGGAGACCAACATCATCCTGGGTTCGCGTCGTCGGTCGAAGATGAGCTGGGACGAAAGCGAGCTGGACGAGGAGGAAGAGGAGGAGGAGGAGGAGCAACACGAGTGCCAGGAGCCGCTCCGCAAGCGCAGCGCAGGCCAGGCAGGCATGCTGGAGCGCCCGTGCGCCGTCTATTTGCGGCGGCCGCGCATGATCCCGGTCAACTACGTGTAGCTGCGCGGGCTGCGAGCAGGACTGGTCGGGTTCTGGCTCGCCTACCTTTGCCGGCACGTTTTGACGCCCCGGCCGGGGCGATTGGCTTTAAGTTATTCGAGATGAGATGTATACGAACGGAGAAGCTACGACGGCGGGAGCACTGTCAGTAGAGAAACACTAGCAAATAACGAGGGGAAGTCGAGCAACCAGGGTACGACGACGGGGAGCACAGCAGCAAGTGAGTTCCCAGTTGTCCGAGCAGCTCCCCGTGTACGAACGAAGTGCACAGGCACCAAGGCGCACACGCGCCACCACATTTTTATTCAATTGATCAATGCAACAAACTTGAGGAGCTTATTTGCTGCCGTGCTTTCGCGAAGGAAATGCCTCGTAGGCGTCAAACGCGTGGAGGTTGGCTGCACGGGGAAAGGTTCACCAGCCTGCACGTTGAGCTTCAATCGATGTGTCATCCCAATTATTACCGATCGTCGATAAGCTCAGTGCAACGAGCAGATCGGAATGAGGACAGCTCTCCATTGGCGAGCGACGGACTATGCTGATGCAGCCCTGCTGAAGGCACAGACTATCATACTGCCAAGGAATCAAGAGAAACCCACTTTAGAGCTAGAGGACTACAGAAAACAGAGACCAGTGGGGACTCGCAGCAGTCACTCGCTGGTCTCCATGGAACTGGTGGTCTCCCCGACGCGGCCGGAGGCTGAGAAGCGGTACTAGTACCATTCACTTGCAGCCCCAGCCCTTCCGATCCCCGGGCGCCTTCCTCGCCTCGGCGCATCGGATCCTGCGTTTAACCATTCGGACGAAAGTACCAAGTAGCAGCGATGAGCGCAAGTGCAACGGCACGATGCATCGGCCAATTGGTGTCCGCTCGCGCCGAACGAAGCAGACGCGACCGGGGACTTTCGCCCGCTCGTAGCGCCGCCATGACCATCGCCGTCGCTGCGGACGATGACACGCTGAGGTGACGTACGCGGTGTGGACCACACTTGAAGCTTTGCGGCTCATTTTCGCAGCCCTGGATAGGGTCAGAGGCGCAACAATCGCGGACTGATCTTCAGAGCTCCAATGCCTCGAGCTACGCAGTTATCTGCCTTTTGGCGTGAGTACAGGCATGCTCCTCACTCGCTCACTCGCTTCCTCGCGCTCTATCCTCCGAAACGACTTCAAGCGTTTCCCCGCTGTGTTCCGCCCACATGGCGGTTGCTTGCTTGCGATGGGCGCAGTCACCTTGGCCACACTGCACCAGCTTAGTCGCCGCTTACTATTGCATTCGTCTAGCACCTCCGGCAGCTCGCTCCTACCATGCAGATATGGCCAATGCAGACGCGGACAGCTCGGCGCAGCAACGGCAGAGGACGGAATATTAAGCACGGCTGCAGCCCGGATCACTTCGGCCGCGCAAAATTCCTGCCGGACTGTCGTCTTTGTTCTGCCTTGCAACTTCAGTGAGTTCCCGTCCACTTACAAACACTAGCATTGCACACGTCGCAGAGTATCGTAGCTGTTCGCAAGCGTACCCCTTGTGTACCCCAGGGGGTACGCTCCAAAAGTTACAGCGCCACGCAGCAACATCCTCATCGGTCGTATCCAGCTTGCAGCACATTCGCCATGCGATCAAGCGCGGATGTTTCCAAACATACGCGGCTTCATTGGCGCCCGAACCGCTGTCAACGGGGTTGACTTCGACTTCAACAACAACCCGTCATATTCATGCTAAGAGCCGGTTGACCCAATCTCGTGGAAGCAACAAGTTAGGATACAATTAAGCATCATCGCGATGCACGGGCATATGGGAAGGCGGCTGTGGTGGTGGATACGCTCATCAGGTTGAACGAGACTGAATTGACGACCCAGTTCCTACCTTGAAAGCCCAAAATACAGCCCAAATGTCGTTGTTATCGCTGCGTTGCTGCTGAGCATGAAATGCCATACATCGATCTTCACTTCAACCCTGCAAAGCGCCCCGTTTTGAGATACATTCGATTCTTGATTTGAACCTGTAACGGGGTACAATCAAGTGTACCCATTACATGAAGAGTGACGGGTGTCACTCTCCCGAGTACATGGTACATGGTACCAGTAGCTCAGCAAGCCAACCATTTGAGTTTGCGTGGGCTTTTGTATAGCTAACTTGTAGTTTGTATTACGACCAAGTTAACCTCTACCAAAATACAGTCAGTCTTATAACCTACTCCTTTGTAGCAAACCGTTCCCTTTGAGGCCGGGAACTGGTGAACTGCTGTTCACCTGGATAGCAATATCCGCACGCACTTCCTCTGTGCATTGTGCTGTGTGACCCCGTCACACTTGGTAGCACTCGTAGTCAATCCTACGCCTACGCGGGTAGATTGGTCTACCTGAACCCTCGGTGGCTCAGGTCTGTGAGCCACGATGGACCGAAGTGAGTTTCCTCACTTGACTGACTCGCAGTTCGACTCGGTGCGGAAGATGGTGGGCATCTTCGGAAGGGATGCCCTCCGGAGCTTGGCGGCGGCGACGCCAGCCGAGCAGGTCGAGCGGGTGAGCGCGTTTGACGAGTACGAACGCGGGCTCAGCGCTCATGTGCAGGGAAACCTGCTGGCTCAGATGAGTGAGCCCAAACGGGTGCAGCCTAAGCCTCTGCGGCTAGCTGTGCCTCCGTTCGAAGGGAAGGAAGGTGAGAACCTTCACCTCTGGACCCGGGAGACCGAGATCGCAATGAGCGCAGGTCTCATCTCGGCCGAGAACCTTCGAGTCGCCTTCGCGCTCTCCAATCTTGGCGGACGTGCCAGGACTTGGGCGTATACGCGCGAAGCGATGTCACCTGGATGTTTCACATCCTGGGCTCAGCTGTGTGAGCAGCTTCGAGCCGCTTTTCTCCCGGCGAACAACGAGTTCCGCCAGCGCTCGCGCTTCCTTGCCTGCAAACAAGGGGAGCGCGAGCTGTACGCGTACGTACAGGAGATGCGCACGTTGGCAACCTCGCTGGTGGGGAACCCACTGTCGGAAGACGTCAAGATGACAGTCTTCGTGGACGGCCTGAAGGTCGGTCCTGCGCGCACGCAGTTGTTCCGCGTGCGCACCGCCACTATGGAGGAGGCGATCCAAGTCGCCCTCCAGGAAGAGTACAGCCACAAGCAGGCTGGTGCTCTGGCTGTTGTACAGCCTGTGGTCGCTGACAGCGACCCAGAACCCATGGATCTGAGTTCGGCTGAGCAGTACTCAGCCCGCTGCTACGGCTGCGGCGGACTAGGACACTATCAACGTGTCTGCCCATCGCCTGGGTCTGGAAAGAAAACCTACCCGAAGACCAGAGGGTCAAGGGGGCGCCGACGCCATGCACCGTCAGGTGCTCAAGGGGGACACAACCACCAGTAAGGACGAGGGCCTTGCTGGGGTTGGCCCGAGTCTTTGTGATGGGTGTACGGAAGGCGTACACCACAGAGACCCGGGGTCCCTTGCGAGCACCGACGCTCGCATTGGTGAAGGACAACGGTGGGTTGTCGGTAGTACACGTGAGTGTGCGGGGGTAATGGTATCCCTAGACATGATTGAGTCTGGGACGTCGCGTGGATGTTCGCACGTCTCCAGATGTGTCGGTTGGAATAACGACACAAGTGCCGAGACTCTGCGAGAGAGTCTAAGCACAAGGTCAGGTCTCATTGACTGAGGCTGGGCCGAAGAAGAACCTTGGGGTCCGCTGTGACCCGGGCTGCCGCGCTCGAGGGCGCTGACAGCAATGGAACCGCACATGGTCCCGGACATGGAACCGTACATCGTCCCGGACATCGTGCCGAAGCCGGCCCTGGGCATGGAACCGTATATGCCCTCGGCTTGAGCAAGTATGACTTGGCCCTGAGTGCGCCGTGCAAGCTGCACGGGCTCTCGGTCGAGTAGCGCGGCAACGCCTTGAGGCTAAGTCGGCCCTCTGTGTCTGACAGAGCATTGGTGAGTCATGTTCCCACCTCTGGACAGACACAAGGGCGTCCGATGGGACCGCCAGGGCGCTGGATGCGTCCGACAAGACGACGAAGAAGATGGGAGGCATCATTGACATGCTGATCTCCATGAAGAAGGTGCAGTGTATCTGCAACCGAGGGCTGTTATGCCTGGCATGTGGAGCTGCTTCAACAAGCAACTCCAGTGCTGAGAGTCATTGCTCGGCATGAGCATTGACAAGGGTGGTGTTCGATGACACCACCAGGTAGGTAACCAAGGACCACTGACTAGCGGGTAACTTAGTTCCGCACAGAGCATGTAATGCCGAGGAGGCCGCTCAAGGCACCTCCGGCGTGGGTAACCAAGTACCACGGACGGTCGCCCAGACCTTAACTGAAGAGGAACGCGCTGCACGCGCATCCTGTGTGGGTAACCAAGTACCACACCCGGTCGCTCAGACCATAACTGAAGAGGAAGGCGCTGCAGGCACTTCCTGTGTGGGTAACCCAGTTCCACACCAGGTCACTCAGACCTAAACTGATGAGGAAGGTGCACGATGCACTTCCTGTGTGGGTAACATAGTTCCGCACGCGTCACTCAGACGGTAACAGATTGTGAAGCCGCATGATGCGCTTCCTGTGTGGGTAACGTAGTTCCACACGATGCCGTAAGGCTCCGCATGAGCCGGAAGGAGTCGCTCGAAGCGACTTCAGCGTGGGTAACTTAGTTCCACGCACGGTTAGTATGACCAAGACTAGTGATCAGGTCACTTGGGTCTCCTCGCGTGTGGTGGATGACCACACGGAGTTTGAGAGGCTCGTGACACCGTCACGATGTCATAGCCGCACGGTCCTCTTGAAGGCGCCGCGCGGCTTTGATTTTAAGCGGGGGAGGAGTGCGCGGAAGCACTTCCTTCCTCCAAGGGCTTGGCACCCGGTCATCATGGATGACGTTCGACTGGGTGTCGACCAGCGCAGCTGTGACCATGCGCACAGAAGACGTGGCTTGGGTACACGACGCACCTGCGGCGATGCATGTTGCGTCGCCGCCGACTCGGCGAGCATGGTCGATCACGACTGGAACGTGTCTGCCGGAGGGCGACACCTCAATGACCACACGCAGGAGCATGCTCGGTTTGAAGGCAAAGGCCGCCGCACGGCAGGGATCGTTGGTACGGTCTGTCGCGCCTAGCACTGTGCGGCGTTGGGACAACAAGTGTCCATGACTCGGTGACGAGATGGCTGAGTCTGAGTATGCGTGCACGCCATGCAGCTACTCTGAATGCAGGACAAGCCGTACGCTGTCATGGGTGTCATTGCCCGAAGACGTGGGTAACAGAGTAACACGTCAAGTCACGCAGACTCAAACTGCATCCAGGCTGGTAGATGCCAAGCCCTGGTCGACGATGTTGACCCAGAGCCAAAGAAGGGTAGCTGCCCGTGCCACCGGAGTCTGCTGGCACGGTGACTCGGTGCTGCAGGGCGGCGCGAGGTTAGGCGGCCGGCTGGCGCCTGACCCGCCGGGGCTCAAATCGTAAGTGGGGGAGGGGATCGGAAGTGCCCTTCCTCCCGAGGTCTCTGGCATGAGACTTGCTTCGTCGTAGAAGCCAGTGTAGTGGCTGCATGGTGTAGCCACTCACGAAGTATTGCACGAAGGTGCTGGACCTGATGCATCGCTGCTCAGGTCCCATGGTCATGGTGACTGATGGCCAGCAACCTTGGCAGCGGCTACTGTCGCTGCTGGGCCGAAGATGACGCGCGCATTCGCTGCTGGAAGGCTGCCTCTGTCAGGCAAAGACATGGCAGCCAGTCTGCGGCTTGGTCCGCGGACGATGGCATGTGTACATACGCAACACCATGCCGCAGCGTGATGCTGTTGCAACACTGGACGCGGTACGTCTACCGGCCAGGTAGCCATCAGTACCACGCCAAAGCTCCAGGCTGTTGCTACGCTGGGCGCGGCACGTCTGCCGGCCAGGTAGCTATCAGTCCCGAGCATGGGTGTTGCCCACGAGGGGAGAACCCGAACGTGTTGCCTTTGCAGACATTTACAGTTGGCGCGGCACATGCCGCACCTGTAAGGCGCGAACCCATACGCGTGCACGTGGCACATACTACCTGTGAGATAGTCGCGGTGCGTGACGCTCACTGTGCGCGTGGCACTTGGTGTACGCGAGGTACCCCTAGTGCACGCGACACTACTTGTGCACGTGGCACTTGAGGTGCACGAGGCACTTATGGTAGTCGTGGTACGTGCCATACACGACGTGCCTTTGGTGTATGAGGTCGTGCCCTCGTACGCCTTGAGGTCCTGTATGGACTGTGTGCCATGCGGTCTTGCACGCACACCGACCTGGTGTTGGTCGCCGCGACGCAGGATGCGATCGCCGGTGACGGAGGGCAATACACCCCACACCACGATGAAGTACCCTTGCAGTACCCTGGTGTCGAAGGAAGACACCTTAGCGTCGGCGACGTGATGGCCGTGACGCGCTGCAGGGCTTTAGCCAAATCCGCCGCGTTGCTCTGTATGATGAGCGGGTTGCTGGAAGCAGCCATGGTCGCTCAAGCAAACACGACGTTGAAGCATGACGCTTCATGGCTGTGGTCAGCGCTTGACCATAGCCCATGGGTCGAGCCGACGTATTCGACCGACCGGCACACCGTGCTGTGACGAGCGGGGCCCTGTCGGGCCGCTGTCATGGCCGGAGATGTGCAACACAGCTCTCTCCATGGTTACGCTACGCGCTGACCGGAAAGGTGCTGTCCCTCGCGGGAGGCACTGCAGCACGAACGTGCCAGCGGGGCCCGAGGGCCATGCGACGCCAACTGCTGGTTGTCTACGAGGGACACCGCAAGTTTGGAGGCACATGCATCCCGTGCCGAGGCACTCTGCGCCTGCTAGCGCCGTGAATACGGCCACTAAAGGCGTCGGCTTCGCGGCCAACATCGCCGAGGGTAGGGGGGGTTCCGCGCGGAGTGCCCGCTGCGGGCACAAGTCACTGTGGGCGTGACGATGAGGCGCGCCAGCCTTGCGGCGGCAGCGCCCGAGAATCCGATCTTTGGGTGTTCGGATTCTCTCGAATCTGATTGGAGAATCAGATGTGATTCTCAGATAAGTGGGGGAGGATGTAACGGGGTACAATCAAGTGTACCCATTACATGAAGAGTGACGGGTGTCACTCTCCCGAGTACATGGTACATGGTACCAGTAGCTCAGCAAGCCAACCATTTGAGTTTGCGTGGGCTTTTGTATAGCTAACTTGTAGTTTGTATTACGACCAAGTTAACCTCTACCAAAATACAGTCAGTCTTATAACCTACTCCTTTGTAGCAAACCGTTCCCTTTGAGGCCGGGAACTGGTGAACTGCTGTTCACCTGGATAGTAATATCCGCACGCACTTCCTCTGTGCATTGTGCTGTGTGACCCCGTCACACTTTGGAACTAAGAGGGGGGGGGGGTGAGAGCCCACCACCACTGGATTGTATTGCACCCCACAGGCTCGAGCACTGGCTCGGAGCAGCAGTCCAAACTCCGCTCTTGGGATCGGCAGCTTACTCCTACTTCAAGGAAACCCACATTCTTGTCAACATTTGCAAGAACCCCGATTTCCCTGCACACGTAGTCGTGAGGTATACACACAGTCTTTATTCAGAGAGAGCTTATAGAATAAACTTCAACGTCGATCTAAGGAGCTTGTTGAAACCCCAAATCTCGAGTTGATTCTGTAAGCTCTCACTGAAGGCGATGCATGCGCTTCTGCCCCGCCACGATATCGGTTGCCAGGGTCTCGACAGATTCTCGGTTGTCTTGTATACTGCTTGAATGTATCGGACGCCCATCGTCCATGGAATTGGATCGTCAGGGCGTCAACTCCGGCCCGGTACATGTGTGTCGCTCCCCCGGCGCGGAGGGAGTGGGTACTAAACTCCGCTGGATTGCTGTCCAGGCTCGCAGCGGCCTTGCGGATTATCTTGGTGATGAACGAGTCCGACACACACGCTGGCCGAGACCGCTCGTCGATAAAGACGGCTGCTGGAATCTCGCTGGGGAGAGTGCGCCTTGCCTTGAGCAAGCAGAGCGCGCCGAACACTATACAGGCGCCTTGTGGCGCACTGGAGCGTCGAGACGAGAGATGCCTTTCAGGACCATGCGGATTTGGGGATGGCCGCATGGGAAATCGAGTGCCGCTGCTTAAAAGAAATGCCGAATGCCATGAAGTGTCGCCGATATAGAAGAGCCGCGAATGGGGCGCCCGGAGCCGTAGCCGAATTGGAAGCCATGAAGGACGAAATCGGTAATTTGTTGGAGCTTGGTGGCCCCGGAGTACCCGAGTAGAGCGGGTTGGACCCCACGTTGGGTCGTCCACGCGTACCATGCTCGGAGTGCGCCGCGATACTTGCCGAGTGTTGTTGACGCGACCGAGTTCGTGCGGAGATAATGGGCCATATCGCTTCCAAGCTCGAGACGTCCGCTAGCGGTGTAACCTGCTGCCAGTCACGGGTTAGATCGTCAAACAGAGCTGCCAGAGTAGAACTGCTATCGTAGCGAGAGCCCGCATCTGCAATCCGATTGTCCACGCCCGCGACGTGAGCGGCCGAAAAACGAAGCCCGTACTCGAGTTCCCAGACCCGAGCAAGCGTAGAAGGGCTTGTGCGCGTGGATTGCGCGAAGCCATTTTGTTCTGCCAGGAGACGGCAGACGTATTGTCGATTCGGAACTGGACGTGTACCGGCGGATCTTGACGGCCGTGGCGCCTGGAAGACCAGTGTCGACCCCAGGCGTGTACAGCGAAGGCGCATGACAAGAGCTCGCGATAATTGATATCGAAGGCAATGGATGGATTGGACTTGGTAGCTTCGATGAGGCTGCGCTCGTGGGCTGAAAAACTGTAGCGAAGAACGGTCCGGGCGGCACGCACAAGGACACACAGCCCGGAGTCGGAAGCGTCCATTTTGACGACCATAGCAGGCACAGGGTACGCCCGGAAATGGGACAAGGGTACGCCATTGAGCGCCGGCGATTCCAGGATGTGGAGCCACCAGAGAAGGTCGTCTTTCATCGCGGCAGAGACCGGCACCTTATGCCAGCGTCGAAGGTGCCGCTCGTGAAGGCACAGCCGCTGGAGAAAAGTCTGAGCGGAGCGAGCGCAGGTAGCGACGTGGCGGAGCCGACCGAGAAGGTTGCGATAGTCCGACCGAGAAAGAGAGTCGACGAAGAGCACGGTGCGAACGCACGCCTGGGCGTTCAGAATCTTGTCGGCGGGCATAGCAACCGTTCCCGCGGCAGAATCGAACACGAGTCCAAGGACTTGTTGACGGGGGCTCCACAAGGTGAATTTGTCCTCGGAGACCGCGTCATGGCCCAATACGATAACCATGGAACTCCGGAGAGAGCGCTCGACCTCCATGCAATTCGTACCGATGGCAGCGGCGACGTTGATGTGGTCGTCCACCCAATAGTAGTTGAACGGCCCCGAGTCTCGAAACCGGTTGAACGCGTTACCGTGGATGTGTGCGATAGCTCCGGCCACAACGCCGTAGCTGGCTGGCCAGCCGGACCAGCCGAAGGCTGCCGACGCGTCAATGACCAGGGCATTGTCGGGCTCGAGGCGGCCCCCAAACATTTGGACACGCCTGCTATGAGTACAGACATTTCGAAAGGCGGAGGCCACGTCCCCGGCTTGGAGCTGAATCTCGGCGTCGGGATGTTGCTCTTGTTGGTCCAGGATCTCGACAGCGATGGCCTCACACGGCTTGAACTGCGGGGTGCACAAACCGGAGGTGTCGGTGACATCGTTGACGGACGAGCCCTCAGGGAAAGAGAGATCGTGGATAACCCGACCGGTTGTCCTCGGGTCGGCATCGCCCTTGTCGACCACCCCAAACGGGCTGATATGGATTTCCGACCAAATCTGGAGGATGTCAAGATCGAGCACATAACATCTCCATAGGTCTTGCTCCTTGCGGATGTTCTTCACGAGCACGGGGGTACCGCTCGACCGCGGACGCGTGGTTGGCAGTATACGTGTGCTGGCGTGGTAGAGCCTGAGACAGCGGTACGCATACCCCCTGCTCCGCGATAGACATCAGGGCATCGAGATGCGGGTAGTCGGCGCATGCCGCGCGAAAAACATCGGGTAGGATGGCCTTGTTCGGCCGGTAGTCGTCGGACGTCTGGCCGCGCATCAGTTCGATAAACTGCGGGAGACTGATACGCGTCCGCCGCACGAATTCCGAAAGAACACGCTGCAGTGCCTTGTTGAGGGACGGCGAGCCATATCGGGTCGCCGGAGTTGCGGTGGGCAGCTTGAGCCCGACCCGGCCCAGCGCCGCATTGATATTACGAAGACGGACGGCATCCCAGAGCTTTGCGCGAGCCGCGGAATCAGCGATCAGCCGCCTTAGGGCAGCCTCGCGGGGCGCGTGGTGGCGGCGGAAGGAATGATCACGTGCACGGCAGCCGCAGGTCCGCGCAGGAGCCGCAGCCGTCGTGGTGCTCGGGTCCCCTGGACTCCGGACGACGTGCGGGTGGCCAGGCGCGTCAGCGCGGGTTGAAGTCGCCTGACCAGCAGTAAGCGGAAGCGACGACGTAGGCGGCTGTCCGTAGAGTTTGCGGTACCTCGACCGGTCGCGGTGTGGTAACGCCGGTGGGGACACTCCGCCACCGGGGTCCTCTCGAGCATCTAGAACGCCATGGGGCGGTTCCTGGGGTGCGCAAGGACCGTAGAGTGCCTTGGCGAAGCCGTGCACGTAGGTACAAGCAGCGGTCTCAGTTGGGGACTCGGTGAGTGTGTCGCCTTGAATGGCGGAACACGAGGCTCGCCGAGTCAGACTGGACGAAGGGTAACGTTCGTTTGCAAATCCAATGTCGATTGTATTTACCGATAGGCTGGGTTTGCATGGAGTCCGAAGTGCCGACGAACGGGCATCACCTCGGCCACCTCAGTTGCGGTCGCGTCGGCCGGAGTGACGACACTCATCACCGTAGTGGCGGTCGATGAAGTCCTGAAGCTCCCGAGGTAGGCGCCCGTCCCAGCAGTGTGTGCGCTGTTGATGCGCGCAGCGGTCGGGGCAACCGCCGTAGCACATGCCGCCAGCGAGGAAGCGCGGGCACGGCTCACGGCCGTCGCGGTCGCGCGGGATCAGACGCCGGATGTGCTCCGGCATAATGGGGGTCCGGGCGGCAGGTCCGCGGCGATGTTGCCCGCTCAGTTGTCGCGGTGGCGCCACCGACGGGCCACTTGGTGCTGGCGCCGCTGTCGTCGCCATCCGCAGCGCGAGTCCGTTGAGGGCCGCCTGCCAATCCGCACTGTATTAGTCCACCGCGCGCACAGCGTCGCAGAAGCTGCGCCACCAGTGCGGTGAGTCGACCAGCAGGTGTGCGAGCGCGCGGCCGATGAACTGGTTAACAAACAGGAGAGTAAGCGTCACACGCTCGGGCGTGTTAGTGTCCCGCTCCATATTGGCTAGACGAAGCGCTTCACGCGTGAGAGCAGGTGACGGGCGTGGTCATACCATATCGCGTCGCCGAACGAGATGAGCCCGCCGATTGCAGCCAACAGGTCCTCGTATGTCGGGCAGCGCGCGTTGGTCGCCGGGAGCGTAGCGCCTGCTCCAAAGTCCGCGGAAAAGTTCGCATTTGTGGAGCCCTACTCGAGTTGTTCCATTTCGGATTGAGGCCGGAAGTGCATGACCGTAAGGCCCCGAGAGCCGAGACGGCCGCTATACAGAGCCATTAGTACCGCCGGGGGCGCGTCAAAGCGGGCGCAGTCGAGCTCACGCAAGTGCAGCACAAACGACATGGGCGACATCCACCTACCTGACTCAGTGTTGAGTTCGCGAAACAGCCTGTGCGCAGCGAGTTGATGCGCAAGCGGCGGATAGTACTAGCCCTTGACGCGAGTACGGGGGAGCTGGAAACTGGCGCAGCGAAGCTCGCTGACCGCCGGCGGCGGCAAGTCCGTTGTACAGCCGGCAGGCGGAAGTGTCCAGGATACAGCCGAGGCGGAGGCGGTCACACCGCCTGTAATCACAGCCGCAGACACAGGGAAACCGCAGACGACCTCGGCGGGCTCGCTGCGCTGCGCGGGGACTGGAAGCGCCTGAAGCTCGCGGCGCAGATCGGTGAGGAGTTCGAACAGTTGATCCACCTTGTTCGCGAGAGAGAGGCGCTCGGTGCACGAGCTGGGCTCCCCCGCGAAGTCGGCCGGCTCGTACGAGCGGGCGAACTCGTCCAGGTTGAACGCCGACGCCGCTTGCCTCGGCAACGGCCGAGATGGCGTCGACTCGGACGGCCGTGGCGTCGGCAGCGCTTGGTCGGAAGAGTTATCGTCGCGGGGTCCGCCCATCTGATGGGCCGCGCTCTCGGCGCCGGGGTCGGCACCGGATAGCGTCGGGGGCACCAGCAGCGTGGGCGTCCCCACGCCCGGCGCAGGAAGCGCGCAAGCGGGCGCTACGACTGGAGGAGCAGACGTGGTACCCGACGGCGTCGACGATGACGAACCTCCCGCAGCAGACAGGGCGGCAGCGGGGGCGTCAACAGCGTGAGCTGTCGATGACTGTGACGACACCGCTTTGCGTTTCGGTGGGCGGGCCTCGGCATCGCCGGAGGGCCCCACACGTTTACCGTTGAGCGATGCCGCGCATAGCACGCGCGCCGCCTTCTTCGCACGGAGGTGCTCGCTGGAAAGGCCCGGTGACGGCGGCGCTGTTGGCACGTTGCACCGTTGTCGTCGACCACGATGACATCCACGGGGGCGCCCGCTGGAGCCGCCACCGGCTGACCAGGGGCCGACGACGGGGTGCCCTCAGCGGGCAGCAACGGAGTGAGTGCGGAGCGGGCCTCTGTTGCCGGGGACATAGCTGCAGGTGAAGCTGAAGCTGGCGCCAGCACCGAAGGCGAGGCAGGGGTGGTGGACGTGCTGGACGGCGCAGCACGCTGGTCGGCAGACGGAGCGGGCGTAGTCATGTTCAGACGAGGCGAAGCTGGTTTCCACTGATCGAGCAGTTCGCTTGAGCGGCGCGCACGAGTTGCTTGCGCTGTACTTGAACTCTTTGGAGCTAAGAGGGGGGGATTGAGAGCTCACCACCACTGGATTGTATCGCACCCCACAGGCTCGAGCACTGGCTCCGAGCAGCAGTCCAAACTCCGCTCCTGGGATCGGCAGCTTACTCCTACTTCAAGGAAACCCACATTCTTGCCAACATTTGCAAGAACCCCGATATGTACGCTACTGTATCGAAGTTGTGCTCGGCTTCTGTGGCGGGGTCACACAGCACAATGCACAGAGGAAGTGCGTGCGGATATTACTATCCAGGTGAACAGCAGTTCACCAGTTCCCGGCCTCAAAGGGAACGGTTTGCTACAAAGGAGTAGATTATAAGACTGACTGTATTTTGGTAGAGGTTAACTTGGTCGTAATACAAACTACAAGTTAGCTATACAAAAGCCCACGCAAACTCAAATGGTTGGCTTGCTGAGCTACTGGTACCATGTACCATGTACTCGGGAGAGTGACACCCGTCACTCTTCATGTAATGGGTACACTTGATTGTACCCCGTTACATCCTCCCCCACTTATCTGAGAATCACATCTGATTCTCCAATCAGATTCGAGAGAATCCGAACACCCAAAGATCGGATTCTCGGGCGCTGCCGCCGCAAGGCTGGCGCGCCTCATCGTCACGCCCACAGTGACTTGTGCCCGCAGCGGGCACTCCGCGCGGAACCCCCCCTGCCCTCGGCGATGTTGGCCGCGAAGCCGACGCCTTTAGTGGCCGTATTCACGGCGCTAGCAGGCGCAGAGTGCCTCGGCACGGGATGCATGTGCCTCCAAACTTGCGGTGTCCCTCGTAGACAACCAGCAGTTGGCGTCGCATGGCCCTCGGGCCCCGCTGGCACGTTCGTGCTGCAGTGCCTCCCGCGAGGGACAGCACCTTTCCGGTCAGCGCGTAGCGTAACCATGGAGAGAGCTGTGTTGCACATCTCCGGCCATGACAGCGGCCCGACAGGGCCCCGCTCGTCACAGCACGGTGTGCCGGTCGGTCGAATACGTCGGCTCGACCCATGGGCTATGGTCAAGCGCTGACCACAGCCATGAAGCGTCATGCTTCAACGTCGTGTTTGCTTGAGCGACCATGGCTGCTTCCAGCAACCCGCTCATCATACAGAGCAACGCGGCGGATTTGGCTAAAGCCCTGCAGCGCGTCACGGCCATCACGTCGCCGACGCTAAGGTGTCTTCCTTCGACACCAGGGTACTGCAAGGGTACTTCATCGTGGTGTGGGGTGTATTGCCCTCCGTCACCGGCGATCGCATCCTGCGTCGCGGCGACCAACACCAGGTCGGTGTGCGTGCAAGACCGCATGGCACACAGTCCATACAGGACCTCAAGGCGTACGAGGGCACGACCTCATACACCAAAGGCACGTCGTGTATGGCACGTACCACGACTACCATAAGTGCCTCGTGCACCTCAAGTGCCACGTGCACAAGTAGTGTCGCGTGCACTAGGGGTACCTCGCGTACACCAAGTGCCACGCGCACAGTGAGCGTCACGCACCGCGACTATCTCACAGGTAGTATGTGCCACGTGCACGCGTATGGGTTCGCGCCTTACAGGTGCGGCATGTGCCGCGCCAACTGTAAATGTCTGCAAAGGCAACACGTTCGGGTTCTCCCCTCGTGGGCAACACCCATGCTCGGGACTGATAGCTACCTGGCCGGCAGACGTGCCGCGCCCAGCGTAGCAACAGCCTGGAGCTTTGGCGTGGTACTGATGGCTACCTGGCCGGTAGACGTACCGCGTCCAGTGTTGCAACAGCATCACGCTGCGGCATGGTGTTGCGTATGTACACATGCCATCGTCCGCGGACCAAGCCGCAGACTGGCTGCCATGTCTTTGCCTGACAGAGGCAGCCTTCCAGCAGCGAATGCGCGCGTCATCTTCGGCCCAGCAGCGACAGTAGCCGCTGCCAAGGTTGCTGGCCATCAGTCACCATGACCATGGGACCTGAGCAGCGATGCATCAGGTCCAGCACCTTCGTGCAATACTTCGTGAGTGGCTACACCATGCAGCCACTACACTGGCTTCTACGACGAAGCAAGTCTCATGCCAGAGACCTCGGGAGGAAGGGCACTTCCGATCCCCTCCCCCACTTACGATTTGAGCCCCGGCGGGTCAGGCGCCAGCCGGCCGCCTAACCTCGCGCCGCCCTGCAGCACCGAGTCACCGTGCCAGCAGACTCCGGTGGCACGGGCAGCTACCCTTCTTTGGCTCTGGGTCAACATCGTCGACCAGGGCTTGGCATCTACCAGCCTGGATGCAGTTTGAGTCTGCGTGACTTGACGTGTTACTCTGTTACCCACGTCTTCGGGCAATGACACCCATGACAGCGTACGGCTTGTCCTGCATTCAGAGTAGCTGCATGGCGTGCACGCATACTCAGACTCAGCCATCTCGTCACCGAGTCATGGACACTTGTTGTCCCAACGCCGCACAGTGCTAGGCGCGACAGACCGTACCAACGATCCCTGCCGTGCGGCGGCCTTTGCCTTCAAACCGAGCATGCTCCTGCATGTGGTCATTGAGGTGTCGCCCTCCGGCAGACACGTTCCAGTCGTGATCGACCATGCTCGCCGAGTCGGCGGCGACGCAACATGCATCGCCGCAGGTGCGTCGTGTACCCAAGCCACGTCTTCTGTGCGCATGGTCACAGCTGCGCTGGTCGACACCCAGTCGAACGTCATCCATGATGACCGGGTGCCAAGCCCTTGGAGGAAGGAAGTGCTTCCGCGCACTCCTCCCCCGCTTAAAATCAAAGCCGCGCGGCGCCTTCAAGAGGACCGTGCGGCTATGACATCGTGACGGTGTCACGAGCCTCTCAAACTCCGTGTGGTCATCCACCACACGCGAGGAGACCCAAGTGACCTGATCACTAGTCTTGGTCATACTAACCGTGCGTGGAACTAAGTTACCCACGCTGAAGTCGCTTCGAGCGACTCCTTCCGGCTCATGCGGAGCCTTACGGCATCGTGTGGAACTACGTTACCCACACAGGAAGCGCATCATGCGGCTTCACAATCTGTTACCGTCTGAGTGACGCGTGCGGAACTATGTTACCCACACAGGAAGTGCATCGTGCACCTTCCTCATCAGTTTAGGTCTGAGTGACCTGGTGTGGAACTGGGTTACCCACACAGGAAGTGCCTGCAGCGCCTTCCTCTTCAGTTATGGTCTGAGCGACCGGGTGTGGTACTTGGTTACCCACACAGGATGCGCGTGCAGCGCGTTCCTCTTCAGTTAAGGTCTGGGCGACCGTCCGTGGTACTTGGTTACCCACGCCGGAGGTGCCTTGAGCGGCCTCCTCGGCATTACATGCTCTGTGCGGAACTAAGTTACCCGCTAGTCAGTGGTCCTTGGTTACCTACCTGGTGGTGTCATCTAACACCACCCTTGTCAATGCTCATGCCGAGCAATGACTCTCAGCACTGGAGTTGCTTGTTGAAGCAGCTCCACATGCCAGGCATAACAGCCCTCGGTTGCAGATACACTGCACCTTCTTCATGGAGATCAGCATGTCAATGATGCCTCCCTTCTTCTTCGTCGTCTTGTCGGACGCATCCAGCGCCCTGGCGGTCCCATCGGACGCCCTTGTGTCTGTCCAGAGGTGGGAACATGACTCACCAATGCTCTGTCAGACACAGAGGGCCGACTTAGCCTCAAGGCGTTGCCGCGCTACTCGACCGAGAGCCCGTGCAGCTTGCACGGCGCACTCAGGGCCAAGTCATACTTGCTCAAGCCGAGGGCATATACGGTTCCATGCCCAGGGCCGGCTTCGGCACGATGTCCGGGACGATGTACGGTTCCATGTCCGGGACCATGTGCGGTTCCATTGCTGTCAGCGCCCTCGAGCGCGGCAGCCCGGGTCACAGCGGACCCCAAGGTTCTTCTTCGGCCCAGCCTCAGTCAATGAGACCTGACCTTGTGCTTAGACTCTCTCGCAGAGTCTCGGCACTTGTGTCGTTATTCCAACCGACACATCTGGAGACGTGCGAACATCCACGCGACGTCCCAGACTCAATCATGTCTAGGGATACCATTACCCCCGCACACTCACGTGTACTACCGACAACCCACCGTTGTCCTTCACCAATGCGAGCGTCGGTGCTCGCAAGGGACCCCGGGTCTCTGTGGTGTACGCCTTCCGTACACCCATCACAAAGACTCGGGCCAACCCCAGCAAGGCCCTCGTCCTTACTGGTGGTTGTGTCCCCCTTGAGCACCTGACGGTGCATGGCGTCGGCGCCCCCTTGACCCTCTGGTCTTCGGGTAGGTTTTCTTTCCAGACCCAGGCGATGGGCAGACACGTTGATAGTGTCCTAGTCCGCCGCAGCCGTAGCAGCGGGCTGAGTACTGCTCAGCCGAACTCAGATCCATGGGTTCTGGGTCGCTGTCAGCGACCACAGGCTGTACAACAGCCAGAGCACCAGCCTGCTTGTGGCTGTACTCTTCCTGGAGGGCGACTTGGATCGCCTCCTCCATAGTGGCGGTGCGCACGCGGAACAACTGCGTGCGCGCAGGACCGACCTTCAGGCCGTCCACGAAGACTGTCATCTTGACGTCTTCCGACAGTGGGTTCCCCACCAGCGAGGTTGCCAACGTGCGCATCTCCTGTACGTACGCGTACAGCTCGCGCTCCCCTTGTTTGCAGGCAAGGAAGCGCGAGCGCTGGCGGAACTCGTTGTTCGCCGGGAGAAAAGCGGCTCGAAGCTGCTCACACAGCTGAGCCCAGGATGTGAAACATCCAGGTGACATCGCTTCGCGCGTATACGCCCAAGTCCTGGCACGTCCGCCAAGATTGGAGAGCGCGAAGGCGACTCGAAGGTTCTCGGCCGAGATGAGACCTGCGCTCATTGCGATCTCGGTCTCCCGGGTCCAGAAGTGAAGGTTCTCACCTTCCTTCCCTTCGAACGGAGGCACAGCTAGCCGCAGAGGCTTAGGCTGCACCCGTTTGGGCTCACTCATCTGAGCCAGCAGGTTTCCCTGCACATGAGCGCTGAGCCCGCGTTCGTACTCGTCAAACGCGCTCACCCGCTCGACCTGCTCGGCTGGCGTCGCCGCCGCCAAGCTCCGGAGGGCATCCCTTCCGAAGATGCCCACCATCTTCCGCACCGACTCGAACTGCGAGTCAGTCAAGTGAGGAAACTCACTTCGGTCCATCGTGGCTCACAGACCTGAGCCACCGAGGGTTCAGGTAGACCAATCTACCCGCGTAGGCGTAGGATTGACTACGAGTGCTACCAAGTGTGACGGGGTCACACAGCACAATGCACAGAGGAAGTGCGTGCGGATATTACTATCCAGGTGAACAGCAGTTCACCAGTTCCCGGCCTCAAAGGGAACGGTTTGCTACAAAGGAGTAGGTTATAAGACTGGCTGTATTTTGGTAGAGGTTAACGTGGTCGTAATACAAACTACAAGTTAGCTATACAAAAGCCCACACAAACTCAAATGGTTGGCTTGCTGAGCTACTGGTACCATGTACCATGTACTCGGGAGAGTGACACCCGTCACTCTTCATGTAATGGGTACACTGATTGTACCCCGTTACACAAAGAGTCCAAGTACAGCGCAAGCACCCACCCTACCACACCCGGGGTTTCAACGCGCTCCTTAGATCGACGTTGAAGTTTATTCTGTAAGCTCTCTCTGAATAAAGACTGTGTGTATACCCCACGACTACGTGTGCAGGGAAAGGTGGTGAATACAATGTAATAAAGTAGATAGGTTTCGAAGCGTTCCTCACCCTCACTTTACCTTCACAGCCGTCTAAGTTCGCACTCGTTGCACTTTTTGCACACAGATCAGTGTGCAATCAGTGGGCAAAATCCCTACATTTTGCAAAGCCATCAGAATTTGATCCTCAGATGCACCTGTACGAATTCATTAAGTTCACGTGCGAACTTTCCAATTCCGAATATTATCTATACAGGTAGACTGTACAACTGTATGCGCACCTATCTAGAGCAGCTTCCAGTACTCTGGTCCCGATTTTGCTCATTTTGCTCTGAGGGTGAAGGTGCGGGTGAAGCGAATTTCGAAATATATCTAGTGATACTTGGCAGTTGGTACTGCACAGATTCGGGGCGCAACCATAGCTGTCGGCTACAATAACTTTGCTTTCAGCGATACAGGGCCCTGTTTGCTCTGCTCGTACATCCACGCATACATTGCCCCTACATGCACATGTATTATAGCGGATACTTTGCGATCGACAACCGCATCATGTGGATCAGAAGTGTTTGCCAGCATTTCATTAGTGCCGATGACAGACAACCGCAGCGCGATGTGCGACGGCATTGTCGGGTGTCGGAAAACTATCTGGCCCCGCACGAGCAGCTCCAGGTCGCTCTGGCTCGCTGCAAAGTGGAAATATCCGCTGCGGACGGGTGCGCGTGCAGGCAGCCATCGACAGCCCCACGCGCGGAGGAACTGCCCGACTAAGATGACACTGGAGAGCAGTAACGCGGATCCACTCAGTGTACATGCACGTTGCGGTGCAGCGTTCAGTGTGGCGGACGATATTGGGCCAAGCTCGCTTGTGCGTGGCGAACATTGCTGCTGCCTGGTGCACCGATCTCACGATCGGACCTCGAAAAGACAGTTCGGCTCGACAACTCGGCGGCCAGTCAATCCAGTGGACGGGTGCGCGAATGCCGGCAACAGTACTCTTCGAGCCCTGAGGCGACGACAAGGATGAAGGTCACTGCACTCCCTTGATGTCGGAGCCACAAGGTTGCAAGCAGCCCTGGCTTCACAAAGAAACGAACGACCAGCGAACTTGAACCGGTACACTGTACCCATCTGAGAAACTCGCAGCCCAAGCACGTCAACGCTGGCGCGCTGCCAGCACAACACCTCTGTTCAACCCGGTGCATGTACTTACAGCTAGCTCCCCTTCATAGAGGCAGCACGGTTCGTGCTGCTGGCGCAGTGCGGGGCCCAGCGGCGCTCTTGGCTTCGTTGCAGTGCGAGTGCCGGTCGAGTCCCACTTTGCACTGGTCGGTGGCGCGAGCGGTACAAGATAACCCCGGTCGGTGGCGGGTACGCTCGGGGGACGGCTGTTGGTGGACGGCGCGTCAGACGGCGCGGCGCCGTCCACTGCACCAGATACATGCGGGGGTCACATCCCAAAAACAAACCAGAGTCAAAACAGCAGCACAACCCGAAGCGCGGACCGACCACCGACCGAGCAAGCGAGCAGCACATCACAGCCCACAGCTCGCACCCCACCACCTTCACCTCCACTGCCTTCAACCGCGAGCCATGGCCCCCAAGGACGCAACAGACGCCTACGCGGGCGACGACAACGTCTCCACTCAGCAGCTCCTGACGCCCAAGAGCTCCTCCACTGGTGGGCCCACCACCATTTCCACTTCCACGGCTCCGGCTGCTGCGCCTGCCTCACCCGAGCGGCGCAAGAAGCGCCAGCGCAGCTCATCCGTCGCCATCGACTGCGAGGTTTCCCCCAAGAAGACGCGGAAGCGCTTGCGCTGGTCCACCATCACCGTCCACGAGTTCGGCGTGGGGCTGGGCGGCAGCTCGGTTCCCGGCAAGGGCGGCCCCTCCATCGGCCTGAGCGACAAGCCCGAGTTCACGTGGACGACCAATGTGGGCGAGATGGCCGAGTGCGTCGAGGGCGTGCACCGCTTCACGCCCGAGGAGCGCGTGCGGCTGCTGCAGAGCGCGGGCGTGAGCGAGGAAATGATCCTGCGCTTCTCGCGGAAGGCCAACATCATCAACTGCTCGCGCCGGAGGACGCTCGTGGAGAACATCGCCGAGCGGAAGGCGGCCAAGAAGCAGCAGCGCAAGCTGGAGTCCCCCCGCCCCTGCTCTTCTGCAGTCCTCGACCGACCGCGCATGATCCCGGTCAACTACGTGTAAATCAAGCAGCCGAAGCAAGCCAACCCAGCGCAAGAGAGGCGATCTGTGTTTCGTTGTGCACATACAGCGCGTCACCGTCAAGGCGCCGGTCGAAACCGTCGTGGTGGCGCTGATCGTAGAGCTTAAGTTATTTGACCTTTATTATAGGATATCGCTACAATACGAGCCACATGCATGAACCGTTCCGACCGTGTAGTGAGTGAGTGCCTATGCCATGAATCTTGCTTTGCTCTGCCTGCCATCTCGCCACTGCGACACACTTGAAGCCAATGGGCCCATGCAGCCAGCCAGCGTCGCTGCCACCACCGGACAGTCTCAGTATCCAGGGACCTTAGTCGCCTTATTCAATCCGTGGGCCGCCCAGCACTCTACCTCTCGTCGGTTGAGTCGCAGCCAAGAATACGCTGGGGTGCACTTGCAGTGTTGGGCCGACACTGTCGGCGCTTGCCTTTTGCGGGCGGATCTTCGAGCAAGCAGCGTCGAGGACGCTTCTCGTAAAGCCCCACTGCGTTTTAGTATCGCCGCGTTTCATTTCAGGCTTGAAGTAGGTGAGGGGGTTCTAATTTCGGGTCGCGGGCCGCTATAGCCGGGGAGAGGACGGTGCTTCAGTCGAGTTAGAGACCAGAAAGTCGTTAAAGCGATTTCTGGACACTAACGTTACGGACTTTATCTGCAGACGACAACCAGCATTGGTGGCTGCGCTCAACGCGATGGCCCCATAGAGAGAGGTGGCTGGAGTTTGGTCTACCGCTAGGCTCTGGAGCGTTGGGCAGCTCTGCTTGGCTTCCTGCGGCAGTCGCTGCCAGCAAGCGAGCGAGTTGGCCCCGCGCCTCTATGCACATCGAGCCATTTGACACCAGCCGGCCAGAAGACGTCGTCCGCCCCGCTTTCGAGCGCGACGCCAGCTGTGGGGAACCGGCATCACGCTGCAGATGTGATCTCACGGGATGAGCGAGCAGGCGAGCCGCAGCAATGCGGGCGGGGCCAGCACCTCGGAGGTGACGCTCTTGGTTGTAGCGTTCAAGTTGCCATTGTCCTCGCAGCCAAGGCCGCTGCTGCAGGGCTTGCAGGTGCTGGAGCGCTGCGCACATCTTGCTGCCCTCGGCAACCTCGGCTCGAGACTGGCCCAGCTCTGCACCGGTATCCAGATTTTGGGATTACGCGATACGTCCGCTGGCGGGCGGACGGGCGGACGACCTTGAAGGCTTCGGGTGGACGAACCACTTGGCGTTTGTATGCTTCCTCGGGCGGAGCAGATCCACCAGATCCGCCAGCAGCTTGGCCCGGGGGTAGTGGCGAGCGAGTGGCGGCGGGCGGGACGGACGCGGGCCGCTCGCTGGCCCCGACCGGTTCCGCATGGAGCCGCCACCGAGCCGCAAGCGCCGCCGGCCGCCCATTCCCCGCTTCCCCACAGACGCAGACGAACATGAGCAAGAAGAGCGTGCGCTGGTCCACCGTCACGGTGTACGAGTTCGGCGTGGGCATCGGCGGCAGCGCCGTGCCTCGTCGCGGCGGGCCCGCCGTGGGGCTGGCCAAGACGCCTCGCTGCGTGTGGAGCACGTCGGTGGACGCGGCGCAGAGCGAGCTGGCGACCGAGAACGCGGCTCTGGAGGTGCAAGAAGGCAAGGCGGGGAGTGCGCCGGCATCGACCGCCGCTCGGAGACACCGCAGGCGCGTGCGCTGGCTCAAGCCGCTGGAGCGCGTGACGATGCTGGAGAAGGCTGGCTACAGCGAGGAGCGCATCTACCGCATGCTCATGGAGTCGTCCAGCATTGCCCAGTCGCGGCGCCTGTGTCTGCGTGTGGCCTCGCTCGAGTGTGCGGCGGCATGAGTCGCTCCATCGTCCGCTGAAGACGCAGAGCTGCAGCAGGGTGGAGAAGCAGAGGAGAAGGTCGTACGAACAACTTTAATTTATGACGCAATGAATGCGGGCAGCTTTTGCTCGGGTTGCCGATCAGTTCGGCTTGCTTTGGAGGCGTTCCCTCGGTCGGATCTCGCTCAGCAATCGTAAATGACGGATTAAGGGCTTCCACAGCAACACCAGCGCAAGCTGCAGCTTGTTCCTAGGCTGACCTCCGAGTGACAGCTACCACGCACGATGTTGGCTAGGCACCTTGGTTGGTACACAGTAAATAGTCGTCGTTCATTGTCATAGTCTACTCGCTTGTGGTCTATTGGGGGCGCACTGCGTCAACAGCCAGCAGCTCCGCAGCAACTTGGTCCTCGTGGCTCGGCGGGGTAACACTACCACCGCCGAGGCGCTTGATTCCGCGGGCTCTTCACGCGGCCACCTGGCGCTGCATCGAGACGCAGAGCCTCCTGGACATGGCGATGTCCGAGCTCTCCATCATCATGCGGTAGATGCGCTCCTCGCTGCAGCCGGCCTTGGTCAGCATCGTGATGCGCTCCAGCGGCTTGAGCCAGCGCACTCGCCGAGCGCGCTGCACGCGGCGCTTGCGCCTCTCCTTGCGGTCCGCGGCGACTAAATCCACCTCCTCCTTCATCTCGGCGTCATCCACTGCAGCTTCAGCTTCGGCGCCGGGCCGCGCGAGGTCCAAGTCCCCGCAGCGCCGCACCTTGTCCAGCGAGGCGCTCCACACCTGCTGCGGCGTGCGCGCCAGCCCGATGGACGGCCCCCCGCGGCGGGGCACGGCGCTGCCGCCCAGCGCCACACCGAACTCGTACACGGTCACGGTGGACCACCGCACGCACTTGGCGGCCGGCGTCGTCTCCTTCACCTTCAGCTGCATGGTCGGGGTCTCGAGGCTTCAGCGTCTTGAGTGTCTTGGGGGCGGCTTGCGATGTGTGCGGGCGAGTGGGCGGGGAAGGCGCGGCCAGACGCGGCCCAGAATGGCAGAAAACCCCAACAAAGAGCCTCTCTTTCCCTCCGTGCGTTGCTCTCTCGGCCCATACTCAGACGCAGTACGGCCGTCAGCCGACACCTGCCCCTGCCCCCGACACCGCGGCAACTGGCTCCGCACTTAGAACTTCCCGTGTCGTCGCTGTTCCTCGTCCCGGACGCGCGCGGTTATTGGCCAAAAGCGGCCGCCGACAATAGCTGACCAGCGACGATGAAGCGCCGGATGGGCAGCGACGCGCGGAAGCGGCTGGGCGCGTACGAGAAGCACGCAGAGATCGGGCGCGGCACCTACGGCACCGTGTACCTGGGGTACCACGCCGAGTCGCGCGCGCGCGTGGCCATCAAGAAGGTGCTCGGGCCGCTGGAGGCCGGTCGCCACGAGGCCGCCGTGCTGGGCCGATGCCGCGGGGCCGCGCACGTGGTGCAGCTGCTGGAGGCCGTGGAGCGCAATGACAAGCTCTACCTGGTGCTCGAGTACATGGACAGCGACCTGGAGACGCTGATCGGCGCCACCGAGAGCGCGCCGACGCTGGACGTGGCGCAGGTCAAGGCGTACCTGCGCATGCTGCTGCTGGGCGTGCAGGAGCTGCACGCGCGTGGCGTCCTGCACCGCGACCTCAAGCCCAACAACCTGCTGCTGTCCAAGACGCAGCGTGTGGCCAAGATCACGGACTTCGGCATGGCGACCATAGTGGAGGACGGCGGGGACACGGACGCCGACGACGCCGCGCAGAAGCCCAAGCGCTCGGTGCAGGTGGTGACGAGGGCCTACCGCGCGCCCGAGATCTTCTTCGGCGAGGAGCGGTACGGCTTCGAGGTGGACGTGTGGTCCGTCGGCTGCATCTTCGCCGAGATGCTGCTGCGCCGCCCGCTGGCCGACGGGTCCTCAGACATCGACCAGCTCAGCAAGATCTTCGCGGCCTTGGGCTCCCCCGCCGAGAACGGGTGGGACGAAGCCAGCGAGCTGCCGTTTTTCCTGCGGTTCAAGGACACAAACCCCACGCCGCTAGCCGAGCAGTTCCCGATGCTGTCGGAGGCCGGCGTGGACCTGCTGGGGCAGTTGCTACTGCTCAACCCCAAGAAGCGGATCTCCGTGGACAAGGCGCTCCAGCACGAGTTCTTCCGCGAGAAGCCCGAGCCGGCGGCGCCGTCCGACCTGATTATCGTTGACGCCCCGGACCGCGTCGAGCCGCCCGTTGTCGACGGCACCGACGTCGTGGTGGCGTCAGATGCCAGCCATACATTCATGATCAAGGGCCGGCGACTTTTGTAGAGCAACAACAGCCGATTCAGCGAGGATGCATATTGCCGTTAACCAGGTCCCATCTCTAAAAAACGACCGTAATGGAATGGACATCAGACTCCAGTGCGCTGATAACTCTACCCGAGACGCGCAGGACGACACCGCTGCGCTTATCCCTTCTTGATCTTGGTCTCGTTAAAAATCACGTGCTGTCGGACAATCGGGTCGTACTGCAGCAAGCACACGGCATCGTCAACAACGTCAATAACTCCTATCTCGCCGCAATAGTGTCAACTACTGGGCATACAGTACCTTGCGGAGCGAGAGCTTCCTCGTGACGTTGCGCGGGTTCTTGGTCGTGGTGTAGAAGAACCTGCAGTAAACGAGAACACCACGTCAGAAGATGGCATTCGTACGGCCAAAAACTAATAGCAAGACGCACCCAGTGCCCGCCGCACTCAGCATCTTGATCACCACGTTCTTGGCTTTCCCCTGCGTCAGAAATAGCAGCACGTCAGCACTGCGGGGGGGGGGGGGGATTTCGTCACGTTCGGCAAGTCATAACTCGGCGGATATTAGGTGCATTCGGCTGGAAGAGACGTCATTACGCAGCTTAGATGCTGCAGACTATATGGTCACCTCGGTGCCACCTCCTGACGCCTCCTCGCCACGCACACACGCCGCCGAGACGAGCTCCTGTCGAGGCGTACCTTGGCCATGGTCGCTGCTCAGCTCTGCCAATGAGGACCACAAAACCTGCGGCTTAGTTTTGCGCCTCATCTATTGGTCTTAATTATGCCCTATTTTATCCAATCATCGACGTCATTCCAATTCTGAGGTCATTTCGGTGGTCGTCATCCTGTAGACGAGCTATTTCGGCGGTGCAACTGCAACAGGTCAATAAAGTCGATGGTTCGCCATGGGTATATTTAGTGGTTCTGCTTGGGCTTCGACAACATTCTACGTGGCCGAGTTGTTGCCGCTGCAGCAGCGTGTTAGTACATCGCTCGTCTCCCGCCTTGGAGCGCATCAGTCAACATGAAAGACGCCGCCGGGTGCAGCTCGCCGGTCCTAGCGTCGAGCTGCAGTCGTCCTGGCGAGTTGACGCTCAACTTCCCGCAGGATGAATACTCATTAATGTTCCCGCCGTCTCCAGAACACTCGCCGGGCAGCAGCAGCTGCAATAGCTGGGCTTCTGGGGCTGCGTCGCCCACGCCCAGCGCCAAGAGCTCCTCGAGCGTGAGCGCGGGCGACAACAGCTCCGGCACCAAGACCAAGAAGAAGTGGATGCGCAAGGAGAAGATTGGCCAAGGGTAAGTTGCATTGGTACGGGATGATTTGATAGCTTACTGTAGACTTATCGAGGTGGATTTCATGTGTTTCCAGCGCCCAGGGCTCCATCTACCGATGTGAAGAAACGAAGACTGGGCGAGAGGTGGCTGTGAAGGTCATCTGGACGCGGGAGTTGCCCCCTCCAGCAGTGGAAGCGGTCAAAAGAGAGGTGAAGACCATGAAACGACTGAGACACAGACATTTGGTGCGCTATCTGCAAGCTACGGAGAAGAAGCAGAGCGAGCTGCGGATATACATGGAGTACGCGGCCGGCGGCTCGCTCAGTTCACGCTTGTCCCGTTCCGGCGCTCTACCGTTGATGCTAGTCAAACGATACACCCGTCAGCTGTGTGAGGCTCTGCAGTATTTGCACCAGAACGGGATCGCCCACCGTGATATTAAGTGCGCGAACATCCTGCTCACCGCTCCTAGTGGCAGTGACGATGACGGATCTCGTGCAGACGTCAAGCTGGGAGACTTTGGCACGTTCAAAGTCGTTGGCTGCGCTTCACTCGTTGGGGGCCTTAAAGGAACCCCTCATTGGATGGCACCCGAAGTGATCCGGCAGCAGAACATGGAGGATGACGGCGACCATGAACGATGGTTCCGTGCCGACGTGTGGAGTCTTGGTTGTGCTGTGCTAGAAATGATCACGGGCCACTCGCCATGGCAGCAATACAGCAACCCGCTCACCGCCATGTACCAGATCGTATCGAGTGAGAATACTCCAACAATTCCGCCCGATGTTTCGGAAGAGGTACGATACGATAAAGCTTGTTGTTTTATTTGACAACAATGTGCTCACAGAGCTATTGCATCTTCTGTATGAATAGACCGCATCATTCCTAAAGCTCTGCCTGCAACGCAATCCGGAGCACCGCGCAACAATCACGCAGCTTTTAGCTCACCCGTTCGTACGAAATGCCGCTGACAACTCGAGCAAAATGAAAGGTAGAAGCTCAAAACACCGCGTCAAGCGGCTTGGAGAAACAAAATCCAGCAACGTCACTGCAGTTTGCAACCAGCTCAGCTCGCACTCGTTGCCCCCAACACCGAAGAGATCAAATTCAGGACTTGGAAAGGATTTGGCCCCGGAGCCTGAGCCGCACGAGGACTCGTCGACGCATTCGCACATGGAGAGTCCTGGCAGATTCAAGGCTGCAAACTTGAAGCCGATGCCACCGCAGATGTCGCTGCATGACGATATCAAGAGGAATCTGCAGCCGCCAGCCCTTCAGTACGCTCGATTAAACGTTGTAGGGTCCCCTGACACAGCATCCCCAGCAAAACTTCGACTGCCTCGAACTCCCAGGTAAGCGCGTACGTCTTGCATTGAATTAGTTGGACTTGCTCACCATTTGCTTCATCTCTTGCAGGTTAAAGCCGCTGGAGCCGATGAAGAGGCCAATGGCCTCGTCAACCACCAACCAGGATTCAAACTCTCCGTCCACAGGCTCAGCAGCAGCAAGCATCCTCATGCCAATTGCGCCTTCAACCCTTTCACGCGGAACGTCTGCAGGCTCCCGACGATTGCCACGACTGCTAGACCTGAAGATCGGGAACGGATTCGAAACCCTCTCGACTTCCCCCATCCGACTACGACGCATCGCCACGGCACCCACGGCGGCGACAAACTTGGAGGCCACCGACGACATCTTCCCGGACACCATCCGGCTCCCACCACTCAGCGCCCGACCCGCGAAAACCCGGTGCAGTTCTGCGTCCACCTCAGCCCGTAGCAACTAGAAAGCGAACGCGTACGCATGATGAAAGTCTGGAATCAAAGTGAATAAATACTCGAGTTATAGAGCCGAGGCTTCCGTTCGGTGCGACCGCGTTCTCGCTCTTCTGGCCTCTAAAATGTCCTTGGTCGCACCATCTCACGCTCCGAAGTAGAAGTCTTCGTTCCTGCTCGTGTCCACAAAGAGCCCGGGTCTGTGACTAGTCCTGGTGTTGCTGTTGCTGCTAAAGGAGCCCTCGAAGCTCTGCTGCCCTGTCGGCTCGTCCACTTTGTCGTACGCTTCCTCCTCCACCAGACTGGGGCTGCTCGCCTCGGCGATGCGATCCCACCGGATCTCAATAGACAGCCACATGACCATGAGCAGCACGCCGACGAGCGCCAACGGCGACATGCCCGCCAGCCACGGGCCTCGCAGCACGCCGTCCAGTCGGCCGGAGCTCTCCAGGAAGCCCACGAGCAGCGCCGCCAGCCAGTGGCCTACGCGCTTGTGCCACAGATAGGGCAGCTCCTCGTCCGCGAAGTAGAGCAGCACCAGCACCTCCACCAGCTCGTAGTAGAAGGCCAGCGCGGCCGCGTCTCGCCACGTGTTGGAGGCCCCCGCCTCCCGTCCCCTTGTTAGGGCCGTGAAGACCGCGACGCCGCCCAGTGTGGCGCCCCAGATGAAGACCCTCGCCCAGAAGAGCAGCCAGAGCACCACCTTGCGGTCCTTCCGCCGCTCGAAGACGCACGGGAAGCTGCGCTGCCACTGCCGCAGCCCCTCCGCCAGTCCGTGGTACACCACGGCGCAGCTCGCGGCCTTGAGCTGCAGCTCCGACGGCAGCAAGAGCCCCCAGGCCAGCAGCATCACGAGCGCACCCAGCACGCGCGCCAGCAGCAGGCGGCGCTGGATCTCCAGGGTCAGCACGACGGCGCTCAGCACCACGAGCCACGCGAGCACGAGCGACGCCATCGTCGGTGAAGTTACAAGAGTGAGGAGACGGGGTGTTATTGCACACTTGGTGTTTGTATGGGAATTACAGGTGGGCATTAGGGGTGGTAGGAAGGTCCACTGCGATTAACTACCCCGATTTCCTGGTTGATAAAAGCAACGAGACTTTGGCGCTTACATGTATCGCGTTCCGTACCCTGAACACGCTTGCAGCAATAAGGGGACTCCACGCACCATCGCTATGTGCATCGCATATTTCATCTTACTCATTGACTTTCTCTCGAGCGAAGCATCGGCTGCGGAAGCCTTCCGGGGAAGGGATCTTAATACTCTCGGAAGCTATAGTCGTGCTTCGCAAGCTACAGAAGTGCTAAACAGAGACTTCTCCCGGTTGTTAGCAACAGCGATCTACCTTACCAGTATTAGTTCATGGATTGAGTGGATGTCAGTCTGTTTCGGATGCTACGTAGAGTTTGACTCGTTTCGGGTCCTTGTCTCGACAAGTTGTCGGACAACCTGTATTGTCGTCACGATCATTCAACGCAGTGCTCATGCGCCTAAGGCCATAGAGCGCTAATGTTAGGCGATGCCCTCACACGTGAAAGCAATCACCGTTTGCGAGGAATGCATCAGCAAGCCACGCGACGAGGTTGCTATGTAGTTGCTAGTACGGTAGATGTACGAAGTTGGACGGTAAGCTTTGGCTGCGGGCAATTTGCAATGCTCTTGCCACTAGCGAAACCCAGAGCACCGTCGCAACGGGCACTGCGACTGAGTCAGGCACTGACTGGATGTCTCGCAGCAGCAGAGCTCACTGAGCTCTGCTGAGCTGCTCAGCGCGCGACGCCTTTGCGCGGGGATGCCGCCCGTCCGATGCGAACCAATGACGATGGCAGAGAAGGGTGCGTGCCTTCCGACGACTTTGACTTTCGGTGGCGCCGACGCGAGCGCCAACTGCTTGAAGTCGTCGCGGCCTGCGTGGCAGCGCCGTCACGTCGTCCGCACGGCGCCATTGAGCACACATGGTGTTCGCGGCGGTGGGAACAAACCTGTATCACTCGATGTTGATGTTCGCTACATTCCACTTACTCGCGTATACTTCTTCCACTGCGAGAACTAATCATCCAATAAGCGTTAGCTTATTGCCCGTCAGGAAGGACCTCTTCCTCAAATTGGAGATCACCGCCTGGAAGTACCGGACGGAGGAGCCCCCAGAATGGCCGACGCCAATGCGCTGCAGACCGCGCAAACGGGCGTGGACGTGCGGCTGGACGAGCGCAAGATGTACGTCGTGGAGTGGGCGGACGGCGCGGCCTTTGGCTTCACCGTGACGCCCGTGCAGTCGGACCGCGGCACGGTGCTGTGTCTGGCGCGGCGCACGGCCAGCAGCGCCACCGCCGGGCTGCAGGACGTCGTGGCCGGCGACATGCTCATCGCCATCGGAGACGAGAAGGTCTACCACCTGGGCGCGGCCAGCGCCACCAAGCTGCTGCGCTCTGTGCAGAAGCCCGTGCGGCTGACGCTGCAGCTGTCGCCCTACGGCGCTACGTCCAAGGACCTGCCCGACCTGGCCCCCAACGAGTACACGTACCTGTGGGAGTCGGGCCCGCTGGGGATCGTGCTGACGACGGACCCCAAGAGCAAGCTGCCGCTGGTCAAGCGCTTCACGGGCAAGGCCGACAGCCCCGCGCTCGAGCGCGACGTGAGCGTCGGCGACGAGCTCGTGTACGTGAACCAGACGCCCACGAGCGACCACTCCATCTCGGCCATCATCAACATCATCAAGGAGCTGCCCAAGCCCATCACGCTGCGCTTCCGGAAGCCCCTGGCTGACGAGCTGCAGATGGAGCTGCCCCAGCTGGGCGAGGGCGAGTACGACTTCCTCTGGGAGTACGGCTCGCTCGGGCTCGTGGTGGGCACGTCGGCCGACGGGCTGCCCTACGTCCGGTCGTTCACGGGCAAGGGCACGTCCAAGCAGCTCGCGCAGGTGCAGGAGAACGACGAGATCATCCTCGTCAACAACCGCTCGGCCAAGGAGCACGGCTTCCACGAGACCATGCAGTACATTATGAACGTGCCCAAGCCGGCGGTCATCCGCTTCCGCCGGCCGCTCGCAAATAGGAACAAGGCAAGCACGCCGCCCAAGCTCGTGGAGAGCGTGTCGCTGCCGACGTCGCAGATGGCGGCGATGAGTATGGATCCACCGTCGCACCCGCAGCGAGCTCCGTCCCCTGTGCGCTCTGCCAGCATTGGTGGGGCACCCCCAGCTCCGGCGCCTGGACGCAGCTACTCCGCTGCTAGCGAGAACGAGGCCGCGCCCAGTCTACTGGGATACCGAAGCGCGCGCAGTAATAGCTCCTTCACGCGCCACCAGCACTCTAGCAAGTACCAGACCCACCCACAGCATCAAGTGCAGGCCACGGAAGATCTGTCCTTCGCCCAGACAGCGCCAAGCCAGGAGAATGGCTACCACCAGTCCCAGCCTCAGCAAGCATATCAACAAGCCCCGCCACAGCAGCAACAGCAGCAGCAGCAACAACAACACTCACCGTATCAGCCATCGCCACTCCAGCAGCAGCACCCATTCCACCAGACACCTCCGCTGCAGCAGCTCTATCAGCAGTCGTCGTTCCAGCAGTCGTACCAGCCCGCGCCGCAGATGGAGGAGGAGGAGTTCTTCGAGATCGATATGAACGCGTACTACCAGATCCAGTGGACCGACGGCCCGTTCGGCTTCACGGTGCGCGAGGCGCAGTCCAAGCAGGGCGCGGTGGTGCTCATTACCAAGCGCACGGGCAAGAGCACGTGCGCCGGCCTGCGGCGCGTGGCCGTGGGCGACATCCTGATCAAGATCGGAGACAAGGACGTCCGTCAGCTCGGCTTCGAGCGGTCCACCATGCACCTGCGCAACGTGCCCAAGCCCGTGGTGCTGACGTTCCAGGCCATCGACTAGAGGGGCCAAGCGATGCACAGACGGACAAGAGGCCAATGGTTGTGTTTGTTTTTAGGGAGGCCGAGCAGCGGTAGATAGTGGAGAGAGAGATCGTTCATTTCGTTATCAAATCAACTAGGAGACATGGATACATACATGCATGTTGCAGTTGCAGTGTCAATTGGGGACACGGCACATCCGTTTTTACGGGGATCTATACTTGGGACTCGGACGGCCGCGGGCCGTTATCCATCCTCTTCTCGCCTTGGCGGCTCAGACCTCGCGAACTCCTCGGCCTCTTGGCGGACACTCGGCAAGCCTCGCACGCTCTCACGCGCTCGCTCGCTCGCTCTTCAGTGCAATTCTGGCAGACAACGAACGACATGGCGGACCAGGTCCCTGCAGGTTTCAATGAGAAGTACCGCATCGGGCGCGTCATCGGCGAGGGCAACTTCTCCATCGTCAAGGAGTGCACCAACCGGGCCACGGGGGACCGCTACGCCGTCAAGTGCATCAACAAGGCGGCGCTCAACCCCAAGGACCGCAGCAACCTAGTGCAGGAGATCGAAATCCTCAAAGACCTGAGCCACCCCAACATCATCAAGCTCTTCGACGTGTACGACGGAGACGGGCCCATGTGCTTCTTGGTCATGGAGTACGCCGAAGGCGGCGAGCTCTTCGACCGCATCATCACCAAGGAGTACTACACGGAGGCCGAGGCCAAGAAGGTGGTCAAGGTCGTGGCCAAAGTGCTGCGCTACTGCCACGCCGAGGGCGTGACCCACCGCGACCTCAAGCCCGAGAACCTGCTCTACGCGGACGAGACGGAGAACGCGGTCATCAAGATCGCCGACTTCGGCTTCGCCAAGCTCGTGACGGAGGAGACCAACATGTCCACCATGTGCGGCACCCCGGGCTACTACGCGCCCGAGATCGTGCGCAAGCTGCCGTACGACAGCAAGTGCGATATCTGGAGCCTCGGCGTCATCGCCTACATCTTGCTCTGCGGGTTCCCGCCGTTCTACGATGAAAACCAAGTGGAGGAGATGCGAAAGGTGGGTGGGGTGTTCTACCTGTCGATAGCGCATTTGTTTCCCTGTGTACTTACGAACTTTATTTCGTGGCTTTTGTGTAGATCCTTAACGGCGACTTTGAGTTCGTGGCGCCGTATTTCGATGGCGTCTCGCAGCAGGCCAAGGACCTCATCTGCAAGATGCTCGTGGTGCAGCCGTCCAAGCGTCTGTCGGCGCAGGAGGTGCTGGACCACCCGTGGTTCAACGACATCAAGGAGGCAGACGACGACGCGCCCGTGCTCTCCGTGGGCAAGAACATGAAGGAGGCGCGGCGTCTGACTGCGCGCAGCAAGTTCCGCGCCGGTGTGGGCGCCGTCATGGCCGTGACCAAGACGCAGCGACTGCTGAAGGCGTCGCGCAGCCCGCCAACTTAAGGTTGAGAACGAAGGAAGAGATCAAAGCGCGACAACATTTCTGGCGGAGGCGGAAGAAGCCTCTTGAACGAACAAATTCCAGGTACCTAGAGTACCTGCTAATATATCAATAACACGCTGATCCATTCGCCTAGTGTCGAACACCTGGAAGGTTGTGCGCAGCTCAACATGGACGTGGTTGTTTTCAGTTCAACTAACATCGTCGCTGTAAACATGGCCACGGAGCTAGCTGACGTGAAGAGATTGATGCTCGGGTATCTTTTGAGGTGTTGTATATCGGGTCGGTGCGGTTTATCAGATTTTCGTGCACAACGAGCATGGCAGGCTTGTAGCCGAGGATGAAGAGCTCTAAGTTACAGTGAACGCGGCCTTGGATCAACCCCACGTGAAGATTTCGGGCATCGGTTGTCAGATGGAGGCAATTATTGGGGGGCGTCATCCATCTGTACGTCATCCTCTGTCGAAGGCAACACCAAGTTTCAGACTTCGTGCGTACGGCCACCACTAAGGTTATTATACATGCAGTACTGAGGCTTCTTGATCACCAAGGCCGCGATGAGCTTGCAGTACCGGTAGTAGGAAACTGCATCCACTACTTACTACTACTCGTTCGCACAGTACCGGAAGCACCGAGCTCGAAAATGCCGTCGTTCACAGTGTGCCACTGCACAGTGTTGGGCATTGTCATTGCAGTATTGGGCCAACACTGCAATGACAATGCGAGCCACGCTTTTGACAGTTCCGCTGGTGCGTATGTTTTGGCAGCGGACAGCTTACTGTACTGTATGTCTCTCCGAATCTGGAGAATGCAGAAAGGAACGTATTTGGGCCGAGCACAAACCAACCGCGCTTGCAAATGAAACGTACCCATATACCAATGCATTGACGTCGAATGCGGCGAGGGCGACCCTGAAAGAGAGCGGTAAATATTCGAAGCCGCTGAAACTACTCAACTGCAGTTGCAAGCACCAAAACTTTGGTGTTGAGGAGCTGGAAAGCAGTGGCGTGGCAAAGACCGATACTCACGCTGCTCCAGAAACAACCGGCCCAAGAGACTGACTGTCTCCAAAGAGTCCACAGAGAGTCTCTGTCAGAGACCGACATCTGTGGATTCGTCCCCGTCGATGGATAGGCAGTTGCATCTCCCGAGTCGGGAGATCATGTCGGGAGTCCCGACATGAGAATCGGTCGTTGCTCGAGACGACCGATTCTCCAAGCAGCGACCGAAATTCCATCGACGTCGGATGACGGGACATGTTCCTCCTTTGTGGACATGTTGTGTGATGTCTTGTAAGAATGTCAAATTACTTCTAATATATCAACTCTGCTATAATATGGATATGATTCGGATAAAGTCTTCACTGAGGAAAGTGGTAACTGACTGAGATTTTAATCAATTTAATAAATTACGTGCTTTGCAGTTATTTTGCCGACTATTTTAGACGCTAAATATGGCAAAGCCTGCTATAGTATCTCTTGTTCCGTGACCAAGCAAAGCATCATAAGAAGTCCCTGGGAGGCAGGAGGTGCATTACGAGCTCTGCAACAAGAACACTTTGCGAGCATTGCGTGGTCAGCGTTGCTGACCAACTAAAAAAAGTAAACACAGAATAATCAAAACACGTTCTACTGTTCCAGGTGGAGCAAGTTCGTTACCGTAAGGCATATTGTGAGTTCTACTCTAATTTTCCGATCGGGGCGGATTGAATCGACCGTGGCAAACCGCCGGCGAATCGCCAAAGCACTTGGGTTGACTATGGTCGCCCGGCAGAACCATATGTTTGTTGGCCGGCGATTCGGCAAATGACTTGATGTTTGTATTGGTCGGTTGGACAGGGGCCCCAAAACCGACAATACTGATTCTCTTGAATTCGTGTGCGTCTGACCTCATTTTTGTATCAAAACTTTTGCGTTTCCTGTGCGTCTGCGCGCACACGAATTCTTTTTGCCCGCGACGACCTTTCCATACAAACTGCTGTTAAGCTGGTGGAAATGCAGAGTCGTAACGAATTCGTGTGCGTCAAACGCACAGAAAAACTACTGTGAACCTCGAAACTCAATACCACACAGGCGCATAACAACCGAAGTTTATACAGCCACAAGTTCGAGGCGACAGGCAGTAGTACGTCGTCGCGCATTGCCTTTGTATAATGCAGCGTGAACCCGTGGCCAGGCACCCTGGCTACACCAGCGCCCATTAGGCTCCATATTACTCGTCCTCGGCAACTGCATCAACGACGTGAGGTAAGACGAGCTGAATTATCTTTTGCTTATATGCACGTGTGTTGGTGTTTCGACGCTAACCTACGCGTCTTGGCTCGATCTACTGCGATTTTCTCGAATCTCGTTCAATGCAGTAGACCATTTGAGCTGATCTTTGCGCCTTTGACGATTTTTTTGTGTTACATCGCTGATACGAAGCTTCGGAATAGCGCCTTGAAGCATTTCGCGAGCCTGCTGCACCGTTGGGGTTGATATCCAGCAGCCTCGCGGAACTTTGGCTTGTATCTCCATCATCATACACCGATAGGCTGAGAGCGTCTTCCGCTTCCCACAAGTGGAAAGGTCCTGCCACTGCAGGAAGCGATATGGGCCAATTCGCCCAGATGGGTCACCACAGCACCAGTGCTCCCAAGCACACCTTAACGACATGCTGGGAATAGTAAAATCAGCAGGTGCTCGCGTCAATCTTGAGTTCGTAAGAGTCAGGTTTTGTGTAGCCATTTGGACTCCATCGTTATCATCTACATCTCGGCGGTCCTGAGAATCTTCTGTAGTGCAACTCAATGGCTGGGGTAAATGGCTTCGGACCGCTGCAACTAGCTCAGCTATTCCACAGTCATTAAGCGCCCGCGATATACTGGCATTAAGCTCTGTTGACGACAAAGAAGATCGACAACGGGACATTTATTCTCTCATCAACTGCACCACAGTGGGCGCCAGCTCACTAACCGACAATGATAGCTGCTGTAGCTGCGCCGCTTGGCTTGCTGCTCCATCGATGCCATCAAATGACCGTGCGGAGGTACACCAGTAGGCCTTATTCGATCTGATGGACGTGCCGTTCGGCAAACCACTTTCTGTTGCAACTGGGAAACTATTCTGGTATTTCCGAAAAGCGCGTTGCGATACAATGGATGCTGCTCACTCAGCGTGGTTCGTAGATATTCAGCGTGATACACTAGAGACGCCAAAAGAAAGCCGCCAGCGCTAAATGAGGTGGCAAATTGTCGAAACATAAATGAATACTATCGTGAACGAGATCATCAAAGTCGGGGAAAAATGGCGGTAATATAGCAAAACCAGTATCATCAAACGGTAAGCCAGTCACATAACGTCCAACAATGCGATCGCCAGCAGACTCGTAACGAATGTAGGTGTCCTGCACACCGGGTAGCTTCCAACCAGCTCTGATACATATAGCCGCAGCAGAGGGACCCCCATTTGAGCACGAAGAAACAAAGGTCGCTGAACGTTTTCGCGCGGAATGTGTTCCAATATCTGAAGGTACCAATCCTTCATTTTCAAGCAATACCTTCATCTCGTCTTCCTGCATGACGCGCTTTAAAATCTTTGAGAATCGATCGTATTGGTTACCACCGGGGAATATCTTAGAATCGTCGATTCCCAGTACAGCAGCATACATCGCTAGCGTCAACACTGGGCAGATTTCAGGGACAAAGGGGTTCGCATACACGTGCCTTGCATCGCGAGGCCGGGAGCCGTCTTGGTCGTTTTTCATGTGCCCGAAAAGAATTGCGAGCGCGTCTTCATCCCAGCTCATATGACCGGAATGAATTGAAGCCGTGTTGCCCGCGCGACACATCAAATTCCAACTCAACAGTAGAAATGCGTGCGCAAAAAGAAATTCTTCGTCACCATGCTTGATAAACGCAGCACAGAGAGAGCGCAATAGCGAAAATGACATGGGCTCCTTCCCCTCTGTCAGCTTCACACCAGCATCGTGGTTGCGCCGCGCAACAGTGCGTTTCAGGCCTTTGAAAAATACCGTCAAATCAGCAGCAAACTCTGGTGTCATCGACCGCCCATATCCTCGATACAAATGAAACAAACTTGAACGCATCGAATCGTAAACGGATTGACCAGGTTTATCTCCGCTACGGTTCCGAAGAGACAGCAGGAACTGCTCGAAGTCGTCAGCGCGATGCTGATCATAGTTAATAGGAGGTACCCCAGGATTCTCAGTCATGAAGTCAGCAATGCTGCTCTGTTTTAGCGACGTCATCTCCAACTCGTTAGGGTCGAAGTCGCCATCTTGCAAGGCTCCAAGAAATGCATTGCTCAGAACATTTCTTTGGTTCTTGTAAAGCCATGCTACATAACGACATATTCCACGAACGTACATCTTCACAGTCTTCTGGCCGATCACATTGTGCTTGACTGCTTGTACCTGACTGGCGAGATCCGCAGCGTCCGGGTTCGTGAGCGTGTCGGCATTCGGACCCGTGGTCAAGGTAGCGTCTGGGCTCGTGGGCATGTTGGCGCCTGGATTTGTGGTTGTGATGGCGTCTGGATTGATAAGTATGTCGGCGTTCGGATCCATGGCCAAGGCGGCGTTCAGATTCGGGGGCACGTGCGCCCGCGGGCGTCAGGCGCCTAGCTCCAAAAGTCACACACCACTTCGATTAAGTACGATCACAGGATAGTCGCACAAATTCTTGCTACATATGAAATCCTGTAAAACGAAGGAGAAACTATGATATCGCAGCACAATCCTCCAAACCACCAGGACTTCCGTGACTCCCTCTGTTTCGTGAATTGTTACGGTAGCTGTGCGGCCGGCGATTGCTTTCAACGTTTGTACGAAGACAATTACTCGGTAGTTTATCACTACGATAGGGAGTTCGCACTCTCCATACCGACGACTGGTGCATCAAGTCACTTGTAAATTCCCCCACCGCCTCGCAAGCCCAGCATCGTCACTAGTCGACCACATCCCTCAAGATGCCGCGACAGGTGACCGTTCTTCTGAGCTTGGCGCTTGCTCTCGTAGGCTTCGTAACCAGCGACGCCTCCGTCGTTAGCGGTACAGCTCCAGGTTTCGCGACCGGCACAACGGGCGGTGGCAACGCCAAGCCCGTGGTTCCAAACTCCATCCAGGAACTCGCGGCTGCTCTCGGCGGCAACGAACCCCGCGTGATCGTGCTCAAGAAGGAGTTCCGCTTCGTCGGCACCGAGGGCTCCAAGAAGGAGAAAGGGTGCCGCCCCAAGAACAACATCGACTGCATGGCCAAGAAGAGCGGGTTTCTGGGGCAAGATGCGATTCAGCCGAGCTTCAGCCAGTGCGACGGGTCTTTGATCGATATCACCTATGACAAGGCGGCTACCAACCCCCTCATCGTTGGAAGCAACAAGACACTGGTGGGTGAAGGCAGCAAGGGAGTCCTCAATGGAAAGGGCCTCATGATCACTGGCAGCAACGTCATTATCCAGAACATCCACATCACCAACTTGAACCCCCACCTGGTGTGGGGCGGCGATGCCATTACCATTCGTGGCAACGGCAACGTCGCGCCCAAGGGCATCTGGATCGACCACGTCAAGATCTCCAACATCGGCCGCCAAATGATCGTCGTCAATTTCTCCGGAGCCACGGGCCTCACCATCAGCAACTCGGACTTTGACGGAAACACCAAGTACTCGACGTCGTGCGACGGCCGTCACTACTGGGGGTTCTTGATCTTAGGCAAGCGGACCGAGCTCAGCTTGATCGGCAACTACATTCACCACACGTCGGGCCGATCGCCCAAGATCGGAGGCCACGACGGTGAGACTTCTGTCGTCCACGCGGCTAACAACTACTTCTCTGAAAATTCTGGCCACGCGTTTGACGTGGCGACGGGAGGGTATGTGCTGGCGGAAGGCAACTACTTCGATTCCGTGAAGCAGCCAACCATCGACGACCCGAAGGGCAACTTCCTGGTTCCCTACGCAGCCGGTGACTGCAGAGCGGTCATCGGTCGCGACTGCAAGCTCAACGTTGTCGCCAAGAGCGGCGCCCTCAAGGGGAACTCGCAGGGTAAGGGCTCGCAGTTCGTCAACGTCAAGTCGCTGATCAACCAGTACAAGGTGACGGCTGCTACCAAACTTGCAGTGGGGGCTGGTAACTTCGGTGTCGGCAATCTGGGCAGCAGTGGGTCCGCGAAGCAGGGTGTAGATCAGTCGCCTATTCAGCAGTCGAGTCCTATTGAGCAGTCGAGTCCTGTTGAGCAGTCGAGTCCCATTCAGCAATCGACCCCGAAGCAATCGAACAAGCAGACGAACAAGAAGCTGTAAGCACGAACGGATCTTCAATGGTAGAGGTGCCTGCTGTTCAAAGGGGGGAGGACGAAGAACGAGGACCGTTTCCTTGGCGAAGCGACACGCCAATACGACCTGGTACAGACTAGAGACTGCATTTCTGTAGATATGACGTAAGAGAACTTGAATGGATTAGTTTTGCTTCATTTTTAGCTGACCACAATTCATTCCCGCTGCCTAGTAATTTAAAATTCTTCCTACTATGTAACTAGTGTTCGCACAAACACTAACTGTATAGCTAATACTAGTGTTTGCAAACTGCTTGTTAGTGTGTTGTGAATCTGGCTTATTGTGCTTTGCACGAACTTTGGCATGCGATTAAGGGCTCTAAACCAACGAGCAAATCCTTCCCGGTGATCATATCTCGCAGCCTAACTCTAAGTTAAAGTTAAGCTAATCAACCGCCAGTACCAAGCACAACGCAGAGCAAGAACGGAGCGGTTGCCACTGCAAGAATAAATCGGTTGTCGCTGCAAGAAAACAAACTGATAAGGTCCCCGATAGAATGGCGCCAACTCCTTGCATAAAAGTAAGCACCGATTTCGGCGGGGACGTTTTCTTTCGCTCTCTTCGTCGTGGTCTTGCGCGTTAAACCAGGCTCGAATTCCAGAGCACGGCATATAGTAGCAGTAGAAAATTTCTACTAGAAATGTTTTGTAGTGCAGGAAACGCTGACTTTAAAGCTGCTTGCAGCTCCTCGATATAAAAACAGGGATGTTCTTCAATATTGTAGACGTAGTTTAGTACGATAGATCGCCGACGCATGCCAATCATCGACTAGAAAGCAATCAGACAAAGCGAGCGAGTTAGAATTAGAATGTCAGCGCCGTAGTATTGTCGGATTTACTCCAGCCATTCAACGAAAGTGAGCATAACTCAACGTTAACTCGTTGTCTTAGCAGCTATTCTATCTTAAATCGACGAGTTAGCCTCCTAACTCAATGATGGGCTAATCACCGTGATTTGCTAAAAAACGAATTACGTCGTTGTTTAGACAGAAAGCATGCAAGGCACAAATACATGTTTGTGGCGTTAGACAATTTTAAACTATTTACTTCGAAGTATCTTAAACTAAAATAGTTGAAGCTCTTGTCACTTGGCGGAAGCTGACTTGCACACGAAGGTATTCTTCCTTACACCAACCGTGATCTCTTCAAACTAAGCAGCACTAGATTACTCTTGCTACGCTGTGGTACGTACATGGAATGTGGACTCGGCAACGGGTGCTACTTACTTAAGTAATTGTGAGTACACTTCACTGACTTCTGAGTAATTCAACATAATGTGACTCAGGAAAGATGCCACGTCCGGCATCGCCGCCTTGGACGGGACCGGAGGAGAATACAATGTAAATGCATCTGGGGAAGTAAAGCATCGATCCACTTATGCGGACGTGAGTAAGCTAATAGAGAATTCAAGCGTCATCTAGCAGAAAACAAAAGATAAGTTGCCCTAAAGGGTTTGTAGCACGTTATTTGTGTTCATGAATGTCACCCCAACAAGCAACGCATTTAAAGTGTAGTCAATAGTTTCAAGTTGACGCAGCGCACGAATTTAATTGAAATGTACGTACTCAGAAGTCCAAGTACATTACTCATTACTCAAAATCCAACGAAATGTACTCAAAAGTGAGGGTGACCTCTCGACAACGGGCACCAGTGGCCATTAATTTGATCTACTAGTGATAGAGCAGCAAACGTACAAACGCGTTTGCAAACAGCACTAACTGTAAGTTAGTGTGTTGTGAAAATCACTAACATGTTTGCGGAGTACACTATATGCAACAAGTATAATAGTAATACTAAGTAAGTTATAATATGTGTCTCCTCAAAATACTACATACTACGTAGTACTTCAAGTATTTGGAAGAAAATAACTATTACACTAAATATGTTATTGTTGTATTATTATAATATCATTAAACAATATATTGACATAGTATTTTAAAATGTTGAATAATCAACTACTATAACATTGCGAAGTGCATTGTGATGATCATGCACTGTCAGTTGAGGAATGAATACATTCGAAGTGATAATAGTACTACTACCAATGTTCATTTGGGTTAAACTTCAATTCGCACAACTACTGGCTGCAGCCTCGAAACTATAGTAGTGTTCATCAGTAGTATTGTAAATATACTAATATCTCATGCTACTCCATATATTCATCTTATATTAACTACTACCGATCCCTGGATGCAAAGTATCTGTATTTCTATAAGCTTCAGTGATTCAAAATCGAAGTGCTGGACCATGTCACGCTCTTGTTTGCTTCGTGCTTCCCAACACCAACGTTGCTGCTTTGACCTACAGTTGAGCAGCTTCAGTGGCCGCATAACGACCAACTTGCTTCGAGCACTTGCTGATATCAGCGCTAATCCAGGCATACAAAACGCAAATGAAACTGCCTATAATGTAAAAAAATGTTGTGGAATTAATCGTGTAGTTTGCACGAGACATACTGCACCGCACATTTGCTGGAGTCACGGGAAATCGTTCTCCATAACAACTTATCATGTATCCGTTCTGCCAGAGTTGTGGGACAGTACATTTATATAGGATTTTGTATGGGGGGGTCAAATACGGCATCCTCGATATCTTCGTAAATCCCGCAGAACTAGCCAAGCCAGTACGGGTACAACCTAAACTAAAGTAGAAATATCGCTTGGGCAGGTCGCACGAAGCGATGGAGCTCTTAACTGCTAGTTGTGGCAATGTGGTGTAGTGGATGGAGATATTTTCGCGCGGATACCCAAGATCAACAAGATGGCCAAGATCGACAGTGTAGACCAAGATCGGCAAAGCGTGGCGACGCGTAGTCTGGCGCGATAGTAACCAGCAAGAAGGTCAAGGGGGCAACATCAAGGTGAACAACATCTCTGGAGGTGTTTGAGAGCCAAACCCCGGCGTAATCGATCCAAGTCGACGATATCGATCTTGGCGGGGATGACGCGATCTTGGAGAAAGAGTGATGATCTCGACCGCACGGATTGCGCAGACACCGGGCAGAGAGCCAGCGACACCACCAACGTTCAAGGGAGCTAGAGAGCACGCGCACAGACCACACGAGCGCAGGAGTGCAGGAGAACGATAGGACAAGGACTTAGGACAAGCTAACACTTTAAACAGAGTTGATTTTACCTCCTTCTTCACAAGTGGTCTTCGCCTTCGCAATACCGGGCACGGGATATACTTTGGCCCACCCGACGCTACGCAAGTCGACTTACACCCCACCGCTAGAGGAAGTGGCAAGCAAGGAAAGGAAAGGAAAGGAAGATCACACACCGACCACAAGGCAACCCCAGGCCAAGATCACACCTGGCCGGCGAGTGTCGATCTAGACAACCCCAGATCGAAACCGCCACAACTACTCCGGCACAGCGTGAAGCATACCCGCGTTGCTGCCACAAGTTCCCGCTGTCCACCAGACAGTCCAAGACTCAACCCCAAGTGCGTCTTCTCGAGATCACCCGAAGAGCGATCCAGCCCACCGACGGGTACACAAGGTGACGATCAGCAACTTCACGGAAGATCGGAGTACCCCCTCCGTTAGTCGGCAGTTCGGGCGCCGTGTGCAAGAGGACCCCCGCGATCTGCAAATTTCGCGGATCCACTTCGCGACAGCATCCTCTGTGTAGCAGGCAATCCTCTATACATTTTGCCGGTCCTCGAGCGGTGATAATCAAACATATGTTTGTATAATACTAAATCCAAGTTTTTTTGGGGCTTCCACATGCAGCAACCTAATGCAATTTTTGGTTCTAGGCCACACAATTAAACCAAATGACCATCTTCAGTGAATAGATCGCTGCAAGATTATACGAATCCGTGCTTTTTACGTCCCCTAATGAGCTCTGTCGCGAAGGAGAGGTGCAAATGTGTTCATATAGAGCTTGGCTCAAGATTAGCGAACATATGTATTCTACATACAAACATGCAGTGTAAGTGTAACGAGTTCTGACGCTGCTCGAAGTGCTGTCGCTGCGCTTGCACCAAGGTCCGCCGGGGTGTAAGTTACTGCAACTGCTGATGGCCACCGCGAAGTAGCCGGACGCAGTCCTATTTATTAACCTCAATACACACGCTGCTGCTCGTCACTGCAACTTGTTCGTCTTCCTCTTCCGCTTCAACTTGCTTGTCTCCTGCGGCTCGCTCGTTGCACTCGACTCGAGCGTCGCCCGTAGCCCGCCTCACCACACGTACTCGTGCGTTACTAGTCTGTTGGCTGGCGCCGACTCGCTGGTCGTCGCCCGCCTCACCCCGCACTCGTGCGTACCGGTCTGTTGGGAGCCTGTGAGCTAAGCCGTCGCCTGGCGCCTCCCGCTCGCCGCTCGCTGTCTGCTACTGTCTATTTCTGCTGGCCACGCTGTAGGCCTGCTAGCGTCTCGGGTCACTTGACTGGCGCCCCACTCCAGCCACTCAGAGCCCAGCGCCGCTTGGTTTCTCGGCTCGCGCCGGCTCGGGCTCTGGCGCCGAAGACACACTGCCGCCGCTGTCATAGATGTAGCCATGTACATAAGGTACAGTGTACAGTGTACCCGTTACATAAGTGTAGTGCACCACTAGAGGCAGCAGTGTTCCACAATCGTGTTCGTGAAAATAGCGCTTTTTCAGATGCAGCAGTCGACTGTTTTCATGTGAAGAACAAGCAAAAGAACAGTACCGACAAACTACATTTTCCTTCTACTTTCTAAAGATGTCGTCTGTGCACCGCAAATCGTTCAGCAAAGTTACTTTTGGTGTCCCTCTCCAACTGTCCCGTAACTCTGGCAGAACGGATATGCGCTCGCCGGATCTCGTCGTCCGTTCGAAGTTCTAAGAAACAGAACCGACCGATCCCTCTAAAGAGCCTACAGCTGTAACTTGGACACCAACGTCGATCGACTCGTCCTCTACCGGCTTATCGACCCAGTCCAGCCGTTCTACTGGGGGACTCTGTCCAGAATAACGAGAAAAAATGTCAATAGCATCGGACAAATCGGACACGGCCAAACAGAGGACGAATCAGGGGAATGAGGCATCTACGAGTCGTAGATGTCGTAGCTTTTGCCAGAAGACAATCAGACAGTTGTTTATCATTAGGACTCGTGCCCACGATACCGACAACCGGAACAACCTGACCCAGAATCACTTGCAAATTCCCCCTCCCCCACACAAGCTCAGCTTCTTCAGGAGTCGACCCCCAAATACTGCAACCAAGTTGACAGAAGATGCTGCGACGCGTTCTAAGCTTGACATTTGCCCTCGCTCTTGTGCAAAGCTGTTTCACCTGCGACGCCTCCGTCGTCAGTGGCTCAGCACCAGGTTTCGCGACGGGCACGACGGGCGGTGGCAACGCTAAGCCAGTGGTTCCAAACTCCATCCAGGAACTCGTGGCTGCTCTCGGCGCGTCGCACTGGCTGAAGCTCGGCTGAATCGCATCTTGCCCCAGAAACCCGCTCTTCTTGGCCATGCAGTCGATGTTGTTCTGGCGACGGCAACCTTTCTCCGTCTTGGACCCCTCAGTGCCGACGAAGCGGAACTCCTTCTTGAGCACGATAACGCGGGGTTCATTGCGGTCTTGGATCGATATCACCTATGACAAGGCGGCTACCAACCCCCTCATCGTTGGAAGCAACAAGACGCTGGTGGGCGAAGGCAGCAAGGGAGTCCTCAACGGAAAGGGCCTCATGATCACTGGCAGCAACGTCATTATCCAGAACATCCACATCACCAACTTGAACCCCCACCTGGTGTGGGGCGGCGACGCCATTACCATTCGTGGCAATGGCAACGTCGCGCCCAAGGGCATCTGGATCGACCACGTCAAGATCTCCAACATCGGCCGCCAAATGATCGTCACCAACTTCTCGGGTGTCCAAGGCTTCACCATCAGTAATCGTCGGCAGAACTAAGTACTCGACGTCGTGCGACGGCCGCCACTACTGGGGCTTCTTGCTGCTGGGTAAGAAGACGGATTCGGCAACTACATCCACCACACGTCGGGCCGATCGCCCAAGGTCGGAGGCCACAGCGGCGAGACTACGGTCATCTATGCCGCCAACAACTACTTCTACGACAACACTGGCCACGCGTTCGACGTGTCCACCGGCGGCTATGCTTTGGCCGAGGGCAACTACTTTGAGTCAGTGGCGCAGTCGACTACGAGTCCGAAGGGCAGCTTCTTCGTTCCCAACGCAGCTGGATTGCAGAGCGGTCATCGGTCGCGACTGCAAGCCCAACGTTGTCACCAAGAGCGGCGCCCTCAAGGGGAACTCGCAGGGTAAGGGCTCGCAGTTCGTCAACGTCAAGTCGCTGATCAACCAGTACAAGGTGACGGCTGCTACCAAACTTGCAGTGGGGGCTGGTAACTTCGGTGTCGGCAGTCTGGGCAGTACTGCTGCTCAGTCGGATCCGATTCAGCAGTCGAGCTCCAGCCAGGGCAACAACAGTGCAGCTCAGTCAAATCCTACTCAGTCCAGCGCTGAGTCCAGTGCTTACTCTAGCGCTGATCAGTCAAGTCCGATCCAGTCGAGTGCCTCTCAGTCGACTCCAAGCCCGGTCGAACAGACGGACGGGAATCGCAAGTTGTGAAGTGTCGGATGAGGCACCACCAATGTAGTACCGGTACGGGGACGTACAAGCTACAGTAGAGAGACGCATTTCTGTTGACATGAGTCGTAAGAAAATTTGAATGGATGAGTTTTTGCTGCCCACAATGGTTACACTGTAATCTATCCGGAATTTATCCGTGAAAAACACGACTAGATTACGGATAAATAACTGGCCGATCACTTGTTCGATCGAATCAATCAACGAGTCGGAGATGTGTGATCGATAGGTTCTTTCTTGTGGATATATTACTCAGCTTCTGCTTGGCCTACTTCGACGACAAACGGAGACTTATCCCGGGCACTTTTTTGGCGACACGCCGAAGGCCATCACCACCTTAAACAAATCGGTATTTGGGTAAAGCCGTCGAAGACTAAGAGCATTGGGTTAACCACGTGAAGCTTTCAAGCATCGGCCGTCAAAATGAAGCTACTTTCCACAATGGACGCCCCATCAGCAGCATTGCCGTAACTTTTCGTGCATCTTTTTTTCTAGTAGGTACATGTAATAGGCGAGCGAGAGCCATGTACAGTCACAGTCACACATCTGAAAGTGATTGAGTACATGATGTACTGAATTACTTTCAGATGTGACTGTGACTGTGGCATCTTCGCCTCTTAGCAGATTTCTAGCGTTCTCCCTATACACTAACTGTAGAGTCAGCTGCACGTGTAAATAAAAGTTAGTTAGTGTCTAGTAAATTTTGCTAACATGTATTTGCCGAACGAGCACCACTAATTTTTGCACAAAAACGGAAATTACTAAAGATTTTTACACTTCAATAACTTTATCTGCGCGCTCCAATCCTTCTGGTTTTCTATATTTTAAGAGGTAAGACTCTTTTAATTCGATATTGGAACTGTTCCAAAATTGACACAATTCTTCATGACACAATTTGTGGAGACGATATTTGCGTCTTCGCATATTGTACTGGGTATGAAGCCCTATTTTTGTGCTCATGACACATTTATTTTTGTGTTGTTTTTGGAAGAGTTCCATTGTGGCCCACATTGTCCCAACTCAACGGTACTGTCGCATTAGATGCTGCCAAGTCCACTCTAGATGCCAGTGCAGCGCCAGAGCCGCAGTTACTTGAAGTGCCAGTCTAGAACGGATAGTCCCATCCGTTAAGTTGTGTTTTATTTTTTTAAGGACCAACTCGTGCGGACAGAACTGATAGTGAGGCGAGATCCTCTATTAGCAGCGATGGCGGTGCTGTATTTGTTGTTGAAAACATCTACGCACGTAAGACTGTTGTTGATATGCAGCGACTGTACCTGATAAAATGGGTAGGGTGGGAAAGGAACCTGGCCCGTCACACTCCGATCGAGATAATCGACGAGTTTGAAGACGCAGAGCTGAATTCGGCCTGGCCCGAATATATTTCGCTAGAAGACGGGTCTCAAGGGCGCAGAGTGTTTAGATCTCTTCCGTAGGTAAGAAAGACATTAACTGCAATCAGCCTTAAGGTTAATATATATCATGATTATTCTCTTGCTACTAACTCGTCAACCAACAGTCGCCAAACGTACAGCTAACAGTGAGTTAGTGTCTAGTAAATTTCACTAACAGCAAAACGCCCTACACTACAGATTTCTCCTTTCAAGGAGCTGCTGATTCAGTTGTCAGGATGTGATGCAAGGACGTTCGTAGACGAAGTGGTTGGGTGGAGTGGATATGTAAGTTTTTTTTTTGAGACTTTCTCAAAGGCGCTAAGGTCTGTTATATTATGTAGTGCGAATGAAGAGTCCACTGAGGGAAGTGGAAGCTCAATCAAAAAGGTGGAGAGCCACTGATGGCATGTTCACCATGTCGCGGGCCCTTCTGACATTCAAAGTGACCGAGCAAAGCATCATATGCAAACCCCGGCGACAGCAGGCGCCTATAGGGTCCAAGCTGGACAACGATCCTTTGTTTACATGCCCTTGTTGACGGTCAACTTGACCAAGTGAAACCGGTCTACTCGTCGTAAGGTAAACACAGAATAATCAACCACGTTTTCCACTGTTCCAGGTGGACGTGCCTCCGGGCTGAATTGATGTGCTTTATCGTCATGTAGGTGAGGGAAAACTATAAACTCGAAGCACGATACAGTTTTATCAAGACACCACTCCGTCTGTTCAGATTTAAGATGAGGCCGCAAGTGACTTTCAAGCCTTTGCACGAAGGTAAACATTCACCTGTACAGTAGCAGCGTTGCCCTCCATGCCAGTACACACGAGGCAACCTGACATCTAGTCACTATCAAATTTCCAAGCTTCCCCTCAAGCGCTTGCCGACCTCATCCTGCTTCCTCAAGATGCTACCAAGCACGCGACGAGTAACCGTGTTAGTAAGCGCAGTTCTTGCACTCACAAGTTGCTTCACCTGCGACGCCTCCGTCGTCAGTGGCACAGCGCCAGGCTTCGCGGCCGGAACAACGGGCGGTGGCAACGCGAAGCCCGTGGTTCCAAGCTCGATCCAGGAGCTCGCCGCTGCTCTCGGTGGCAACGAGCCCCGCGTGATCGTCCTCAAGAAGGAGTTCCGCTTCGTCGGCACTGAGGGTTCCAAGAAGGAGAAAGGGTGCCGCCCCAAGAACAACATCGACTGCATTGCCAAGAAGAGCGGGTTTCTGGGGCAAGATACGATTCAGCCGAGCTTCAGCCAGTGCGACGGGTCTTGGATCGATATCACCTATGACAAGGCGGCTACCAACCCCCTCATCGTTGGAAGCAACAAGACACTGGTGGGTGAAGGCAGCAAGGGAGTCCTCAATGGAAAGGGCCTCATGATCACTGGCAGCAACGTCATTATCCAGAACATCCACATCACCAACTTGAACCCCCACCTGGTGTGGGGCGGCGATGCCATTACCATTCGTGGCAACGGCAACGTCGCGCCCAAGGGCATCTGGATCGACCACGTCAAGATCTCCAACATCGGCCGCCAAATGATCGTCGTCAATTTCTCCGGAGCCACGGGCCTCACCATCAGCAACTCGGACTTTGACGGAAACACCAAGTACTCGACGTCGTGCGACGGCCGTCACTACTGGGGGTTCTTGATCTTAGGCAAGCGGACCGAGCTCAGCTTGATCGGCAACTACATTCACCACACGTCGGGCCGATCGCCCAAGATCGGAGGCCACGACGGTGAGACTTCTGTCGTCCACGCGGCTAACAACTACTTCTCTGAAAATTCTGGCCACGCGTTTGACGTGGCGACGGGAGGGTATGTGCTGGCGGAAGGCAACTACTTCGATTCCGTGAAGCAGCCAACCATCGACGACCCGAAGGGCAACTTCCTGGTTCCCTACGCAGCCGGTGACTGCAGAGCGGTCATCGGTCGCGACTGCAAGCTCAACGTTGTCGCCAAGAGCGGCGCCCTCAAGGGGAACTCGCAGGGTAAGGGCTCGCAGTTCGTCAACGTCAAGTCGCTGATCAACCAGTACAAGGTGACGGCTGCTACCAAACTTGCAGTGGGGGCTGGTAACTTCGGTGTCGGCAATCTGGGCAACAACGCTGCACAGTCGAGCCCGAAACAATCGACCGGCAGTCTGGGAAATAGCGGTGCTGCACAGTCAAGTCCTATTCAGCAGTCGAGTGCTACTCAGTCAAGCCCGACCGAGTCGGTTGTACAGACGGACGGGAATCAACTGGTGTAAGTAAACCCCCCAACGGAACGAGGTGACTGGTGATCGAAGCGCAGGAAGGGAGACGTAACAACGACCGCTTGGCGAAAGAGACGCACCAGTACGATCTCGTTCAAGCCAGAGAGACTGCGTTTCTGTTGTCATGACGTTAGAGACATTGAATGGATGAGTTTTTTTGCTTGGCAAATTACCAGTTTAGTAGAATTTTCGATAGCAACTTTTAGCCTGCTTGTAATATTGACAGAGTGAGGTATGAAATTGTAGCTCAAGGTTTCAGCAATCAGAGATGATACCAGGTAACTAAATTCATGCAATATTCAGCACATTTAACGCAAGCTACTAAGCCATCTCGAATTCGAGGTTGTGCCAGTTTAGTTGAGATTTTATCAGGGAGTTTGTATTGAAATAACAGCTGTTTGCTGCCTTGAATAATTATATTATCAACCAATCATGGAAGCTATACGCGAAATACTGTCTGTTCATTGGTCAATGTGACACCCTACTAAACTGCTCACTCTCTAAGTGGTTACCACTTTTGCTCGCATTTCTAGCGTCATCGATCTTACCGAGATGGGGTGTCCAAATTCATACTGTAGGATATGCTTGCTGCCAGCACAGCCACTGATGCTGGACCTAGGACCAGGATGCCGTAGAAAACTCGCTGCTGGTATGCCATCAATGAAACGTTATACGACTACACGTAAATTACGAGTCGTAATACGCCTGGAAATCTGCTGTTGAAGAATCGCGTGTACGGTAGTGACCTGCGACCGCCTGCTCGCCAAGCTTTTACATGTATGTACTGCGGCGCCACCATCCCATCAGGCATCGTGTCGCAGTAGACACAACTTGTGTAACTGCGCCACAACGGTACAGGTACATGTAGTCGGCTCGCGTCTTGAGCCTCTGCAGTACTATCCAGCTGAGCTCACACTACGGTTCCGAGTCGCGTTTCCAGGCATTTTCGATTGACATAATGGCGAAACGTTTCTCGCTTCCTTAACGGGCTGCCTTCAACCTCGCGTAGTGGACATGCTGCTCGTCCACTCGTGTGGGCCTACCTCGTCGCCTTCGCCACGATGTAAGTTAGTAACTTACAGGCCTTGTTTGCTGCTGTCGCGGCGGTGGCTGCGCGTACATATATCCCTCTCGAGGTTGCCACCGCTGTGGAGTAGTTGGCTGTGTGGCTGGGGCGACCCGAAGCTGTGAACGAGCAGCGATCTTGACGCTTGTGGAGGTACGGACGAAGTGCAGTAGTAAGGCGAGCGTTGAGCTCGTGGAGGTGCTGGGGATACTAAAACACGACCCAGTAGGCCATGTTGCGGCGTCTGGGGGAGGCTTGGTTGCCGCCGAGCTGGCATAGCGGAAAGTGACGCTAAGCTGGTCTTGCCGCACTGCAACTACCTAGGTATTGCGTAAAAGGTACTTTATACTTACAGAATCAAAATACAGTCAATTGCTGCTAAGCAAATTCGAGGTCGTAAAGCTGGTACAGTAATCTGCTTCCTCAGCGAACACCTGATATGTATAAGACACATCAGGTTTATATATTATGAAAGGATTGTGTAAACAGCCCTATTGATCAAATGTACTGACTTAGCCACTGTAGTACGGAGTACACGCAGCCTGGCCGCAGTCAACTCTCGTAAATCTCGTAAAGTGCAGCTTGTTTCCCCAATGCGGTCACTGACCTGCCTGGAGAGTCCACGAAATCAACTCCACGTGTATCTATCTACCTCGCGGAGATCTGTAGCTCTTACAGCTTCGTTACATGTAGGCAGCCGCGCTGGGACAATCGGTCTCCTTGCACGTTGACTCGACTACTGTATCGTTCCCGCGCATCCTTGAAGTTAGGCCCGGATATCTTCCCGCTTTATGAGAGCTGATTGGTGGAATCGTAATTTACAGGTCCAGTGGGACTCCACCGTTCACTAAAACAATACATCTCCCTAAGTGTGGTACGATTCGGGAAACATGCTTTCTCAAAAAGTATAAGGTTCTGCCTGTTCGCTGAGCAAGCAGATTACTGTAGTGAAGGGAGTTTAGAGAGATTCAGAAACCGCAGAGCCAAACCGCCTGAAGTCCAGTAAATAGGACGTTCGCAAACGTTCACAGCACATAAGTTACCAGAGGTGATCTAATACAATTGGCGCTCTCACTTCCGACACCGTGGTCCACCTTTAATTGTCAGAGTGCTAAATTCAATAAAAGTCAATAAAGTTTGGTAGGTAAAAGACCAGTCCCCACAGAGCTCATGGAGCGGGGCCGAAGGTGCTGCAGTGTGCAGTGCAGAACTACGTGCCCACGCGCTTCGATGACGCGCCAGGCCGCACCATGGCGAAGAGGGAGGTGCGCTTCACAAACATGCCCATCACAGCCGACGTGGTGGTGGACGAGAGTAACGAGAGTAAGACCGAGCTGCTGACAATCTAGAAAACGGTCAGGAGTCTGGCCGCTAGCTTTTACTCCAGTGGCGCTGGCGCCGGTGTTGCGCAAGCCCGGCGAGGCGAGATAACATACAACAGCGTACCACAGGCCGGCTGCTGCTAAGCAAATTCGAGGTCGTAAAGCTGGTACAGTAATCTGCTTCCTCAGCGAACACCTGATATGTATAAGACACATCAGGTTTATATATTATGAAAGGATTGTGTAAACAGCCCTATTGATCAAATGTACTGACTTAGCCACTGTAGTACGGAGTACACGCAGCCTGGCCGCAGTCAACTCTCGTAAATCTCGTAAAGTGCAGCTTGTTTCCCCAATGCGGTCACTGACCTGCCTGGAGAGTCCACGAAATCAACTCCACGTGTATCTATCTACCTCGCGGAGATCTGTAGCTCTTACAGCTTCGTTACATGTAGGCAGCCGCGCTGGGACAATCGGTCTCCTTGCACGTTGACTCGACTACTGTATCGTTCCCGCGCATCCTTGAAGTTAGGCCCGGATATCTTCCCGCTTTATGAGAGCTGATTGGTGGAATCGTAATTTACAGGTCCAGTGGGACTCCACCGTTCACTAAAACAATACATCTCCCTAAGTGTGGTACGATTCGGGAAACATGCTTTCTCAAAAAGTATAAGGTTCTGCCTGTTCGCTGAGCAAGCAGATTACTGTAGTGAAGGGAGTTTAGAGAGATTCAGAAACCGCAGAGCCAAACCGCCTGAAGTCCAGTAAATAGGACGTTCACAAACGTTCACAGCACTATAAGTTACCAGAGGTGATCTAATACAATTGGCGCTCTCACTTCCGACACCGTGGTCCACCTTTAATTGTCAGAGTGCTAAATTCAATAAAAGTCAATAAAGTTTGGTAGGTAAAAGACCAGTCACCAGCGGGGCCGAAGGTGCTGCAGTGTGCAGTGCAGAACTACGTGCCCACGCGCTTCGATGACGCGCCAGGCCGCACCATAGCGAAGAGGGAGGTGCGCTTCACAAACATGCCCATCACAGCCGACGTGGTGGTGGACGAGAGTAACGAGAGTAAGACCGAGCTGCTGACAATCTAGAAAACGGTCAGGAGTCTGGCCGCTAGCTTTTACTCCAGTGGCGCTGGCGCCGGTGTTGCGCAAGCCCGGCGAGGCGAGATAACATACAACAGCGTACCACAGGCCGGCATCAGGCGCCGTCTACCGCAGTTCCTGCCGCGACGCGGCCAAACCCGGCTAGCGCCCCGTCATTATTGGAGCCCATGTGCCCTATACAAATTTATAATTCTATATATATTAAATTAGAAAAATAATCAGGAGATCACGGAGTCGGAAGTGAGAGCGCCAATTGTAAAACGTTAGATCTGTGCTCACGAAAGCACGCGAAAGCCTATGCACACGTTACTTCGGTCAAATCTCGGTGGGATTCGTGCTGGAAGTCGTTACTACAACATTGCTACAACATCACGATATCTTAATGAGAGCAACACAGTACAGCGTTGTGTTGCTCGGTAATTTATGCACAATTTAATTTTCGAAGAAATTCAAATTAAGTTGAAATTTCACCAAGATATTTCCATACCACTAAAGTACGAATCCCTCCCTTCGGGATTGCGAGAAACATTGCGGAAGAAGGGCTCGCTCGCAAGGCACGGGTGCGAAAGGGGTGAAGAAGTCGCCCGCGAAGGCGAAGAAAATGACGTAGGCGAAGAAGCCAGTGTCCGCTGTGAAGGGTAAGTGCAAATAATGCGGTGAATACTGTCACAAATTGATCTAATACGTCTCTACGTTGCTACTGCTTAGACAAGCGGATCAAGGGAGTCGTTAAGGTGCTCGAGGGAGTGAACAGCGCCGTGAAGAAGACCAGCGTAGGGCCTGTAGCGGGGGAAGGCACGGGTAAGCAAAAACGATATGGTTTGAACAAGGTGGCTCTATTGGGCACTAACTGCTTTTATTTCACATACCCGCTGCTACTTCCTGTAAAATAGGACGACGTGCTTCTCTACGAGCGCGAAAACATCATCATGACAGATGCGTTCTTAGCAGCTCGTAGCCCGCGCGCAAAGCGAGTTAGTGTTCGCTCCGATGACTACGACTACAACTTTGTGATCCCCAAGAATCTGGTCATTAAATTGGACGCTGTTGTTAAGGCAGAGGAAGCGAAGCGACGCACGCCCGCTTCGTTTGGTGGCAATGCAGAAGACGAGACTACGAGCCGCTGTGCAGCTCGTCTCATCGAGCTACCATGGAAGATGCTTACAACGAGACTGTGGCTAAGTTTATACGTGACTGGCACACAGCCACAATGTCGCTGGTTGATCATCCCGTTGAGGAGAGCAGGGTGTGGCTCGAAGGGCCAAAGCAGCCTGATGGTACGTCATGTGGTATGCTGTGTATCGCTCAGGCGTACGCCATTTTTAAGGATAGCTCTCGTTTCGTGCGAGCTGTTATTTCACAGGATGATGGTGCTGTCATGCGTCTACGCGTCATGTGGATGATTCTCATGCAGCCTGACGAGAGTACAACGTCAAACAAGGTCGCTAAAGCTGTCCAGTCAACCGACATCGAGCTTATTGCAACGATCACGACATAAAGACCACAGTAACATTTATTGATGTAAGCTAGTCTAAGTTGTGAATGTTCTAGCTCCAGCGCCACCGGACACGTGACGCGCTTGCCACCCGCGCAGCATCAGCGAGGTCGGCCGGTCTGCGGACGAGCTCCAGCCACTGCTCCATCTCGTCGTGCAGCAAGATCTTGCGCGCCTCGACGCTGGTGGTCACGAGCACCAGCGCCACCGCACACGTGACGCGCTGCAGCCCGCGCAGCATTAGCGAGGTCGGCCGGTCCGCGCACGAGCTCCAGCCGCTGCTCCAATTTCGCCTTCTGGTCGCCAAGGAGGGAATCAGCTGCGGCAGCTCACAGCCACACCCTTGAGCGCGCTGTTGCGTATGATCGGTCTTCACTTCGCGGTCATCGAAAATCACGTCGGTCTTGGCGGCAGCGAACACCCAAAGCAGCTCGGGGATCTTGAACGACAAGAGGTCCTTGTAGGCGCGCGGCATAGATACATTATCAGAACCGAAAGGTAGTGGCGGCGCCTTCGTGAGTCTGGCGAAAGGAAGCGATGACAGTCGCTGGGAGCTCTCAGTCTCGGTTCTTCGTGTTGTCTTCTCCTCTAGAATATTTCGCGAATGTAATGGGTAACTTTTACATTTGCCGTCATATATCGACAGAAAATTACGGCTGGCTCCATTTCATGTTGCTTCTTGTGGTGCCTGTTGTGTTGCCAGACAGCTATTGTGTTGCCGCAAGAGCTGTCGTGGTGTTGCACTTATGTTGTAGTAACGCCGTCCGTTCGTGCTCTTTCGAGTCCCGAAAATCCCAATCTCGGCAATCATCTGGTCCAGCTCGCGACGGCATCATTTCCGCTTCTGCTGACTTCCTCACAGCGAAGACTTGGTCACCCGTGGCTCACTCATCTTCGTGCACCTCTACGGAAAACCAGCGAAATGGGGAGCTTTACTCGCCAGGCAGGCATGCTTATAGGAGTGTTTGTGGCCTCCGTACTGGTACAAAACATCGCTCATGCTGCCTCCGTCGTCAGTGGGTCCCCGGTGGGCTTTGCGGCCGGCACCACCGGTGGCGGAGACGCTGAGCCCGTGTACCCGAAAGACATCAAGGAGTTAGCGACGTACCTCAGCGACGAAGAGCCCCGCGTGATTGTCCTCAGGCAAGAGTTCGACTTCATCGACTCGGAAGGGTCCACCACGGAGGACGGGTGTCGCCCGAAGAACGCCGCAGATTGTCTCGCTAAGAAGAACGGTTTCGAGGGGCAAGACGCGATTCAGCCGAGCTTCAGCACCTGCGACGGCACCACTGTAAAGGTGACATACGACAAGGCGGCCAAGACCCCCCTCAAGGTCGCTAGCAACAAGACGCTCGTGGGTGAAGGCACCAAAGGCGTGATGAATGGCAAGGGCATTGAAATCAAGGGGAACAACGTCATCGTGCAGAACATCCACATCACCAACTTGAATCCTCATTTGGTCTGGGGTGGAGACGCCATCAGCATCAGTGGAGACGACGGCGTTATCCCCACGGGCATTTGGATCGACCACGTCAAAGTCACCAGCGTCGGACGGCAGATGGTTGTCGTCAACTTCTCCGGTGCCCTGGGCGTCACGATCAGTAACTCGGACTTTGACGGCAAGACCAAGTACTCCTCCTCGTGCGACGGTCACCACTACTGGGGGTTCATCGTCACGGGAGCCAAAACTGAGATGACTTTGGTGGGCAACTACATCCACACGATGTCAGGCCGCGGGCCCAAGGTCGGAGGCTCGGAGGACAACGTCATCGCTATGCATGCGGTAAACAACTACTTCTCCGACAACACCGGCCACGCGTTCGATGTGTCGCAGCGCGGATACGTCCTAGCGGAGGGCAATTACTTCGACTCGGTCAAGACGCCCAACCAGCCTGACCCGGAGGGCAACATCTTCATCCCCACGTCGGGCGGGGACTGCCAGGCAACCATCGGCCGTACCTGCGAGGTGAACGTACTGGCCGACAGCGGCACGTTCACTAGCAACTCGGAAGACGCCGCCAAGAAGCAGATCGGTACGTACAAGACCCAGATTGGCGGCTTCAAGGCCGCTGTTGCGTCGAAATTGTCTGTAGCGAGCGGGAACTTCGGCGTTGGTGACTTGGGCGGCTCTAGCAGTGTTACACAGTCGAGCGGCGATGGCAATGCGGTCCAACCTGCTACAACGCCGTCTTCGTCTACGGGGTCGTCAGCTGAGTCCCCGACATCGCAGAGCTCCGCGGCTACGGACTCATCACCCAACCAGTCTTCTGCGAGTACGGATGCTCCGGCATCAGCTGGATCTGGCGCAACCGAAGCTCCTGCTAGCACACAAGCGCCTTCACCAGAGTCCCCATCCACATTGACCCAGCCACCATCCACTGGATCAGCGAGCCAAGCGCCCTCATCGAGCACTTCAGCGACAGGGAGTTCAAAGGACCAGGAGCAGACAAGCACCTCTACTACTACTGGTTCTAGCTCTGCTGTTGTGGGTGTCCCCACCGGATTCGCAGCGGGCACCACCGGTGGCGGAGACGCCGAGCCCGTGTACCCGAAAGACATCAAGGAGTTAGCGACGTACCTCAGTGACAAGGAGCCCCGCGTGGTCGTTCTGAAGCAGGAGTTCGACTTCATTAAATCGGAGGGATCCACGACCGAGAAGGGGTGCCGTGGCAAGAACAACCTCGACTGCATCGCCAAGAAGAACGGTTTCCAGGGACAGGATACGATCGAGACGGACTTTAGTAAATGCGACGGCTCATCCATCGACGTGACGTACGACAAGGCCGCTATCACCCCACTAACTATCAGCAGTGACAAGACGCTCATAGGTGAAGGCACCAAGGGCGTCCTCAACGGCAAGGGCATCATCATCAAGGGCAGCAACGTGATCGTGCAGAACATCCACATCACCAACTTGAACCCGCACGTTGTTTGGGGCGGCGATGGTATCACTATCCGTGGTGAGGGCGACGTCGCACCCAAGGGCGTTTGGATTGACCACGTGAAGGTGTCGAGCGTCGGGCGTCAAATGGTGGTCATCAACTTTTCGGGCGCCACAGGTGTCACGATCAGTAATTCGGACTTCGACGGCAACACCAAGTTCTCGTCGTCGTGCGACGGCCGTCACTACTGGGGCTTCTTGATCCTCGGCAAGAAGACGGAGATGAGCCTGCTAGGCAACTTCGTGCACATGACGTCTGGCCGCTCGCCCAAGATCGGAGGAACTCAAGGCGACACGTCCGTCGTGCATGCTGCGAATAACTACTTCTTCGACAACACTGGACACGCCTTCGACGTGGCCACCGGTGGCTACGTCTTGGCCGAAGGCAACAGCTTCGATTCGGTCAAGACGCCCAACCAGCCTGACCCGGAGGGCAACATCTTCATCCCCACGTCGGGCGGGGACTGCCAGGCAACCATCGGCCGTACCTGCGAGGTGAACGTACTGACCGACAGCGGCACGTTCGCCAGCAACTCGGAGGACGCGGCCAAGACGCAGATCGGCACATACAAGGAGCAGATCGGCGGTACGAAGGTGGCCGCTGTGTCGAAACTGTCCGCGGCAAAGGGGAACTTTGGTGTCGGTGAGCTTGGAAGCAGCAGCGCGGCCCCGGCCGCTGCCGTCAACGCGGACGTCCCGGCCACGGAGGATACGGCGCACCAGGGCCAGATTGAGACTCCAGTAACTCCTTCCACCGACGCCCCTGCATCAACCAAGGAGGGTGCCGCTGACATGCCGCTGAGCACGGTCGCGCCGTACAAGGAGGATTCGGCCGCTGGAAGTTCGGCCCTTGAGTGGGGCCACGTGACGCAAGGAGCGGCTTCCGACGGCTCGGCCAATTGAGTTGCCACGCCCAATGCTGTCGTAGGTTCATGAAAGGAATTGAACGATCGATGACTGCAGTGATGTCCAACACAATAAACCGCTGCGTTTTGGTGTCATTATTGCCTAGCTTACGGCCATCTACATGTATAGTACTATAGTATTGTTGGGATCAGGCCAAAGACTGACTTGATTTCACTATAGACGGGGCAGAAGCACAATCCCAACCGAAAATGCCCGGCCGGCCGCGAGTGGTCCGGCTGGAGCCCGATGCGGAGCCGTCGGAGCCCGCGCGCGCGCCGCAGCGGCGCAAGTCCTTCAGCTACGTGCGCAAGCTGGAGATCGTGGCCCACTACGAGGCGCACAAGAGTCTGGACGAGACGGTGGCGCGCTTCTTCCCGGACGCGGAGCCGACCGAGCTGCGCGCCAAGAAGCAGTTGGTCATGCGCTGGCGCCGCGAGCGCGACAAGATCTCGGCCATCTGCGAGGCCGGCGGCGGCCGCAAGGCCAACGACCGCCGGGCCGGCATGGGCGCCACGCTCTCGGCCGGCGCGGAGCGGAGCATCGTCGACTGGATGCGCGAGGAGCAGGCGGCGGGCCGCGCAGTGTCGGCCAAGCGGCTCACGGCCCGCGCGATGCAGGCGGCCACAGAGGACAAGCTGGCGCCCGGCTGCTTCAAGGCCTCGTGGACGTGGAGGCAGTCGTTCCTACGACGTCACGGCTTCACACAGGGGGCTCAGAGCCCAGGACAGCAACAGGAGACGGAGGAGGAGCAGGGGAACAACAACGGCCACCTAAAGGAACGACTTTAGCTGGGGGAGGTTCCCGTTATATATATGTGATAGTTCAGTGTCTGGGCAGAGAACGAGGTTTGACAGCGGATGGGGTGAGCTATCCCTGTTAGTAGTAGTAGACACCGGCTTTGACCATGGCGCAGGCGTAGCGGGTCTCCTCGCAGCTCTTGGTGGGCTTCCGCTTGGTGGCCATTGTCGGCGGGTTCCATCCGAGTGTCATGGAGTCCGTCACGGGGGCGAGGGTCTTCTGGCGCGGGTCCTTCTCCATGCGCGTGTGCTTGACCAGCTTCCCAAGAAAGTCGAGGTTGGACACGAACTCGCGCGTGGTTGCGCCGTCTTTCAGGTACGCCGAGTGGGCTGCAGCGGACTCCATGGACTGCGAGTGGCGGCAGAGCTCCTCCATTTGGGCCAGAAACGTTTGGAGATCGATCGATTGAGACGCGTCGGCCCCAACGCTCTGCAGACGGAAGGCCTGCTCAACGAGCTTTCGCGTACTCGCAGACACGTTGTCGACACCCCTCGGGCACTTGTAGAGGTAACGCAGCATGACGGGCAGCTGTGCGAGCGTGATGGTGGCGGAGTAGAGCTCCGCGTTCGCAGCTTGGGCCTCTTCGTCGCTTTCAGAGTACAGTGAGAACCCAGGTCGGTAGGTCTGCATGAAAGCGTCCTGGAAGTCGCGCGACTGGAATGCATGGATGGGAGTCTCCTTCACCGGGTCGAAGGGGCTTTGCGAGCCGAGGAGAGTGAGTCCGAAGAACGCCGACATGGTGGGGCAGTTCTAGGGCGGCTTCGCTGTCGGAAGGAGAAGTGCAAGAGGCCGTATACGGAGTGAAGGGCTCGTGTAGTGCTCGCGCTGCAAATACTTAAGTAGTTCCATGAACCAAAATAGAGGAGACTACAAAAATATTCTCCAACGAAGGTTGCTGAACTTGGCGGCTGGTGCAGTAGCTCAACGCACAGGAAGCCCAACGTACACGAAGCTGAACGTACGTGAAGCTGCTTGGGAAGCCATTATTGTTCATCGCCCTGACGACCTTGTGCAGAGCAAGTTGCGGACCTAAGCAGATCTCGCGATTGCCAGCCGCCGCTGTACATGCCCGTGAAGCCTGCGCGGCAATACTTCATGGCTGTGGCTTGCAGTGCATACCGTAAGCGATGTTCATCCGACGTTTTCTCGTTTGGGCACCGTCATATTAGCGACGCTGCTGCTGCTGAAAGGTACTTGGCATGAGTTGTCACCCCCAGCGGCTGCCGCTACTGAAGCGCCCCCCCTCACTGCAACTGTGCGTTCCAAATCCAAGAGTCAGCGGATTACGAGCAATTCCTCATCTTTTCAAACCTTCTCCGTGAATACGTTTGGGGCAAAAGGCAACGTCCTTAGATCACCGAAGGCATGCCTCGCAGCGGGTTCGCAGTGAATCCGTGCGAGGCAGCCCCGGGAGTGGTGTGGTGGGTCTTATAGTCGGCCAGCTAGTTGGCCTGCACGCAAGCTAGCTGAGGAACGCCGCCCCCTAAAACTAAAACTAAAACTAAAACTAAGCTGCCTACTGCTGGCCAGGCAGGCCTAGTGCAAAGCCGTGGACTGTCGTGGTGTCGCTTTCGGGCTTGAAAACGTGGCTCACTTCATCTCTCGAAAAATGGGTTTTCCACCGCTGCGCTTGTACAAAACACCGATTTGATCATACGGCCTGACTGCAACATTGTAATGCCACGACAGCGCAAAAGTTGGACCCCATGCAGTGTCTGCGCCCCGCGTTCGAACAACAATACGGTGAGAAATGCAGTTAATCCGGCGCGTGGCCGTTGACCACCAAGTGTCAATCGCACGCGCAGTCACTCTAGAATTCACGGTCTGCCCCGCTCGCCGACTGAACTGGAGGAAGCAGCTACATTCAGAGGAACCATGGCTCGGCGTCTACTAGGTGTAGTACTGGCCGCTGTGCTAGCGCACCATGGGCTCGCCTCCGCTGCTTCAAATAATACGGGCACGGCGCCTGGATTTGCTGCGGGAACCACAGGCGGAGGCAACGCGAAACCTGTCTACCCCACGTCCATCAAGGAACTCGCCGCCTACCTCAGCGACGCCGAGCCTCGCGTTATCGTGCTCAACCAGGAGTTCAAGTTTGTCGACACCGAAGGCTCCACCACAGAGGGCGGTTGCCGCCCGACCAACAACCAGCAGTGTCTCGCCAAGAACAATGGCTTCAAGGGCCAGGATGCGATCCTCATGGACGGCGACACGAGCATGAAGCAGACTGGCGGGTGCGACAGCGGCGGCACCTCGGTGGACGTGACGTACGACAACGCGGCCAAGACGGCTCTGACGGTTGCCAGTGACAAGACGCTGGTGGGCGAAGGCACCAAGGGCGTCCTCAACGGCAAGGGCCTCATCATCACCGGCAGCAACGTGATCGTTCAGAACATCCACATTACCAACTTGAACCCTCACCTCGTGTGGGGCGGCGATGGTATCACTATCCGTGGTGAGGGCGACGTCGCACCCAAGGGCGTTTGGATTGACCACGTGAAGGTGTCGAGCGTCGGGCGTCAAATGGTGGTCATCAACTTTTCGGGCGCCACAGGTGTCACGATCAGTAATTCGGACTTCGACGGCAACACCAAGTTCTCGGCGTCGTGCGACGGCCACCACTACTGGGGTTTCTTGATCTTGGGCAAGAAGACGGAGCTCAGTTTGATCGGCAACTACATCCACCACACGTCGGGCCGATCGCCCAAGATCGGAGGCCACAGCGGCGAGACTTCTGTCGTCCACGCGGCTAACAACTACTTCTTCGAGAACTCTGGCCACGCGTTCGACGTGGCAACGGGCGGGTATGTGTTGGCCGAGGGCAACTACTTCGCGTCCGTCGCGTCGCCCAACCTAGACGACACAACTGGAAACTTCCTGGTGCCTACGGCAGCTGGAGATTGCAAAACCGCAATTGGTCGTGACTGCGCTCTAAACGTTCTTACGGATAGTGGAAAGCTTACGGGCTACTCGCAAGACAAGGTCGCCAGTCAACTGGTTGACGTCAAGAAGCTGATCACGGACTACAAGGCGACTGCCGCTACTAAATTGTCAGAGGCCAGCGGAAACTTTGGTGTTGGTGAGCTGGGAGGCGGTGTCTCTCAAACAAGCGCTTCCAGTGGCGCCACCGCGACCAGCGCAGACGCGTCTGCCGCTTCTCAGGAAACCGAAACTTCTAGCGCCGACCAAGACCAGAAGCCCAACAGCCCGGTAGCTACTAAGGCTCCTGCCCCAGAGAAGGCGCCATCTACGGAAATGCCTTCCACTCCTGACACTCCAGCGTCGCCCAGTACACCCGCCAAGGAAACGCCTGCACCAGCTACTGCACCAACTCAATCGAGGACTTTACCCCCGTCAACGCCAAGCCCAGGCAAAGCAAGTCCAGGTAGAGCTCAAGGATTCGCTGCGGGGACCACGGGTGGAGGCGACGCGAAACCCGTCTACCCCACGTCCATCAAGGAACTCGCCACCTACCTCAGCGACGCTCAGCCTCGAGTTATCGTGCTCAACAAGGAGTTCAAGTTTGCCAATACCGAGGGCTCCACCACGGAGAGCGGTTGCCGCCCGACCAACAACCAGCAGTGTCTCGCCAAGAACAACGGCTTCAAGGGCCAGGATGCGATCCTCATGGACGGCGACACGAGCATGAAGCAGACTGGCGGGTGCGACAGCGGCGGCACCTCGGTGGACGTGACGTACGACAACGCGGCCAAGACGGCTCTGACGGTTGCCAGTGACAAGACGCTGGTGGGCGAAGGCACCAAGGGCGTCCTCAACGGCAAGGGCCTCATCATCACCGGCAGCAACGTGATCGTTCAGAACATCCACATTACCAACTTGAACCCTCACCTCGTGTGGGGCGGCGATGGTATCACTATCCGTGGTGAGGGCGACGTCGCACCCAAGGGCGTTTGGATTGACCACGTGAAGGTGTCGAGCGTCGGGCGTCAAATGGTGGTCATCAACTTTTCGGGCGCCACAGGTGTCACGATCAGTAATTCGGACTTCGACGGCAACACCAAGTTCTCGGCGTCGTGCGACGGCCACCACTACTGGGGTTTCTTGATCTTGGGCAAGAAGACGGAGCTCAGTTTGATCGGCAACTACATCCACCACACGTCGGGCCGATCGCCCAAGATCGGAGGCCACAGCGGCGAGACTTCTGTCGTCCACGCGGCTAACAACTACTTCTTCGAGAACTCTGGCCACGCGTTCGACGTGGCAACGGGCGGGTATGTGTTGGCCGAGGGCAACTACTTCGCGTCCGTCACGACGCCCAACCTAGACGACACAACTGGAAACTTTTTCGTGCCTACCCGTGAGAGCTTCTGCAAAACCGCGATTGGTCGTGCGTGCAAGCTCAATGTGCTCACTAGCAGTGGTAAGCTGACAGGATATAATGCACGCGCGGCATTGGGGGAGCTCAGCAAGTATTCGAAAACCCTGGGCAGCTATGCAGTAACTGAAGCTGCCCAGTTCAAGGAGGCGAGCGGCAACTTCGGTGTCGGTGAGCTGACTAGCACCGCTGCTGCGGGTAAGAGCCCTGGCTCGAACGAGCCCACGGTTGGGACTGTGGCTCCGTACAGCCAAGGCTCAGCAGAAACTGAGCCGAACGCTAACCAAGGAGACGTGTCTACCCAGACCGAGGTTGGCGCCGATGCTGACTCGAACGATGTCACTCAGACTGCCGTTCAGTCGACTGAGACTGAGGCCCGCTCGAACTCGATCAGCAAGTGCAAGGTTCGCACCAGAAGCTGAAGGTCGAAGTCGTGGAAGCGTTTATAGCGCTCTTTCACCAATGGGGAGTGAAGGGCACATTTGATGTAAAGCGAGTGGAACTGCGTCAGGCTGCCGCAGTAGATGGATAAACTTGAGTTGCATCGTTCTCGCACTTTCACCTTCTTTCAGCACAACACGATAATTATCTGTCATTTTCAGGAGGGGGTGGCGTCTTCAACAAAAATAGTCAAAACCTGTGTAGCCGACAGCACAAAATATCGTCTGAAAATAAATACACGTATAGTGATTTAACTAGGGGGAGGTTTTTGATCGCATTCTATTATTATGAGCTTTTTTTTTACGAACCACGGGCATCTTCTGCGCCTGTAGATACATGATATGTCTTGGCGGTGCTTATACACAGTGATAAAACGAACCTTGCTCGGGATCTGTTTGTAGCGTGTAGAAAATGAAAATGTTTACCTTTGTATGACTGTATGCTTCTGCAGCAGTTCGTCCGCTTCAATCATTAGATTGATGTTACTGACTCATACCGGTTCAATCTGCCCACGCATATAAACCGGGCCCAGTACGGTACCGCGGCCATACCGGTGTAATGGGTTTTCTACCAGTTCAGCTTGCCCACGCATATAAACCTTTTGGAGGGCCCAGTGCGGCACCGGGGTCACACCGGTTTCAGGACAATGCACTCTTCGCCAAAGAGCTCTGGTGACGCGGATACTTTGTCCCACTTAGTCGTCGAAACCCACGTCATGTCCAACAACCACGCTTCACTCAATTTGCGGACGTTGTAGAACGACTTCATATTGTAGACGGCTCCACTACGCACACACACACACCATAAACAGCATCAGTATGATACAGCAACATTGAGAGCACCACAAGAAAACAACAGTGAGAGCGCCACAACAAGCAACATCTGCGCAACACAATACCGACTACGAACCTCGCAAACCTTGGTAACCCCCCTGGGAAGAAAGCGACGATCTCTTCGACAGTACCGACCGGATACTCGTCTTCTGCATTGCCACCAAACGAAGCGGGCGTGCGTCGCTTCGCTTTCTCTGCCTTAACAACAGCGTCCAATTTAATGACCAGATTCTTGGGGATCACAAAGTTGTAGTCGTAGTCATCGGAGCGAACACTAACTCGCTTTGCGCGCGGGCTACGAGCTGCTAAGAACGCATCTGTCATGATGATGTTTTCGCGCTCGTAGAGAAGCACGTCGTCCTATTTTACAGGAAGTAGCAGCGGGTATGTGAAATAAAAGCAGTTAGTGCCCAATAGAGCCACCTTGTTCAAACCATATCGTTTTTGCTTACCCGTGCCTTCCCCCGCTACAGGCCCTACGCTGGTCTTCTTCACGGCGCTGTTGCCCCCTCGAGCAGCTTAACGACTCCCTTGATCCGCTTGTCTAAGCAGTAGCAACGTAGAGACGTATTAGATCAATTTGTGACAGTATTCACCGCATTATTTGCACTTACCCTTCACAGCGGACACTGGCTTCTTCGCCTACGTCATTTTCTTCGCCTTCGCGGGCGACTTCTTCACCCCTTTCGCACCCGTGCCTTGCGAGCGAGCCCTTCTTCCGCAATGTTTCTCGCAATCCCGAAGGGAGGGATTCGTACTTTAGTGGTATGGAAATATCTTGGTGAAATTTCAACTTAATTTGAATTTCTTCGAAAATTAAATTGTGCATAAATTACCGAGCAACACAACGCTGTACTGTGTTGCTCTCATTAAGATGTAGCAATGTTGTAGTAACGACTTCCAGCACGAATCCCACCGAGATTTGACCGAAGTAACGTGTGCATAGGCTTTCGCGTGCTTTCGTGAGCACAGATCTAACGTTTTACAATTGGCGCTCTCACTTCCGACTCCGTGATCTCCTGATTATTTTTCTAATTTAATATATATAGAATTATAAATTTGTATAGGGCACATGGGCTCCAATAATGACGGGGCGCTAGCCGGGTTTGGCCGCGTCGCGGCAGGAACTGCGGTAGACGGCGCCTGATGCCGGCCTGTGGTACGCTGTTGTATGTTATCTCGCCTCGCCGGGCTTGCGCAACACCGGCGCCAGCGCCACTGGAGTAAAAGCTAGCGGCCAGACTCCTGACCGTTTTCTAGATTGTCAGCAGCTCGGTCTTACTCTCGTTACTCTCGTCCACCACCACGTCGGCTGTGATGGGCATGTTTGTGAAGCGCACCTCCCTCTTCGCTATGGTGCGGCCTGGCGCGTCATCGAAGCGCGTGGGCACGTAGTTCTGCACTGCACACTGCAGCACCTTCGGCCCCGCTGGTGACTGGTCTTTTACCTACCAAACTTTATTGACTTTTATTGAATTTAGCACTCTGACAATTAAAGGTGGACCACGGTGTCGGAAGTGAGAGCGCCAATTGTATTAGATCACCTCTGGTAACTTATAGTGCTGTGAACGTTTGTGAACGTCCTATTTACTGGACTTCAGGCGGTTTGGCTCTGCGGTTTCTGAATCTCTCTAAACTCCCTTCACTACAGTAATCTGCTTGCTCAGCGAACAGGCAGAACCTTATACTTTTTGAGAAAGCATGTTTCCCGAATCGTACCACACTTAGGGAGATGTATTGTTTTAGTGAACGGTGGAGTCCCACTGGACCTGTAAATTACGATTCCACCAATCAGCTCTCATAAAGCGGGAAGATATCCGGGCCTAACTTCAAGGATGATACCGTCCGGGAAGAAGCGCGCCACCGTCTCGTCCAGACTCTTGTGCGCCTCGTAGTGGGCCACGATCTCCAGCTTGCGCACGTAGCTGAAGGACTTGCGCCGCTGCGGCGCGCGCGCGGGCTCCGACGGCTCCGCATCGGGCTCCAGCCGGACCACTCGCGGCCGGCCGGGCATTTTCGGTTGGGATTGTGCTTCTGCCCCGTCTATAGTGAAATCAAGTCAGTCTTTGGCCTGATCCCAACAATACTATAGTACTATACATGTAGATGGCCGTAAGCTAGGCAATAATGACACCAAAACGCAGCGGTTTATTGTGTTGGACATCACTGCAGTCATCGATCGTTCAATTCCTTTCATGAACCTACGACAGCATTGGGCGTGGCAACTCAATTGGCCGAGCCGTCGGAAGCCGCTCCTTGCGTCACGTGGCCCCACTCAAGGGCCGAACTTCCAGCGGCCGAATCCTCCTTGTACGGCGCGACCGTGCTCAGCGGCATGTCAGCGGCACCCTCCTTGGTTGATGCAGGGGCGTCGGTGGAAGGAGTTACTGGAGTCTCAATCTGGCCCTGGTGCGCCGTATCCTCCGTGGCCGGGACGTCCGCGTTGACGGCAGCGGCCGGGGCCGCGCTGCTGCTTCCAAGCTCACCGACACCAAAGTTCCCCTTTGCCGCGGACAGTTTCGACACAGCGGCCACCTTCGTACCGCCGATCTGCTCCTTGTATGTGCCGATCTGCGTCTTGGCCGCGTCCTCCGAGTTGCTGGCGAACGTGCCGCTGTCGGTCAGTACGTTCACCTCGCAGGTACGGCCGATGGTTGCCTGGCAGTCCCCGCCCGACGTGGGGATGAAGATGTTGCCCTCCGGGTCAGGCTGGTTGGGCGTCTTGACCGAATCGAAGCTGTTGCCTTCGGCCAAGACGTAGCCACCGGTGGCCACGTCGAAGGCGTGTCCAGTGTTGTCGAAGAAGTAGTTATTCGCAGCATGCACGACGGACGTGTCGCCTTGAGTTCCTCCGATCTTGGGCGAGCGGCCAGACGTCATGTGCACGAAGTTGCCTAGCAGGCTCATCTCCGTCTTCTTGCCGAGGATCAAGAAGCCCCAGTAGTGACGGCCGTCGCACGACGACGAGAACTTGGTGTTGCCGTCGAAGTCCGAATTACTGATCGTGACACCTGTGGCGCCCGAAAAGTTGATGACCACCATTTGACGCCCGACGCTCGACACCTTCACGTGGTCAATCCAAACGCCCTTGGGTGCGACGTCGCCCTCACCACGGATAGTGATACCATCGCCGCCCCAAACAACGTGCGGGTTCAAGTTGGTGATGTGGATGTTCTGCACGATCACGTTGCTGCCCTTGATGATGATGCCCTTGCCGTTGAGGACGCCCTTGGTGCCTTCACCTATGAGCGTCTTGTCACTGCTGATAGTTAGTGGGGTGATAGCGGCCTTGTCGTACGTCACGTCGATGGATGAGCCGTCGCATTTACTAAAGTCCGTCTCGATCGTATCCTGTCCCTGGAAACCGTTCTTCTTGGCGATGCAGTCGAGGTTGTTCTTGCCACGGCACCCCTTCTCGGTCGTGGATCCCTCCGATTTAATGAAGTCGAACTCCTGCTTCAGAACGACCACGCGGGGCTCCTTGTCACTGAGGTACGTCGCTAACTCCTTGATGTCTTTCGGGTACACGGGCTCGGCGTCTCCGCCACCGGTGGTGCCCGCTGCGAATCCGGTGGGGACACCCACAACAGCAGAGCTAGAGCCAGTAGTAGTAGAGGTGCTTGTCTGCTCCTGGTCCTTTGAACTCCCTGTCGCTGAAGTGCTCGATGAGGGCGCTTGGCTCGCTGATCCAGTGGATGGTGGCTGGGTCAATGTGGATGGGGACTCTGGTGAAGGCGCTTGTGTGCTAGCAGGAGCTTCGGTTGCGCCAGATCCAGCTGATGCCGGAGCATCCGTACTCGCAGAAGACTGGTTGGGTGATGAGTCCGTAGCCGCGGAGCTCTGCGATGTCGGGGACTCAGCTGACGACCCCGTAGACGAAGACGGCGTTGTAGCAGGTTGGACCGCATTGCCATCGCCGCTCGACTGTGTAACACTGCTAGAGCCGCCCAAGTCACCAACGCCGAAGTTCCCGCTCGCTACAGACAATTTCGACGCAACAGCGGCCTTGAAGCCGCCAATCTGGGTCTTGTACGTACCGATCTGCTTCTTGGCGGCGTCTTCCGAGTTGCTAGTGAACGTGCCGCTGTCGGCCAGTACGTTCACCTCGCAGGTACGGCCGATGGTTGCCTGGCAGTCCCCGCCCGACGTGGGGATGAAGATGTTGCCCTCCGGGTCAGGCTGGTTGGGCGTCTTGACCGAGTCGAAGTAATTGCCCTCCGCTAGGACGTATCCGCGCTGCGACACATCGAACGCGTGGCCGGTGTTGTCGGAGAAGTAGTTGTTTACCGCATGCATAGCGATGACGTTGTCCTCCGAGCCTCCGACCTTGGGCCCGCGGCCTGACATCGTGTGGATGTAGTTGCCCACCAAAGTCATCTCAGTTTTGGCTCCCGTGACGATGAACCCCCAGTAGTGGTGACCGTCGCACGAGGAGGAGTACTTGGTCTTGCCGTCAAAGTCCGAGTTACTGATCGTGACGCCCAGGGCACCGGAGAAGTTGACGACAACCATCTGCCGTCCGACGCTGGTGACTTTGACGTGGTCGATCCAAATGCCCGTGGGGATAACGCCGTCGTCTCCACTGATGCTGATGGCGTCTCCACCCCAGACCAAATGAGGATTCAAGTTGGTGATGTGGATGTTCTGCACGATGACGTTGTTCCCCTTGATTTCAATGCCCTTGCCATTCATCACGCCTTTGGTGCCTTCACCCACGAGCGTCTTGTTGCTAGCGACCTTGAGGGGGGTCTTGGCCGCCTTGTCGTATGTCACCTTTACAGTGGTGCCGTCGCAGGTGCTGAAGCTCGGCTGAATCGCGTCTTGCCCCTCGAAACCGTTCTTCTTAGCGAGACAATCTGCGGCGTTCTTCGGGCGACACCCGTCCTCCGTGGTGGACCCTTCCGAGTCGATGAAGTCGAACTCTTGCCTGAGGACAATCACGCGGGGCTCTTCGTCGCTGAGGTACGTCGCTAACTCCTTGATGTCTTTCGGGTACACGGGCTCAGCGTCTCCGCCACCGGTGGTGCCGGCCGCAAAGCCCACCGGGGACCCACTGACGACGGAGGCAGCATGAGCGATGTTTTGTACCAGTACGGAGGCCACAAACACTCCTATAAGCATGCCTGCCTGGCGAGTAAAGCTCCCCATTTCGCTGGTTTTCCGTAGAGGTGCACGAAGATGAGTGAGCCACGGGTGACCAAGTCTTCGCTGTGAGGAAGTCAGCAGAAGCGGAAATGATGCCGTCGCGAGCTGGACCAGATGATTGCCGAGATTGGGATTTTCGGGACTCGAAAGAGCACGAACGGACGGCGTTACTACAACATAAGTGCAACACCACGACAGCTCTTGCGGCAACACAATAGCTGTCTGGCAACACAACAGGCACCACAAGAAGCAACATGAAATGGAGCCAGCCGTAATTTTCTGTCGATATATGACGGCAAATGTAAAAGTTACCCATTACATTCGCGAAATATTCTAGAGGAGAAGACAACACGAAGAACCAAGACTGAGAGCTCCCAGCGACTGTCATCGCTTCCTTTCGCCAGACTCACGAAGGCGCCGCCACTACCTTTCGGTTCTGATAATGTATCTATGCCGCGCGCCTTCAAGGACCTCTTGTCGTTCAAGATCCCCGAGCTGCTTTGGGTGTTCGCTGCCGCCAAGACCGACGTGATTTTCGATGACCGCGAAGTGAAGACCGATCATACGCAACAGCGCGCTCAAGGGTGTGGCTGTGAGCTGCCGCAGCTGATTCCCTCCTTGGCGACCAGAAGGCGAAATTGGAGCAGCGGCTGGAGCTCGTGCGCGGACCGGCCGACCTCGCTAATGCTGCGCGGGCTGCAGCGCGTCACGTGTGCGGTGGCGCTGGTGCTCGTGACCACCAGCGTCGTGGCGGGCAAGCTCTCGCTGCTCTTTCAGTGCAGCGCGCTGCTGGAGAAGCCGGTGTACTACGGCGGATCCGCCGTCACCGTCGTGCTCATCGTGTCGTTCACTGCCATGCTGTACACCGGCTTTTCCTGCTGCTGGCGTTTCGGCTGCACTGCGCCAGCATGCCCGCGCCTTGGATCTTCGGCGTGAACGCCATCCTTACCATGGCCTTCGACAACATGCGCTATCGCGACGCGCTGGATGTTGTGCGCTGCACGCTGACTGAGGCACCTGAACCCGGACTTCCTGCATGGCCACAAAGAGGTCGTGGTTGTGGTGACCTCGATTGTACCGGACAGCGCGTTCTTCAAGGGATACATGTACAATCCAGATCCGAAGTCGAAGGAACGCCAGCCACCATTATACACAAAAGCCAATGTGCAACTGAAACCGTGGGGTTACGTCTAAGCCAATGCGCATATTCATCATATTCATCCACACTAGAACATTCACAACTTAGACTAGCTTACATCAATAAATGTTACTGTGGTCTTTATGTCGTGATCGTTGCAATAAGCTCGATGTCGGTTGACTGGACAGCTTTAGCGACCTTGTTTGACGTTGTACTCTCGTCAGGCTGCATGAGAATCATCCACATGACGCGTAGACGCATGACAGCACCATCATCCTGTGAAATAACAGCTCGCACGAAACGAGAGCTATCCTTAAAAATGGCGTACGCCTGAGCGATACACAGCATACCACATGACGTACCATCAGGCTGCTTTGGCCCTTCGAGCCACACCCTGCTCTCCTCAACGGGATGATCAACCAGCGACATTGTGGCTGTGTGCCAGTCACGTATAAACTTAGCCACAGTCTCGTTGTAAGCATCTTCCATGGTAGCTCGATGGGACGAGCTGCACAGCGGCTCGTAGTAGTACGGTGTCATCGAGGGCACATCTTGCTGGTAGGAGAGACGGACTATTATGATCCCCCAATGAATAGGCGAGGCATCACAACGTAGTGCATGCTTGAGATTCGAATGTCCGGTGTCTTCGTGTAGCTAAGCGACGGTGCAAACGAGTTCATGGCGTAGCAGTCGCCTAGCGAGCTGCAGATTAGGCGAAGGCAGAAGTCGATGATGAGGTCATTCAGCATTCGGTCCCGTGCCACCATTCCCACAATATTCTCCAACTTGAGAGAGTAATTCGCACCCGTCAACCGAAATAAGGAGCTCAGGCATGCCCCTCCGAGAACTTTAGCGACGTCGGCTGCTAGTTCCTGGTGCTTCTTCCCCACTGCATCTGGCAGTAGCATTTCCGAATCTGTCCAGTTAGGTGTCAAGAGGGCACCTTTTGACTTGACGTACCACGGATATAATCCTATTTGGTCTGCGATAGCAGCACTAACGTTGCTTCCTATCCCAGTAATATAATATTTTTCTTAACACGTGCCCATGAAATATGATGCCCGAAAGTACACGTGTTTATTCGAACAAAGTTTGCAGTAGAAAGTGAAATGTTTGAAACTCCATGCGTGCACAGTATTCGAAAAAAAAAAACGCTTACAGATCTGGCGTGTTAGCGAAATCTGTGAAAAAAACTCCAAAGCCCGCATACTTCTACAAGACTCACATATCGGTGTCTGGTTCGAGAGGATCAAATCAATGCAAGTTAGCTCTGAGCGAGCCGAAATCCCGCGCGCAAGCGCGGTAGGGTTCATGCCTTACCAGCAAGGGTTTTTGGGTTCGTGCGGAGGGCGTGCAGGGTAATGGTTTTATTGCTGCATCGATTGTTTTCCTACCGAAGTCAGCGCTGTATGCACCACTGCCTGCGGTTTACAAGCAGCGCGCGGTCGTAAACCCAGGACAAACCAGGTAGAGTTCACACGAGCACTGGTAAAGGCAGATTCGAGCGCGCCGCTTATCCGTCCGGAATCAGACGCTGGTAAGCGAGTTTTGGAGTTTCCTCGAAATGAGGTACGTGTAGCCGACGGCAAAGAAGTCATAATACAGTGAAAAGATCGCAAAACTCCTTTTACGCTAGTCGATGGATCGCGACTGATTTGCTCCAAGAGCCCGCTCGAGCGTCGAGATAAACTTCACTAAAAAAATGAGCCCTTACAGATACTGTACACAAATGTATAGATAAATGGAATTCGTCGTGCAAAGTGAACGAAACAAAAACTAGAAATATTTCTATGCTATTTCGATACAGTTTCTATCGGCAAGAGTCGCAGTTTAAGTAACGATGGAAGCTCTCGATGCTCGCGTTGAGCAAGTGCTGGGAAGTATCACCTCTGACAACACCAAGTACATCTATCTACGAACTTTATCTCGCTTCATAGAGTGGCTCTACGAGAATACGGAGGCGGATCGACGGCAAGTCCTGTTTACTAGTACGTTTCGTGAGCTGGGTGTAATTAATGGGGAGAGTATCGCGCAGTGGTTCTCTATCGTCCCTTTACGAAGCCCTGTCAATCTAAGTGTATTAAGTACTATGGAGTGTATGCGCTACTTGACCTCGATGGAGCAGCGTGGTGTCACCGGAAAGTCGACTTTTGGAAATGTTCGCTCGGCGATAGTGTACCTTCACACTCAGACAGAGTCCTCGGTGAATGCTACTGTAACGATGCACACCGAGCTTTACACATGGGGTGGGGGCTTTCATCAAGTGCCAAGAGAGTTTGTGCTACCCGCAAGAACCGTTCGCGTTGTGTGGCAGCAATGGTGTGCTGGGCAACCGCCACTAAAGCAGCTATCAAAGCACGATATGGCTTCAAGACTACAAAGATCCGGCTTGCAGAGCTTCAGCGGCTGATGCGCTTCGTTGAAGCACTTCTGACGAGTGATGAGGTCCTGCGAGCGCACAGCTCTCTCGATTCGACTGGCCTTCTTTTTGAGCAAGTAAAGAATCGTTTACCGTTCTCATCGACGTCGAGTAAAGGAAGAGCGCGTAGACTTGACCAACTATCGTGGAGAACACTCGCCCGTGAGCATGCAAGGCACAGCTCCAGCTAGACTAGCTACCATTACGTAGGTGAGTAGCGGTAAGCTTACACAATACACATTTACTTCGAAGTGGTAGTGTTTCTACTTTCACACTGTGTACCAAATGTGCGGCACAATATGCTTCGTGCAAACTGCACGATGAATTCCACTACATTTTGCATTATTGACAGTTTCATTTGATTTTTGTATATCTGGCATTTTTGCATTCGTGGAATTCGCCGGTCAATTTGCACCCCGAATTCTATACGAAGTGGCAGATTCGCACGGCGATTTCCGTAGAAGTTGTGATGTCCACCTATCTGTGCCAGCGCCTACCGTACATCTTAGTCCTAGGCGTCACTGCACAAGCACTTATTGCAAATCACAAGCGTCACCAGCTGACTGCACATCAAAGATTTATCAAAGCATGCATTTCAAATTAGCTTGCATTGCTAATTATTCGTTGTCGCTGCCTTCGCTGTCGATGTCGTCGCCTGAACCGATGTCATCGTCCGAATCAACTTGTCCGCCGGCTAAGTTGCATCTTTCTAAGTCTTCGATAATGGTGTTTTCAATGTGCTCCACTGCAGGAGCACTAGCAACCACGCGTGTATCGTTGAGAATACCAACTTTGGCAAAACCGCTGAATATTGTCTCCCGACTGAGATCCGACCAGCACTTCGACACCCATCGTACAATGTCAGTGCGCGTGGGTGGCTTCAGTGTAAAAGGTTCTTCAGTGAATTCGTCCCGCAGTCTTGCTACTTCTACGTCAGCTTCCTCTTGCACCAGATCCTTGCGTGCCCGATTTATTTCTTCTTGCAACTTTTCTTTTTTCTGCTCACGTTGCTGGGCTCCAGCACGATACTCCACCAACTGAGTCCGTACCAAATCAATCCACAATCGCCGTAGGCCTGACTTAAAGGGCTTATTCCAAGATCAAAGTTCCACCTAGGTACACGTACGTCTGCCAGCCGGCAGACGTACGTGTACCTAGGTGGAACTTTGATGAGAACGACATTAATTGTTGCTTCATATGCGATGACTTCAGGTGTCCAATGACCCCTGAAGTCATCCCACAGCAACAAAATGTTTTCTTCGATGTTGGGGCGTGTTGCGAAACTGAACTTCAAAAACTCCAGCGACAATTTTTCGTTCCACCATGCACACTGGTTCCCATAAATCTGACAGTCGCTGTCCTTCTGTAAGGCACGAATTTCACGTTTCCAAACAGTAATACCGAATCCATGCCGTAATTGAGTGTTCGCAATTGTGCCAGTTTGTTTGGCCCATTTATTTATCTGCTTTTTCTTGGCACGAACTTCTTTAGCTGTCAATGTGCCGTAGAAGTTGGTGATAGTCGCGTCGAGACTGTTAGTTGTGAAGAAGTCCAGAACCTTCTTCTTGTGCGCGTAGTCTACCGGTATGCGTTGGTAGGTCTTGCTTTTCTTCCCTTTTCCCTTGATTCGTGGGCGCGGCATGCTTCCGCCGCGGAAGTTCCTTGGCGGCAGGCTTTCTTCGAGTGCGCTGGACCAGCCTTGTTTTATACGGAATAGAGCCTAAGAATAATGCCATGTGTAACGTAGCCATATCGCGACGGTTCCGACTTCCCTACATATTCCGACATCTAGGATTTATTGACCAAACTAAAGTTACCGTAAGTAAAAAAAGGCAACTGAAGAAGAAAATGGCAGGGTACTTGCAGTTACATGCAATAAAAGTTAGGTGATGATAAAGTGCAAGGGTAGCTACATATATTATTGATCACCTTGATCACCAATCTACGATTACCGCCTCCTCAGCTATTGTGCCAGCTTTGAGGCACGCAGCACCGCGATCGCCACTTCCGCCTTGTAGTCTGCCATTGTTGGCAATCCGATCCTGCGCGGCAGAGACTTCACCAGCTTGACCTACTGGTGCAGCACCTTGAACGATTCGAGTAGCGGGGTCATGATGTACAGGTGACCGAGCTATCCTCCTTGGCCACCTCCGTGATGTACAGTGCCCACACGGCAGCCGTGCAGATAGGGTTCACCTCCTGCAGCCTAGCCGGCCGGGCACGACGTTACCGTCGCCTTCATCACCTTCACCTCCTTCGACAGCTTCTCGTCCAGATCGTTAGCCTCGTGCGGCAGGAACTTGTGCGACAGCGGGTCCAGTGTCTGGGTGGTCACGAGGAGGTCGTCCATGACGCGGAGCATGCCCTCAACATCCCCCTGCTCGAACGAGCACAGACAGCTGCAGCGCCGGCGTGTCCAGCTCCAAGGTACAGATCATGGGCGGACAGCGGCGATGCGCTGTTGCTCCGTGCGTGCCCTTGGCAAGGAGCCTCGCGGTCCTCCGCGGGTGTGACCGCGTTCGTGACCCTCCATGCGGCGGCGCGCGCCCATGAGCTTCGCCACGTCGCCAGCAGCGAAAGCCTTCTGCAGCTCCTTCCTGCGCTTGATCATCTCCTCCGCACTCGCGTAGCTGCCCCCGCGCAGCACCACCTCAGCCAACCTCGGCGTACTGCAGCAAGCTCACCCGTCCTCCGACGGCTGCGTGTGACGCCACGTCGACGGATGCTTCATGCGTGTAGAGCTAGCGTTGTGGCGGTGGAACGCTCAACGCGCTCGCCGTCATGGTCATCTTGCCTTGCCCTTCGCCGCGACTGCGTCGCCACCGATGCATATGGGCTTCATCTCTCGGACTTGATCACCATCTTGAAATGAACACCAATCAAAACTTCACTCCGTCCTATTCTAGGACATAATCCTAGTTGTCAGAACGGCAAAACTATTTTCTGTACTTGATTTTTGTATACGCATACACATATTTAGGCCAGTCTTCCGACAAATATTTGTCGGAAAGTGTCGGAACGCGTTCACCTAACCCTAATGCAGACGATTGGCTAAAATATCCACACCAGGCGATATGATAGGCTGTAATTCAGGTGAAGACAAGTCTGAAACAATCCTGCT